ACCTTTCTGGTTACCCTTACCTTTGCCCTTGGAGTTGTACCAGCACTCCTTCACGGTGTGGCCGGTGCGCCAGCAGATCGGGCACTTCTCCTTCTCTTTCTCTTTGTGGGCGTCTTTGCTCTTTCCTTCTTTGCCCTTTCCGCCTTTTCCTTTTCCTTCTTTGCCCTTTCCTTCTTTGCCTTTGCCGCCCTTGCCTTTGTCTTTTCCTTTATCACCCACTTTCCCTATCTCCATCTGGTCGGGATCGTGGTGCCTCTGGCGGGTCGGCTGGGCGTATGCCCCGCTTGGGGTCCATACCCTCTTGGCTTGAAGGTAACTCACCACGAGGTTGCGTACATCCTCGTATCTGGTCAAGCGCCCGGCCGTCATCGCCAGGTGCTGCTTTAGGGCTCCCGGCGACTCCACCATCAAGAGAGCACGCTTGTCCTCCTCAGAGATGGCCTTGTCGGACCCAAACTCTGCCTCGTACTTGGCGAGGTCGCTCTCCCATTCCTGGAGAGCCGCCGAGAAGTCGGCCTTGTTGTTGGGAAACTTGAGGCTCAAAAGCGCTCGGCGCCAGATCAGGCCCCGATTCGCTTGCTCAGGATGAAATTCCCTCCAAAGCTGTTTCCACAGCAGGAACCCATCCTGGCGGCGAATCCCGCGCGCGATCTTGAATGCCGGTGGGCACTCGCTGACCAAACTGACCAGCATCCCGAAGAGCTTTACACTAAGTACCCGGTACTCTTCGGATTCGGTCGTCAGGGTGGCGTCGTCTTCGTCGTCGCCTGACCCTTTTCGGGCCTCTTCCAGGTGCTGGGGAAACGTGGGGTCGATCATGGCGGCATAGGTTTCCAACTGCCACACAAACCTCTCCCACTCGTCTTGGCTCTTAAGGGGCTTAGGGGGCTTAATCGCTTGTTTTGGCAAGTCTACCCCTTTCAGCTGCGCTGTGAGACCTAACTGCAGTACAGGTGAAACGGGAAAGCTACCTCCTACCGCCGGCGGCGCCGCGCTGCTGGCGGGTCCTCCCGCAGTAGCGGTGCTTCCCGCTTGCTGCTGCATTAGCAGCAGCTGCTGCTCCAGCCTCTGGGTCCTCTCTTGGGAGGTGCCCAGGGCTGCCTGGAGCTCGCGGTGGCTACTTTCCGCCCTCTGAAGGGCGGCAGTGAGCTGCGTCAGTTGACGCGTCACCTCGGCTTCCGTGAGTCCCGTGGCTGGACTCTGTTGTGCTGCCATCGTCCTCGCTTTCCTCCCCTGGCTGGTGGAGGCTCTCGACGGTGGAGCTCGCGAGGGACTGGTTGGCAGTGCCCGCCTCGGCGGGTCGGGTGCCCGCTGGGATCACCTGCCCTTCTTCGAGCAGGTCCCGTACAAACACCCACTGCTGGGATGCCTCTGCCGCTGCTGCTTGCGGCTGTTCCTCTTCGCTACCCCCTTATTCAGGCGAGGCGTCGCCTTCAGGGACTACGTGGTAGCTTGCCTCGACCGGTTCGGCCGCAGGCTCGCCGGCGGGCTCTTCCTGCTGCGGCGGGTCCTCCCGCTCCGCCTTGGCGGGCTGTTCTTCTGTAGCCGGTGCTTCTGCAGGAGCCGCCGCCGGGGGTGCCCGCTCACCCTTGTTCCGGTAGGGCTTTGGCTGTGCGCCTTGCCCTGGTGCCGGTACTCCGGGTGTGAAGGGACCGTCCGGCTGTCCGGCTTTCCCTCGCTTTCCGAGGATTCGAGCCGGACTGCTCGAATGAGTTCCGCCTGGCGGCTTGCAGCCGCCGGGCTGTCCTCCCCTTCGCTATAGCTGTCCTCGCTTTCGGACCGCCCGTCGCTGGCAACTGTGCTGCCGCCTTCCGTGGGCGCTAGTGGGGCCTCCGGTACGACCTCCCTTAAGACACTGGCTGTGGGCGTTCGGTGCCAAGCTCTCCTCGCTAGAGGGGCTTTGCGGGGGAGTCCTAGGATCCGGGATCCTCGGAGGAGTCGCGGGTTCAGGGATCCCGGCTCCGTCGTCCGGCGGGGCTGCCCGCTCCCCGTAGGGGTTGTCCCGGCGGCGCTTTTGCCCCCAGGAGCGAACGCCGCGTGTGCTCTTTTTCTTCCACACGCCTTCCTTCTCCACCCACCCACCAGGGTTTTCCCTTGTGCTTCGCGGGTGGTGGTGGGTCGCGGCTGCCACGTGCCGCTTCTGCGGGGCTCCGAGACCGCCCTCCTCGGCGGTTGCTCCCGCTACTGGCCGCTTCTCGGCGGTTCCAGTCTTCTACTCCGTTCCAATCCCGCCACGGATCGTCAGGAGCTGCTTCCGCCTGGTCCTCTTCCCAGGCTTGCTCTTGCCAGTCCCAGTGCTGGCTCTCCTCGGTGGGCTCGTCCCACCAGTTCTGCCGAGACCAGATTCCAACCCTCTTGGTCGCGTCCCCAACCGGACGTGGCGACGAAAGAGGGCGGTTCCACCCGCACGGGCGCGGGTAAAACCTAAAAGTGGAGGGCGCTCGGGCAAACAGCCTCGGCTCCCTTCCCTGGTTTCTCGGCCCAGGTGCCGGTAGAGGGAAGTCCTCGCTCTCGGCGGGACTGCCCGCGCTGAGCCTCCAGCCTAGCGCTTCCGGGTTTTAAGGTCCGGTGCGCAGTGGTTAAAAGCGTGAACTGTACATGCTAAACGCAAGGGGTAGCCTAGCTCAAGCCCTTGGGTGTTGGGATTAGGGTTTCGTACAGGATTTCTCGCAGAAGCGGAGGAGCTCCTGTGGTCGGCATGCTCAACCGCGCGCGGCCGAGCTTGGCATCAGCACCAAGAATCCCTGATTCCCGGTCTTGCGCCTCCAGAACTGGGTGCACCGGAATTCGTTCATGGGATCGCGTCGGGTGGCCGCGCCGGGCGGCCGTGCTTCGTGTCACCCTCGTAGAGGGTAAGACTGCGGAAGCTTCTCGGCCACGCTTCGAGATCTTCCTCCGTTGCAAGATCGCCGCCCGAGGCAGCAGCGACTGCGGCACGGATTGATGTTGGGCGGCAGGGCCTTGGATGCGCCAGCAGGATGGGGGCCTGGCCCCGGCCCGAGCACCATCAGACTCGCACCAGGTCCGAGCACGCTGATCTCTGAGCCGGTTGTTGGCTCGGTCCATCGCATCTTCGGGTGTAGTGTCTGTTCGTTCTTAGTCCTGCTATCAACGCTCGGACCACAGCATTGTTCGAGTCCGTGATCGGAAGATAAAGTGTCGTTCCAGGCTTCCTGCATCCTTTGGACAGAGGTTTTAAACCTGGTAATCCAACGAAGCATGTCTCCGCTCCTGTGGTGCAAGTTCAGGAACTGCTGGAAGCGGTAGAGGAAAACGTTGGCTGCTCCCTTCACGAAGAGCGGCCGCAGGAAACTCTTGAAGCACTTCACTCCATTATGTGCATTGATACATCGATGCTTGCCCCGAGCCTTGCCCGATCTTGACCCATATATACCGTCGTTTAAAGTGTATGGACTGTTTTTTGCTTTCCTCCATGCATACGTGCTGCCGGGCCGAGGGAATCCATTGCAAAGCTTCGGGCGCAGCTGTCATTATGGCATGGTTGGAAGGGCTTTTCCAGAACTTGACGCGCGACTTGGTGTGTCCACCATCTGAATTGAAAGAAATTGTGCAGCTGAGGCTCGTATAGGTACCATGGTGCGATCTGGCACGTATTTCACCCAGCGACTGTCGAAGTCGTATCCTCGGGTCACTTGTTGGTTAAGCGGTGGTTTCGGTTGCCCAAGCAAGGTGTGGATATGTCGCTTGTCTTTTAACAAAGGTAAGGCCGAAGAGGCATGCTTTGCAACGCATGATCCAATTTCTTGAGTTGTCGGAGTCTCGCGAGAACCCTGCCCTTTACAGCTGCCAGGTGCTGGATTCCTGGATACAGGGCATCTGCCTTGCACTCTATTCCTGTAGCCCGAAGCCAACACTCATGCTCTGCCAGGACTACGTGAAGAAGCTCCTGCGGGTGCGAAAAGTCTTGCACTACGGTAGCTGCAGTCTCACCATTTTGCTGAAAGTCTCAAACGGCTTTCGAGGAGCCAGGTTTCCGAAAGTATTGCAAGCCTGCCTGCACCTTTTTTGCAAGTGCATCGCACCAGCCGTTGTGTCGTGCCATGGCATGGCTTGGTTTGTCTTACAAGTTGTTAATGCTTGTCATGACATGGATTGCTCTGTGTTTGGGTGTATAAGGTTTAGGGTGTTCGGATATAGAGATAAGGCTTGTTGCACACCATGGCAAGACAACATGCCACTCGCATTCAAGCCATGCCACAGCAGCTCAAGCCATGCCAAGCAGCTCAAGTCATGCCAAATAAGTATGTAGTACTACTATAGCATTAGTATTAGCATTTCCACGAGTACCAGTACTAGTATTAGGAAAAAGGCTAGGGTTTGCGTTAGCATTAGGATACGGATTCGGATATATGGATTTGGATTAGTATCAACAGTGGTTTATTATACGCAAGCAAGTCAGTTCATGCCAGACATATACTTTATCTTCCTTGGTAAAAAACCGAGGCGAAAATAAACGACGCTGCTAATTCCTGCGTGCTAACAAACGAGCCAACATGAAAACAAACGGCGCTACGATTGAATGCTTTTATTTTCCTCATAATATATGAACCCTATATTCCTCAACTGTCTCTGGAAACCCGAACCAATATGATTCTTTGCTGCGGTTTTGACCACCGGTGATTTTTTTAGAGTGCATTTGGTCCTCTAGGCCAACATAGTAGGAATCATCCTGGTCGCGCCAACTCGCGATTCGCACCGGGTCATTCGTGTTTGGAAAACCGAATTCCAATCTCGGCCTCGAAGTGATCGTGTCGGTGGACGCGGTACGTCCCGCTGCTCGCATCGTATCTTTGAGTTTCGCGATCTGGGCGAAGCGATTTTTGTTGAATCCCGCCCGTACATGGTACTTGGGCGGAAGCATTTCGGCCTCCTGAATCATTGCAGGTCAGTGGTTCTGAATCCCGCCAGACTACGGGGATGCGTTTTGGTCCAGTTTGTAGAAGGATCTACGGAGATTTTTAAAGGGCACCTCGCCTCGCCTCCACAGGCTTCTCCGACTTCTCCGACCTGCGCTCAGAGAAGTGTGGAAACGGAGAAGCACTCGGCTGCTCGGCTTCGGCTCGGCCTTGGCCTCTGCGAGTGCACCGTGCAGAGGTCTTCGAAGAGCTGCAAGGCCACGTGGAAGGCCATCTCCTACGTCATCGGGGATCAGCAACGCGGGAAATCTAAAGTCATATCTAGAGTCAGTGAGTCCTGATTGCAAGAGCGGTGTTCTTGGAGCAGCGCCTACTTCGAGGGACTGCGAAGGCGAGAAAACATGCAGGAAAGGCTCCCCCAGTGTCCTGGAACCGAGCCAAGCAGACCAGCAGCAAGCGGCCCTGTTTGAGAGTTCTTGGAGGCAGAATGGCGTGTTAACTTCTGACTGCCGCTCCGCTGCTGCCGCTGCCTGGTCAATGCCAGAGCAGCTCTCCCAGAGGGAACGATTCTCCTCGCGCCGTTTAAACGAGGAACAAAAAAGCGGTGGGCGGTGGCGCCGATTCCCTCCTCGGATCCCGGCTGCCCGGCTCTCTCTCGGGCTCTCAAAGGGCTCTCTCTCCGTCCTTGGCTCCTTTCGCTTCCTTTGCTTTACTGATGGCGCCTGCAGCGCAACGGGACCCGTGTCTCAGTGCGGCAGCTTCGCTCAAAGCGCTGGCCTGCACGCTGTAGAAGAGCCTTGGATCCGCACGGCAGCTCCCAGGCCACCCGCACCTCGACTTCAGAGAGCAAGAGCAGCACACAATATTGCGTGCGCGCCTTCTTCTGCAGATCTGAGGGCAAAGCGCACTTGAGGATCAAGGCAGCCGGAAGACGGACCCTCTCCGTGTCCGAGGGCACGGAGAGGAAAAGCCGGAAGCCCGGCAAGGCGGAGCCCTGGGAGCGGTCAAAGAAGTCCGGCCCATCCTGCTGCTGCGGAAACACTGCTTTGAGAAAGAGTCCTGCTTTTGATGCCTCCAGGATCGTTGCCAAGAGGGCATCCAAGTGGGGCAGCCAAGAGGGCACCAGGTGGATGTGCTCAATGAGCAACCACCTGCCGAAGGGAGGCCAGAAGTGGCGAGACAATTAAAACGAAGAAGCAGTTTTTTTAGGGCCTTACAGCAGTGAGAGGTGAGTAGAGGAGTGTCTGAGTGTCGTCTGCGGGCCTGCCGCGCTTGTAGGCGTCCTGGATGCTCTGCACCAGGGCGCCGCCCTCACGCGCCTGCCACTTCCCACAGTTGATCACCCTCAGCTCCTCAGACACACGGGGCTGCTCTGTTCTCCCCGACTCTCTCACAGCGTTTTCACGGTCTCCTGTTGCTTCGCGCCGATGAACTGCTCCAGCGGCTGGGCCGCCGCGAGCTGCGAGAGGACGCGCCCCGGCTCCACGTCCAAGGCCGTCACCAAGAGCAACGGCCGCGTCCTGCAGAGACGCAGAGACAGAGACTCTGCAGACAGAGTGGCCTCGGCGGTTCCGCCTGGCGCCCCTGCAGCTGAGCTCCAGACACACCTTTCTTTGGCCTCGCCTCTCTTCGTCGTCTGCGAGCGCTCACTCCGAAGTCCTTGGAGCGCGAAACACCCGGCACGCTCGCAGGCATTGCCAGGCGTGCCCCCAGAGCACGGCTTCTGCTTCTCCAACCAAGCGGCACTCTCGCCCGCCACCGTGCCAGCATCCGATTCGAGTGCCAGGGATTCCTGAGGCGCGAGACCGGGCACGCTTCTGTTTCGCTTCCGCTGAAACAAAGACGAAACGGAAGACTCCGATCTGCGACAGGCATCCGCGGATCCGGTGCGTGACAAGGTGTTCGTGCCGGATCGATCCACCTGGCCGCTGTAGACTCCTAGACTTATGCGAGAAGGGCTATGCTGCATATGCTGTTCTGGGCGGAGCCGCCATCGAGCGATTCCTCTCCATCTTCCTCCCCTGCAGGAGGCGGCGGAAGGGAGGGAGCGGGGCGCAATTGGCGGGGCGCGGCTGTGGCCATGGCCATGCTCGGGCTTCGTGGGCTTCCGCCGTCGCCCCCGCCGCCGGGCGAAGGCGGATCTGCCTCGCGGTGCAAAGAAGGGGAAGCTTGAAAGAGCACTGCGAGAGCACTGCCAGCACTGCCACCACCCTCAGAGCTTCCAAGGTGCCATGGACTTTTTCCTCTCCAGGCCCTGCAGTGTAAGCACGGGAGACTGCAACTGTGCCTCTATTGAGCCGAGCGACAACGCCAGAGGACTTCGAGACCCGTGACGAGATTGATGCCTCAGAATCACGCAGCCAGCTGCAAGACTTCGAGATCAGCTTCACGCCAAGACGCGGAAGACTCCAGCTGTCCATCCACCTTGCAACAGTGTGCCAGACAAGAGAAGAAGAGAAGAAGAGAAGAAGAGAAGAGAGAATGCGCATTCCTCTTGGCGAATCTTCGTGCCAAGGGCCCGGCCATGGATTTCTTCCGCGGGCTTTTCGAAACCTAATGTGCGGTGCCGCTCAAGGCAGAGTGTAGTCTAGTGCTGAAGTCCAAGCCGCAGAGGTCTCCGGTGCCTCTGCCTAAGAGCAGACGGAAGCTGAGGAGCTGAGAACTACGCCCAGGCCTGGCTGCGGCTGCTGAGGCTGAAACCGGAAGCTTCTTCCGGAAGGACATCTTCCGCGAGGCCGAGCTCGGCAGTGCCGCGGTCCGCTCCTCAGACCTGCACTCTCCTGCTCCTGCACTCTTGCTGTCTCGAGACTCGAGATCCGCCACTGTACACTCTCGGGCGCAGGCCCTTCATCAGCCTCGCAGATTCTCAGAGGAGAGCGGCCATGCGGCTCTGCGACTTAGAGCGAGCTAGGCACGGCGAGCATCACCGACTTCTTCCGCGGCGCGGGTGCTTCCTCGGAGCCACCGGCTGGCTGCAAAGGCGGAGCTTTCAAGAGGAATAGATGTGGCGGCTGGCGGAGTCACACTTTCAAAGAGGGAGTTCGGAGAAGTTCGGATTCGCTCTGCTCCGCCGCCGAGGCCTCGGCGGAGTTCCGCCTCCCTTCTTCTTTCTGCTCCGCTCCGCCGCCGCCACGGTTCCGGTCCGAGAGGAGCAGCGCCGAGTTCAGCGCCTCCTCCAAGGGCACCGGCCCACTCACCTGAGTCGCCCCCCGCACTTGTCACTATATAGTGCTCCTCCGCTCGCCGAACTCTCGCTCTCGCCGCGGCCTCCACGGCCATCCCTTCGTCCTCGTCGCCTCCACGGAGGACCTCCAAGGAGTAGAGGAGCAGCTCTCGAGACGCCAAAGCCTCAGAGCGGCAGAGCGGCAGAGCGCAGAGCGGCCTTCCGCGGGGCCCAAGTCTGAGTCCCTGACCGGCTGCAGGGTGGAGACCAGCAGAAGCCTCGAAAAGCTCGAGGACAGCCTCGGAGAAGGCGGGAGCGGAAGCGGAAGCCCTCGGAGTTTTTTTCAGAGAGAGATGCGCTGGGGCCCTAGGGCTCTGACTCGTTGAATGGAGCGGGGTAGCAGGAGCTGTAGGAGGCCGTGGAGGCAGAAAGCTCAACTGAGGAGACATCATGCAAAGCCTAAGTTCGTCATCTCGCCCGGCGAACTGTGCCAGCACTAGCCAGGTTTTAGCGACACGCCCTGTATTTGAAGCATGCGTCAGTTCCCTGAGTCCCGGTTCCGGAACCCCGCCGAGTGGAGTCGAGCAACTTTCCTCCAAGAGTCGAGATTCTCTTGGATGTGTGTCGGCAGGTCTCGGAGCGGTGTGTGGAGCTCGGCCAAAGCACAGATGCTCCTCCAGACCTCAAGACGAGAGAGGCCGCAGAGAGCTGCACCGCTCCGCCGCCGCTCAGCTCGCGACGGGCGTTGGCCAGAGGCCCAGGTCGGGGCTCCTTCTCGGAGGATCGGAGCTCGAGCGCCTCTGCGAGCCGAGGGAGCCTAAGGGAGCCTAAGGGAGCCTAAGGGAGAAAGGGAGCCCGCAAGCGTTGCTCCTCTCCAGAGCTAGCGAGAGCTTTCCCGAGAGCAGGAAGTCCAGCAGCGACGGCTCCTTGCAGAGCTTAAACGGACACGAGCCGAGCGGGCTTGAGCTCAGCAGGCCTGTGGCTCCATGAGGAGGGCCGTGTGGATGAGCAGCAGAGGCAGCTGATGTCGGAAGAAGCTCCAAGCAAAGCGCCGCAAGACGCGAGAGGCCACAGCCCACAGGGAACTGCTGGTCAGGACCATCATGGAGGCCGCGGTGCTTAGAAGCGTGTCCTTCAAAATATCTCAAATCTCAAGATCCCTTTTGCAGAGCTCTTCTCCGGGCCTGTCCAAAGGCCGCCAGGGACTGCTGCTTCAGCAGCGCTTGGCAAGCGGCCTCGCAGCACGGGACCCGCAGGCCATATGCCGCAGGAGCGGAGCTGAGCGGAGCTGAGCGGCGCTGGCCGACTCGCCGATGTCCACCAGGGAGCAAAGGAAGGGCGCGCCTCAAAGGCCGCAAGCGAAAAACAGCGGAAGGCGCCCGGAACGCCCCCTTCTTGGGCCCCCCGGCCACCGAGGCAGGTCGCGATGCCGTCCAGGGATTGGAAAAGCCGCGTGCAATGCTCCGCCAGGTCGCTGTAGATGCTCCGCGTCTTCTCCAGCCCAGCTTGCAAACTCATCAGCGCCTCAGACGCAGAAGCAGCGACGCAGAAAAGAAACAGCAGAAGAGAGGAGAGTTGGCATACGGAGCCCGGCCCCGCGCGGGCCTCCCCAAGGGTCTCGCGGAGCTCTTGGACTCGGCCGAAGCTCGTGGCCACCGCGGCCAGCGTCACCTCCTCTTCGAACAACTCGCCGGTCTGAGTCTCCCCCTCAGTGAGCCTGGGATCCCACGACAGATAAGTTGTGAGTCTAAGAGTCTCTTTGCTTTCGAGGCGCTGGGAGAGCAGCTGATCCTCCAACATTAAGAACTCGCGCTGGTTCTGCACGAAACTCAGGAGTTCCATCGCCTCGGAAAAAAGCTTCAACTTTGGCGCTGAAGTTGCAAATGCTGCAAGCAGTCACTGTCCGGCCTCCCCTTGCTGAGCGAGACGTGCCAAAAAGAAATCGTCCAATGCGCTCTGGTCAGCAGTGAAGTTGATCGTTGCTATCTTGAATTGGACTCTTGAAAGCAGCTCCATCTCTTTGTCTGCGGTGACCAAATAAAGACGAAACTCCTTAGCTGAGCTTAGCCGAGTAGAGTCGCTATAGCAATCTGTGATCACTGCTCTTTTGGCCCCGCCACGCAATCCTTGGGCTCCTCCTCGAGTTCCTGACAAGAGCTTCAGTCCGCACGGTCACACGGCGACATACGGCGACGACGCTGCGACATACGGTCCTCCGGAACCTGTGCCGCGGCCGTTTGCGCTTCGTTCTCCTCCGCTTCGATCTCCAACTCGTCAGGCGGCGCTCGCTCCGCACCGCAGCGGCTCCGCGCCGGAGGCCCTGCGGCCGCTAGAAGTTCCTTCGGGTTAGGGCCATCATGGAAGCCGGAACACTGCAGATGCTTTCGTCTCCAGAAATGTCGGGTCCTCGCTCTTCGGTTTCGTCTCGCTCGCATCGCTTTGCAGGTACTGCAAGAGGCTCGGTGCCAGCGCGGCTCGGCAGCCCAGAACCAGAAGAGGCTTGCCTTCCACACTACATCTACATGTATATACATGTGTGTATATACATATATGTTTATAGACACATCTTATACACATATATGTATATATATATACACATCTTATATGCATATATATATATATATACAGATACAGGGAAGGACTTCCATTCTCCAGAAAAACACAATGTGGAGGCCTGCGTTTCGTGCATGTGTGTCTCTGTCTACATGATATATATATATATATATATGTATATATGTATAGATATATATATATATATATATATATATATATATATGTGTGTGATCCTTTCGTGAAAGGCTTATGACGAACTTTCAAGAGTCTTCGGGTTTTCTCGGTTCAACTCAAAACAACTGTTATGTATTTATCCATGTTCGCATGTGTATATATATATACATGGTACCCCCCCCCAGGACCTACCTCCAAACCTGTTTGTCTACATATATGATACCACGCTTCATTACCCATGCACACACATGCACACACATGCGCACACATGCGCACACACGCACACACATGCAACATGGACCTTAAGGTATACGAAGATTATAATGTATACGAACATGACTATACCAGAGGCCCGGTTGCATTAAAACCCGCATTAGAAAATAAAATCTTAATGCAGCCCGGCCCGTGGAACCAAGAACCAAGAACCAAGATGCCCAGGAGTCTTGAATCTTGGATCTTGGCTGGCTGCATTAAAATCTGCACTAAAAAATTAAATCTTAATCAGCCCGGTCCGTGGAACCAAGAACCAAGAACCAAGATGCCCAGGAGTCTTGAATCTTGGATCTTGGTTCCGCGGGCACCGGCCGGGCTGCATTAAAATCTGCATTAAAAAATTCAGTATTAATGCACCGCTGTGGCCCTTCTTTTTGGCCAGATGGATGCACCAAGCTTTGCGTCGTGGCAAGCAAACACGCAGCACAGTCCCTCAGGGCGGCTGCAAAGGTTGCGAGCTCACAAAGAAGCGCCCCCGTTTTGGGAGGGCAGGGAGGGTGAACTTGAAATGTTACAGACGTCGGGACATTCATGTCATGACGTCGGCCCTGGAATGCGAACCTACGCTATGCAAGACCGTTCAAGAACATCAATGCACCGCTGTGGCCCTTCTTGTTGGCCAGATGGATGCACCAAGCTTTGCGTCGTGGCAAGCAAACACGCAGCACAGTCCCTCAGGGCGGCTGCAAAGGTTGCGAGCTCACAAAGAAGCGCCCATATTAGCAAGCCATCACGAACCCACGCATCACAGGGCCCATACTAGCTTGCCATCTGGTTAGGACCGAGCATAGCATTGCTCAAACCTTCTTGCCATAGTTGCAACCTCGGAATTGTAAAATGCGCTGGCAATGGCACGACACATGCGCGGCGGGTAAGGCTCAGCCCACTTGGTGCGCCATTGCCCTGATGAATGTGTTTGCCCTTGCAGAGGCACGTGCCGGTCGCCAGTGTACTGGCAGACTCGCTTGCTATGACACGTGTGCACGGCCAAGAAGCTGAGATTGACGTGCACGCCGACAAAGGAGGTAGGCTTCTTGAAGGGCCGGCCCGAGGCACAGTAGTGCGTAGTCCACTGTCCCACGAGTGGTTTGCGAAGAAGCTGCTGGATGGGCGGACACAACCACAGTCTGGACGTCAGCGGATTTTCAAGGGTGGCCGGCACTCGCATGTGCCAACACAGCGACAGAACCTTCACCGAGAAACGCATCCAGAGGTTGCCCAGCTCGACTTTGAGTTGATCGGCAGGCCGGAGGCCAGGCAAACCTAATGGATGCATATTGCTTCGAATAGGAGGGGGACCTGGGCGCACGTCACGAGCACGAGAAAAGCTTTCACAAGGCATGCCCAAATGGATGCCCGCAACCAGCCCGGACCGCACCCAGCCACAGATTCTTTGTCGCTGCACAGGATTGCGCAGATCGTAGTCAGCGCCAAGGTTGATGTCCCAAAGCAACACAAGGCCACCACATTTTTGCCAAAGAGTGGCGCCCAAGGCCCCTGAACCGGCGAAAATCTCGATGTAGACCCTGGTTTTGGGCCACTTTGATGGCGGCACGCTCAGGGCAGGCCACACACCCTTGCACGGATTTCCTGAGTGGCCGCCATGCCCTTCTGAGCGAAGCTTTTGGTAGCCCTTGCAGTTGATGTGTCACTCTGCCGCCTTTCTCGTATGTTGAAGCTGCGCCATCGCCCGCTTTTTTGGATTTCCTGTAAGGTCCGTCTTCCATGCAGCGCATCTCGACTTGGGCCCCCGCTCCCAGGCTCCTCGGTGACCCAGTTTCAGAAGCCTGAAACATTGCTCGGCCACCCACTGTATGTCCGGAAGATCGAACAGGATTGTCTCGTCGAACTCCCCCGTCTTCGAAGGCGTTTCCCGCTCCACTGGGTGAAGGATCAGAGACCACACATGGGTCGAACCCGCGGGCGGCACCAGATCTCTCACATGTAGCTTCAACACCTCCCCCGGCCTGAGATAGGCCACAAAGGCGAGTAACAAAAACAGGGCGACCTGGATCGAGCTGCGAGTCAGCGCCTCCATCGCCATCAAGCACACTACTTCCCAAGGTAGCGGAAGTCTCGACTTTGGCGGGTCCAACCGCCGCCACCCAGCCAGCGACTGCCTTGCCAAATCCAGCCCTCCGCGAGCTCCTCGAATTTTCGAAGATGGGGCTGGTAGAACTGCACAGCTGCGACGAGGTATTGGTCCTGGCTCAGGTCCTCCCCCTCGTCGAACATGTCCCCGAGAGTCTGGCTCACCGGCAAATCGAGGTCCATCGCCGCGTACTTTTCCGTCACCTGCAAGCCTGCCGATGTGCACACTCGCCTCCACAGCTTGCTGTAACTGTCCCTGCACGCCCGACTCACCGATGCTTCCGCCAGCGTGCCGAACTCTTCCCTGATTTTGGTCCTCGCCTGCGCCTGGGTCTGTGCCTTCGGCGATGTCTTTGAAGTGGGCCGCGGCTTCCCTGCTTTTGGCGTCCTTGCTCCCACCTTCGGCATGGGGATGTGCTTGTGAACCACCATCCTCGGAAAGTTTTTTGAGAGCAGGTTGCGACGGGAAATGCGAGCCGCGGCTCGGGCCGTCAGCGGGGTTCCACTCTGACGGCACGAACCTGAACTGCACACTTGCGCCTGCACAGAGACAAAGGCTTGCCAGCTGCTGAGTAACTCGTCTCATGCCGAACGATCGCCCTCGGCCACGATCTAGAGCACAGATGGCAGCAGTCGAATCAGAGAGCACAAGATGCCGCATGCCAAAAGCAGACTCCTTCCGTAATAAGCGTTTGACTGCAAACAAAGAAGCTCTCCCTTCCAACACGGGCATCCCCTCTTGTCGCTTCCACTTATATGGGCCGACAACCTTCCACTTTCTATCAACGGCTCCAGCTCCAACCGGCTTAAATTTCTCAGAAAGCAGCTTGCCTTCTACCACCGACATGGGAACCGGCCTGACCTTGTAGCTCTCGCTTCGCGCATGGGCCCATTGATAGCTCCGGACCTCGTCAGGCTCATCACCACTTGCAGGCTCCAGCACACTCGCTCGAGGACAGCTGTATTCCGGTATCTCGAAACGCCACCGCTCGGAATACTTACCCAGCTGCTGCACCTCTTCGTCTGAGAACTGAGCGACCACCGCTCCCAAGCCCCATGTTGAGGCATCGACGGCAGTGACCTCCGGCGCCCAAGGGGTCCCCAAGTCTCTCCAAAGAAGAGGTGCGATTGCAATCCAGATGTTCAGCTCCCGTCTCACGCTAGGCCAGATACGATGACTGCTCAAGTAGTGGGTCCGAATAAACGAATAGCACTCCCCGAAAACAGATAAAGCTTCTCTCCGACCTAGTGCAATAAAGGTTGCATGACCGATCACCTTTTCCAGCTGCCTGCCACTGCAAGTGCCGCGTTGCATGCAAAAGGAAACGTATCGCTGCAATGAGGCGCCAGACTCGATGAGGTAGGGGGCGAAGCTTCTTCCCTTCGAAAGACCAACCCAAAACATTGATGTTGCCCTGGGCGCTCTCATCCTCGTGAACGACTAAACCCCTATCCCTCAAGGCCTGCACCCCTGCAGCCGCAAGGGTCTCTACCTCCGCTTTCGAGGTGCCCAAGCAGACGAAATTGCCCACATATTCCAAGTGCATACACTGTGGAGCCGGAACGGCCGCGCGATCCTCCAAGGACCTGCTCGCAGTCGCCCCAACTTGTGATACAATCCGCTGGTGTATCGTCTGGCACCACCACAAGGCGTGGGACCACCCCATCGGCAGCACTTTCAACCGCGGATGCAGCAGAGTAGTAGACTTGACCGGCCTCCCGCCGATCATATTGATTCCAAGGTCACCTGCCGACACAGTCCTCATGCCAAAGTAAGGCCGAAGCTCGGAGGGCAGTTCGAAATGGTAGAAGGCGTCCTTCAAATCTGCCGTGGCAATGTAGAGCTCACCTTCCACGCCTCCAAGATCAATGCGGCTAAGCACCTCGGCGGTCGCCAAGTTGACCTTATCGGGCGCGGCGAACCACTCGTTTGATCGCCGGCAGTCCACCACCATCCGAAGCCTGCCATCCTTCTTTCGCACAAAGAAGACTTCCACCTTCTCTTGCGGCTCCATGTCCGTAATCTCCACCATCCGCCCTCCATCAGCCTCCGCACGAACTTCGAGTACACACGAGGCTCCAGGAGGCGAGGGTCCGAGTAACATCTCACCAGCCCTGTCCCGTGCAAATTGCGCAGGGCGTCATTCCTATGCAAAAGCCGAGTTGAGACGAAATCCTCAACGACTTTCATCCCATCGCCCCCCAACAGCTCATGAAGAGGCACCGGTGGCACCTCCCCCGTCGGCAAACTCAAGAGGCTGGGCTCGTAAGAGGCGACGAGTGGCGGGGTTTGGTCCTCCCCGTACCCGTCCAAGGCCTGAAGCTGCCGAAGCGCCTCTCGACGACAAAGCGCCTCCTCGGGCGCTCCCAAAAGGTGCACTGAATTCCGTATGTGTGCCAAAGCCGCCTGCTGAGCCCGAGAAGGAGAAAAATCTTGCGCACCTTGCACTTGCACACCAAACTTCTCTCCACTATATAAAGAGTTGAGCCCACGCACACAGTCAGCAACTAGCGAAGCGCGATGCCAGTTCCGCTCCAGGCGGCGCTTGACGCGCCTTGACCCGCCAAAGCCACCAACGACCGGGACCACTGGCACCGGCAAAGGAAAAATGTCCCTGGGCACACGACGTTCGTCCCCAGCGGGAAAGGGAGCTCTTGATGCCGCCTGCAGACCGCTCCCGGCTCCTGCAGGCGATGCCCAACTCAGGGGTTTCCCCCGCCTTTCTTCCTCGCAAGGTCACGTTCTTCCCGCGCCTTCCGAAGATTCTTTGACAATTGGGCATCCTTCTCGATTCTCGACTTCTTGTTTCACATGGTCCAACAACGACGGCGCAATCATGAGGGTGCCAGCTTGCCTCACTAGGGAGCCAAAGGTATGCTGCTCCTCGAGAGAGAGCTTGCCTCCCACCGACTTGGCCTCCAGCTCGCGAGCACGCTCCGAGTGGGCGTACTCTATGGTCTGCACCCGCCTGAACATCAGCTCGACACCGTAGCAGTTGCAGGCATCGATCTGGTCCACCTGAATCAGTTGTCGAGTACACTAGCTAGCGTATCCTCCCGCCACCTCCCACTACACCTCCGGGGAGTACGTAGCAAGCCTAGCTAAAGCTAACTGGCTTCACGCAGTAGCACGGACAACACGAACTTCTCTCTTTTTAGCGTTGTGGCGAAGTCCCGCGTTAGCCCGGAGAAGAACTCTAGCCTTTGGCTAGCTAATCTCCAGGGTGGGTTGGGTGGGCACTCGAAATTTGCCCCCCAATAGCTGGGGGCCTTTCAGCACAATGGCCACGGGGTAGCACTGCTTCACCGGCCATGTGCAGTCACTCTAGCAAACAGACAAGCTTCGTTCTGTTTAGCTTCAGAGGAAAACCCCTTCGACGTTTTCTAGCGAAACACCTTCGATGTTTCCCAAAGGGATACTAGCGCTAGCATACACTGTCGTACCTCGTCCCTCGGCACGAGTGCGTACACTAGCTAGCGTATCCTCCCGCCACCTCCCTCTACACCTCCGGGGAGTACGTAGCAAGCCTAGCTTAAGCTAGCTGGCTTCACGCAGTAGCACGGACAACACGAACTTCTCTCTTTTTAGCGTTGTGGCGAAGTCCCGCGTTAGCCCGGAGAAGAACTCTAGCCTTTGGCTAGCTAATCTCCGCCGTAGGGCTACCAGGGACCTAGCTTACGGGCCTTCTTAGCGAACCTCGGAGCCTTCGGCTCTCCGGTCCTTTTCCTCACTCCTAGCTCTTGGAAGTAGCTAGCCGAGTGTTCGAGGAGACGGCCCAGCACGCGCCACTCTAGCTTTTCCCCCTCCAGGCTCACCCTGAAGTCCGGGGAGAAACTAGCAAAGTTCTCGTTCGTGAGGTCGTCCGCTAGCTGGTTCAGATCCCTGCGGATCCACTGTAGCTGAAGCTCACAGTTCTTAGCGGAGAGTTCCTCTGCTAGCTCCATCTGTGGCATTGCCCAGTGTCCCGTGCGGGATGTCGGTTTGGGCCGGTAAGGGGCGCCCTCTGGGCCTACCATACCTAAATCAACACCCGTCGTGCAACATCACTCAAATGCCACACCACGGTAGGTTGGGGGATGTTGGGGGCGATCCCAAACCCTAGGATTGACAAATGCAGCACAGTTCGAAGCAAATTCAGCCCCAGGTTGAGCGGAACATTAGGCGTACAAGCAGATCGCCAGCAATCTTGTCATGTTGTTTCACATGAACGTCTTTTGATGACGAGCAGTCTCGAAAATGGTGCCCGGTTCAGCGCTTCAAACTTCATGAAACACAAGACATGAGAGCTGTGTGATGTGTTCGAAAAATAATTCCAAAGCACTTCACATCAGACACGACAAATACAATCAATGTTGAAAGAATAGCCAGATACTGGATCTGGTGCATTTCGCCTTCGGTTCGTTTGCAAGATAGGACCTAACACAGATGAGAAATTGGGTTCAGGACACAAAGCTACAATCACAACGGTGGCGGTGGCAGTGGCCTGCAACGCGAAGCGTGTGCTTTGCATAATTGACATGAACCCCAGCTGCACTGCATTTGCACTTGACAGAAGCCACAACCTACAACTCGAGGACGTGAGGCACGCGAGAGCTGCTTTAGGATTGAGTGCCAAGGATCAAGATCGAGGGATTGAGAAGAGAGAGTCAGAGAGAGAGAGAGAGAGAGAGAGAGAGAGAGAGAGAGAGAGAGAGAGAGAGAGAGAGAGAGAGAGAGAGAGAGAGAGAGAGAGAGAGAGAGAGAGAGAGAGAGAGAGAGAGAGAGAGAGGAGAGAGAGGAGAGAGAGAGAGAGAGAGAGAGAGAGAGAGAGAGAGAGAGAGAGAAGGAGAGAGAGAGAGGGAGAGATTCAGCTCGCACTTTGCACGATTTTTTTCTTCCGTTGCAGTTGACGGTTTCTTGAAGTCTTGAAAGTTTCTTCGGACGGCTCACGACTCACTCATGCTATACAAACTGTCTTGATGCGCCCTCTCACCCGCAGCAACCCCAGCCGCAGCTCACGCAGAAAACCTTTCCTCGGAAAAAAGCGGTGCCACCCGCAGAGCGGATCTACCCGCGAAGGCGGAGCCACCCGCAAACGGACTTACCCGCGAACGCCGAGCAACACCACCAGCATCAGAGGTGATGCAAACTCTCGGTCACGTTTGCCTTTCCTTCCTTCGCTTTTCGTGCCTCCTCTGCCTTTCGTGCCTCCTCCGCCTTTCGTGCCTCCTCCTGTGCCTTTCGGGCCTTTCGTGCCTCGTCGTCTTTGGCCTTTCGTGCCTGCTCCGCTTTTCGTGCCTCCTCCTCCTCTTTGGCCTTTCGTGCCTCCTCTTCCTCTTTGGCCTTTCGTGCCTCCTCCTCCTCTTGGGCCTTTCGTGCCTCCTCCTCCTCTTTGGCCTTTCGCGCTTCCTCCTCCTTTCGTGCCTCCTCCGCCTTTCGTGCTTCCTCCTCTTTGGCCTTTCGTGCTTCCTCCTCCTTTCGTGCCTCCTCTGCCTTTCGTGCCTCCTCCTCCTCTTTGGCCTTTCGTGCTTCCTCCTCTTTTCGTGCCTCCTCCGCCTTTCGTGCCTCCTCCTCCTTTCGTGCCTCCTCCGCCTTTCGTGCCTCCTCGTCTTTGGCCTTTCGTGCCTCCTCCTCCTCCTCTTTGGCCTTTCGTGCCTCCTCCTCCTCTTTGGCCTTTCGTGCCTCCTCGTCTTTTGCCTTTCGTGCTTCCTCTTCCTGTGGTGCCTCCTCCTGTGCCTCCTCTGCCTGCTCCGGAGCATCGCTCAAGCCGCCGATATACTTCAATGCTTCGTTCACAATGGCAGTCTTGGCAACCAGTGGCTGGAGTGCTTTCAAATCTTCACACATGCCCTTGGCGAGGATACCGATGCGCAACCCACTGATGTCTTGGCCCATGACACGGTGAGAAACCATGCAACCTGCAGGGAGGTAGAGCAAGTCGCCGGGGCCCACCGTGGCGCAAAACGCACCACCATCTTTGCTGATCTCCTCAAGCTCTGAAGCCGAACACTTGAAAATGAAGTCCTGAACACGCTGAAGCGTCACCTCACCGCTCTTCTGCAAGCGATTCAGCACGGGACGCAGCAACACCACTGTGACATACCGTGTCCCAGTAAACTGGACACGACAACAAGGCATCATGTGCAGCTCGAACTTGGCTACGGAGACGTGCGATGCAGCGATACCGAAGCTCACACAATCCATGACCTTGGCCATTTCAGGAAACTGCAGCACATCCTCCGGCTTCAGCTCCATCACCGCGTCACTCGCAACCAGCTTCTGAACGGCTGCTGCAAACGAATGCCCTGCCTCTGCTTTCACTGGAGCTTGAGCTCTGCCCTCTGTCACACGAATGCTGGAGTCACGGAACAAGCTCGAGAATGCCTTCAAAGCTTTCTCTACCTCGCAATCCTTGAAGCAATCCCCAGCTGATGTGATGATGCGGGGCTTCGCTGCATCCCAAGTCGGCGCCCATGTAGCAAATGATGGAATCTGGATTCCATCATCTGCCCAAGTCTTACACTCTGTGTCAAGCAGCACGTGGCAACCTGCTCCGGTCTTCAGCTTTTTGGCCCGGCCTCCAAACAGCAGCACAAAATGCTTGAACTCTACAGCCTGAAAACGGACCGAATATGCCCATGAAGCAATCGCAGACTTGCACATGCACCACTGAACAACCAATCACAGAACTACGCATGCACTGCACAACACAATCGCTACGGACCCGCCTTGCGCAGCAGCACTGGCAGCTTTCTTCTTGTCCGCTGCCTCCTTCAATTCTTTTTCTTTTTGCTTCTCCTTCGCCGCCTGAGCCTTTTTCCTTGCAGCCACAAGCTCGTTAACAGAAGTCCTGCAAGCCGACACCAATGTTGCGATGACCTTCTTGGCTGGAAGAGCTGCCTCCAACTTCTGCTTTATTTCGTCTTGGGAGGCACACGTCCTAAACCCGGCGCCTTTGCTTGCCAGCGAACTGAAAGTGATCAAGCTCTCATAGCCAGCGCAAGGTCCCGCTCGAGACAATGCACCCACATCCCTGGAATCCGTACTCGTGTCCTCCTGGGGCATTTGTGAGATCCCGATCACCTTTTCTGACAAGATGCTTTCATCGTCTGACATGACTGCACTCAACCATTCCTGTCGCTTCTGCACCAGCAACATTTCACTGGCGAACTCAACGGCTTGCACAGGCTTACTCCTGAAATCCAGAAGTACACTCGTCATCTCATCGTTCATTTTCTGGATGTCTCTCTTGAGGCCTTCCACCATTTGGTCCCAGGTCCGCTCTGCTCTCCGCGCCTTGGACTCATCGAACCACTTGTCCGCCGGCTTCTCCGGCTTGTCCTTCGTTGGTGTGGATTTGCCCTCGGATCCTGGAGCTGGAGAGCCACTCATGGCTTCCTTGTCGCTTTGCTTGGCCTTCTTAGGTGTTGGCTCTCCCTCCTCGTCCTCCTCGCTTTCGGCGGCTTCTTCATCATCATCATCATCCTTTCCAGCGTCGCTCCTGCTGTCACACAACCAAACCAAAAACCAAGTCGAGGCACGACGTCGATCAGAGCTGCAAGCGCAACAAGCTTCGCCTAAGCATTCCAGTGATTGAGACATGAACTCGACATGAATGCAGTCCTCTTCCGCTTCAACCGAAGTTGGCCCACGATGTCCTCCACATCTGGACCCAGCAGGCCGTCACCTGCGAAGCATGAATCCGCAACGCCAGAACTCCCGGCCATAGCTGAAGCTGCTTTCTCCTGGAGCTTCTTGAAATCGTCGACCTCATGACTTTCCAGGCCTTTGTCACCAGCCAACATTTGCATGCGACTGGCAAGAACAGCTGCCTTTGGATTCTTGCCCAGCTTCTCTTCCTTTGACAATTCCTTATCTTTTGCAACTTCATCAAAGTGGATCAGTTTGTCCCTGGTTTTGATCCAAAGTCTCAAATAGCCTCGTGGCCCAGCTTTGTCCCGGGGATGCTTGGGGTCGTCACGCATTTTTTGCCACGCTGCTTCTGCCTCATCCCTCGTCAAATACCCGTGTTTCGACTTTCTGCTTTCCTCGTACCACTCTTGCTCCCACATCATTTCGCCCTCCGCCTCACTCCTGAGGCCGCTGGACGCCCTGTACGTTAGCCTGAACGCCGAAATGGAGAATTTGAGTCGTTCTCCAGCCTTTGCGCACTGTTCCCGGGCCTTCGTGAAGGCCTTCGTCAAGGCCTTGTACTCCGCTGGCGCATCCCGCTCCATGACTTCGATTGTATCCGACATCCCCTGCCGCTCTGCAACTCGCTTGAGTGATCTCGTATTGTTGTAGCATGACTTGCACTTCCCCTGTGACTGATTAAAGTCGTCCTCCTCCTTGAATGCCTGGCATGTCCCGCACTTCTTCCATGTGTCCTTACCCTTCCCACCACCGCTCTTGCGTTTTGAGGAGGCTTTGGCCTTGGCTTTCCGTTTCGGGGTTCTTGGTTTTTGACGCCTACGCTTCTTGCCTCGGCGACTGCTGGCCTCTTCCGAAGCCTTGGCCTCTCCGGAAGACGCCTCCTCCTCAGCCCCCTGCATGAACTCAGCGAAATCATCAGCTGCATCAGCAGCCAGCGACAATGATGTCATTGTCGCGACTTTACGAAACCCTCGGGATCCCCGTCGCGAGTTGGAAAACTCTGTCCGACTGCACCAAAGCTACCGCACACACTCGCACTTCAACTCAAGATGTCAATGACTGCTGGGCCGAATGTTTTACAATGTGTGATTTGTGCGGCAAAGGAAACTTGCAGCAATGTACTGTTGTACTAGAAGATGACAAACAAACACACACATACACACAATGAACATGGGTCGGACCTTCAATGGCTTCAGATGCAGCAGACCAGCAGACTTTCACCTGTCGAGCAACACCTGTCTGGCAATAATGGGATCCAAGACAGCTCTCACAGCCAGCTTGCAAAGTGCATCGTCATGAGTCCAATCGTTGAACTCTTAGGATTCGACTACACCGTATGGCATGAACTTCTATGAACTTACAGCACTCCATGTCTCTCGGTCCAGCGATGCAATCTTAGCTCACCACATACGCTGCTTCATCGAGGTGCTCTGCTACAGCAACAAACATTGTACTGGCAAAGTCTTACGTGGACCTTCGCCGTCGCCGCCACACAGACTACGGAGAGACTGGCTCAGTGCATCCGAAGCAAAACAGCAAAGTGGCTCCAATGGCTCGGAGGTGCATCGAGTTCCCGGCCATGCTGAAAATCTGAGCTGAGGAAAGATTGTGTAGATGCTCCACAAAACCACAGCGCAACTGATCTGGCAAGGATGGTTCCACCCCCTCGCCCTCAACCTCTGCATCTCTGCTATTCATGCCTGCAGATCCCCAGATGTTCCAACCCTGGACTTCCAGCAACTCCAATGGCAATGCATTTCGCTTCTTCCCGAAGATCCAAAGCCTGGAAGTGCGAAGCAGGGCCGGGACGGTGAATTGCATTGCTGGCATAAAGGAGCTGCTCTGACGCAGGTTAGCAATCCAGGAAGTCTGAGCAGCATCCGGACCGATGCGCCTGACAAGTGCAGTCGCATGGTCATCAATGTTGGCACGCACGGCTTGAGAGGCTACTTGGTAAAAGCTCCACGGCTTGCCACTTCGAGTCCTTGGCGGCATGTTCTGGGCCTTGACAAATTCCTGCCGCTGCAATTCTACGTAGTCCTCGGGCGCCCGGAATTTGCTATGTCCTTCCATGCAGACTGTCCTGGCGAAGATTCGAAAGAATGCATCCTGCACCCCAAACTCCTGGATCTGCGAACGCCATTGAAGCTTGTCTTTCCTGGTAAGGATCATATACTTTCGAGGCCTCTCTACTGGTTCCCCGAACAGTGTAGGACCAAACTGCAGAATATCCAAGTTGTAATGACTTGCAAACAACTCTCCCATCATCTCTGAGTCGAACCGTGGTACGCATTCGACAATGATCACGTCTTCCAATGCAACCATCCTTTCACGTGCCCATTGCATAAAGATGGGCATTCCTTGCCCCAACCACCCCTGAGCACTGCCCATCTTGCTCCAGTCGTAGCAGTTGACACCGGCAACATGAACCCGCAAACCTTTGCCGCCTGTTCCTGCATCTGGAATCACAGGGCACATCTTATCGTGAATATAGCAATGGGCATGACGTGTTACCGATCTGAGTGCCGTCTTGCACAGCATGAACTTCGCGATCTTCCGCACAGTAGCTCTACCTGCCTCTACCACAGAAGCTGACTTCTTGCCCTTGCCATTCTCAATTTGCTTCAGCACCACCGCCAAACATGTGGTTCTAGCCTGCTCCATTCGATCTTGCAGCTTCTTGGTACATCTGTCCATGATATTTCCATGAACACACCTCGGACGAAAAACGCCAACATGATTCATCAATATGTGGCGACAGTGTTTGTTCATGTCGCCTGCACGCAAAGAGTAGCAATCCGATGTGCGGGGCCTGTCAGGCACTTCGGGATCCTGATTCCTGTCAGTGCAAATGAGCACAGCTTGCAGCAACTGCTGCAAGGCCTCCTCAGGACACCCCATTCCAGAGTAATCGGTAGTCATCACGATACCCTGCAGCATGCGATCACTGGCTAAAGCAGCCAAATCCACGGAGAAAAACTTCTGGCCCTGATCCCGCAAACTCTCCAACTCCTGGAAAGGCCAAAGCATTGATTCAATGGGATTCCTGGGGCCGGTCAGCCTCTCTTCCAGCTCAAAGTAAGTTGCACCCTTAGCCTGTGATATAGCGAGAAAAGGAGACGGGGACCAAACTCCGAAGTGCAAGACCCGCCGTTCCACCGGCCGGAGGGGGGATCCCGAGGTTTTCTGCACAACAAAGACGTCCGTCGATAATCCTCCTCGCTCCTTCGGGACATGGTTGCCGGAAGAACTTTCTGGCGATTGTATTGCTAACAGCGGACAGCGCGAACTTTTTGCATACTTGAGCCAACGAGTAGCGTAGGTAAGACACGTATACATAGATACAAACAAGGTAAAACACCCCCAGCGCATTGAAGCGCAGCGGAGGAGGCGTACAGTAGCCTTGGGGACCACTTGACCCTTATAATAATTGACGTGAGCTCTTTTGGAATGACCACTATTTTATGGGTCATTTGCAATGACCATTAAACCGGGCGGCTGCCAGGTAGGAAAACACAGCTTGCTTATGGATCGACCAGCTTGTCGGCAACATGTTGCTGGCTGTTCCAATCTTTCTGATCAAATCAAAACAGTGAAAAACTGTCGTGCTTGAGTCTCATGATGCTCATGACATCGTCTATGGAAAATGCTTCAAGATGCTTTCTGTGTAAAGACTGTACAGCCAGCTTCTCATCGAGTCTCACCCATGTGGTGCCGGAGTGCGGTAGAGAAAACTTATAGAATAGAAAACAAATCTTCGTACTCTTGGGCGAAGCGCTCCGACTTGGTCCTCACCTTCGGAGTGTAGCTCTGAACTTTGAACTTCTCGTGCTCGGTTTGGCTTCCGGTGTTGCACTTTGCTGGCCTCCAGGAAAAAGTTCTCAAGCACCACTTAAAGAGCTTCAGAAAGGAGTAGGGGAGCCCAAAGAAAACAACCAAAGTAACCAAAACTTTCCCCGCCGTAGCCGCCACCAAGTAGAAACTCTCTGTGTCCCAAATGGCAACCAGTGGGGCTGCCGGGCTCAAGCCCTGTGATGGCTGAACCTGCGACATGATGAGGAGGATCGGCATGAGCGCCTTGATCTGGGACACACGGTGGCCGTCGCACTTGAGCTCCTTTATCACACGCGCCATCTCCCTCTTTTGATCCGCAAGCTCTTTGTCCTGAGCTCCATAGGGAGAGCCATCCGGAAGCAGTCCCCATCATGAAGAGAAGTTCGCGGATGCGACTTCCGCTGAGAGGCTTCGTTCCCTGCTGAAGCGCAAGAGTAGGGACAACACCTTTCCTTTTTGCATCCGGAGGAAAAGGGAAAGGAGACCGTAGTCAGACATTTTTGGAAATGGGGTTTCCACAGCTGAATCGAGTTGTGATGATCAAAGAGATAATGCTTCGCATGGCCCGGTGAGGGCACCAAGGGGAGGCCTTTAATCTTCTTATCCGATTGGTCCGATTGCCTGAGCAGCTGTGAGATTGCGATGGGTGCTAGTGTCCTTTGCAAGTTTGCGTCACACTGTGCTCAGCATGTGAGTGTGCCTGTTTGTCCATGTATCGACATACATACATACATACATCATATGACGTTATATACATGTGTATATATGTGTATATATATATATATATACATATGTATATATATATATATATATATACATACATATGTGTATGACAGGGTTGAGGTCACCTCCGGAGTCCAGGATCGGGCTCAGTTGCTGACGTCAATGAGTCGAGCGCGGGCCCAGCGGAGGCGGTGACGGCCCTTCAGAGGGCGGACCTCAACATAGCACTTCCTGATGAGTCGCTGCAGGTGCGGTCGTTGTCCACCATCGTGAAGAAAACAGCAGTGGCCTTGGCGAAGACGGAGCTGCAGATCGACTCGCGACCGAGTCAGTCGAATGTGTTGCGGTTTCTGCAACACTTGCTTGCAGAGCTTGAGCAACTGGGATCTGGGACAAAGAAGCCAAAAGCTAGTACCCCGGCACCGTCTAGCTCGCCTACGTCGCCTACGACTATTACGTTGAAGGGCCTTCAGCCGGTACCTGATGGGACTGAGAAAGGAAAGGTCAAAGGAAAGGGCGGCGCCCCTGGGACCAAGAGGCCTTGTCAATGGTTTGGCACTGATGCAGGTTGTCGGCATGGCAAGCTTTGTACGTTTGCCCACTCCTGGTCTGGGTTGAATCGGGCCGAGAGATGCTTGCTCTGTGGCTCGAAGCAACACAGAGCGAAGGACTGTACGGCTCCTCAAGAGGCTACTGAGAAGCCTGGCAACCAGCAAGCGGCACCGAAGAGCCTTGCATCGGCTACGACATCAAGCACTACAACCGTGCCCAATCCGGCGGAAGGAGGCAGCTAGGCCTCCCCTTCAGGGTCCGGCATCTAGCTCATCTACTACTACGACCTCTGGACGGGTTAACAAGATCGATGCGGCAAAGATGACTGAGATCTCGAGCGAGACCAACAAGATGTTGAAGGCGCTTACCTCGAAACCTACGGAGCCGGCGCAACCGCCATCGAACCCTCAGGACCCGTTGGCCCTAATCCAGCAACAACTTGATGAAGTTCGAAGGCTGAAGACCTTGGTGGTGAGAGATCCGGGCCCCGAGACAGGGTTCTCGAGCGCCGTGGCCTGGTATGCGACGAGGCTGAATTCCTCTACTTTGGGCTCGGCCACTGTGGAGGCGAATGGCGAGGCGTTGCGCGACTCCGGTGCCAGTCATCCTTTCCGGCCGATTGCCACAGACCAGGAGTTGAAGGACGCTGAGCGTGTTGTGGTATCCTTGGCCACCGGGGAGGAGAGAAGCCTTTTGCAGACGCAAGCGGGCACCTTGTTGAGCGAGCAAGGGGAAGAGCCGCCGCTGGTTCCGATGGGGCAGCTGGTCTCCTTGCTGGGCTGTACTGTTCGTTGGTGCCCAAGAAGGCTAGTGGTGATCCACCCCATACATGGGAGGCTCCCAGTGCGTCTACGTGGGGCGTGTCCAGTGCTTCCCGTTGGGCAGGCTTTGTCCCTTATCGCCGAGCTCGAACAAGCTCGGATGGAGCAGTTCGAAAAGACCGTGGAGGAACTGAAGAACCAGATGAAGGTGTTGCGAGAGAAAGGGCGTGATGGTTGGTCATGGGAGTGACATCTTCAAGCTCTTCGAGAGGAGGGTGATCGGACCTCTATGGCCGGGTTTGTGCACCGTTGCGCAGCCTTTGAAGGACTTTCACCGGAGGCGCTGTTGGGGCTTCCCGAGGCGATTCCGAGGGAAGCGAAGGACGGCTGGAACATGTTCAAAGGTCTTCCTTGGTCGAGGGCCAAACGGAAAACCCTGTTCCAGAGCGATGGGTGGATCGACAATCTCTTTTCGGGAGATGAGTGAAAGGCACAGTCGGTGATGAGGCGAGGGGAACGACATGCTTGTGAATGTGGACATTACAGCCTCCCGGTCCTTTGATCTACGACAGCAAAGGGGAGTGTTCCGACTGCTGTCATGGGCTGCGTTGAATGGGAAGATCAAGGCGAGCGTTGGTGGCCCTCCGCGACACTCATACCCCAGGACGCCTGGAATGGTTGAGGACTCTGGATTGGCGTTGAAGGAGGATCAGCTGATTGTGCGGATGATGTCCCTGTGGTACATGGCGGAGGAAGGAAGAACCTATGCTTGGAAGAATGGCCTTGTGAAGGGCTCAATGATCAATGGTGAAGCCTCATGTGGGTTTTCTGCTGGAGCACCCGAGTTCTGTAGAAGAGGGAGGCGGTTCGTTCTTTCAATCGTCTATGTGGAAGGTGTTCTCCCAGGAGGAGTTGATGGGCGAGGTTCCGTTCGCGGTCAATGGACGGCACATCACCCTTGCGGGCAACCTGGATCTTTGGCATCTACGTGACCAGCAGCTCGGAGCGCTGGAGTCCAAGGAGGCCTATAGTTCGGTGCGGCCTATGGAGCTGGTCGCTCACGTGGCTGGTGCTTTGAGGTCCTGGAGGGGTCTTCGAAATAGAGAGGGTTTGCTAGCCTCTCTCCTACGTGCGCCTTTGGAAGAGCCGGTTGAGGATGTGGGTAACCTCGCCAAGTTCAATGCTGAAGAGTGGAAACTCCACCTTCATCGCGATCACCTACCTTACAGGCGAGATTGTCGTGTATGTGTTGAAAGATCCACCGGCAAGCCTCATAAAAGGGTATCCCACCCTTCGGCCTATGTGTTGTCCATTGATACGGCGGGTCCCTTCCGGCAGAAGGCGTTGGGCGGCTACAAGTACCTGCTGATCGCATGCTACAGGTTTCCGCAGTTGGCTGGCACAAGGGACGAAGACGGTGGTGACGCAGCCCCACAAGAGGCTGTTCCAGGAGATGGCTGTGATTGGTTTCTTGATGAAGAGGAAGCCAAGGTGGACGTCGGGAATGGCGAGCCGGAGAAAAGGGAGGCTGTCGAGTTGGAGAACAAGGACGCGGAGGTTGAGGGGCTGAAGGAGCTTGCGGAACCCCTGAAGTTCTCCTCGATCTACATCGTTCGGCCAATGAAGTCCCGGAAGCATGCAGAGACCCTAAAGGCTGTTCAAGAGGCATACATACAACTGCGTTCCTGCGTCCCTCTCTATATCCTTATTATAGTACAGCGCCTAACATTTAGGGTACCCAAAAAGGGGCCATGATTTTGACAACCACCCATATACCAGTATACTAAATCAGCCTTGACTCAATTCAGGGGCCAGAAATGAGTCATGCGCGGGGTGGGGTCAGCTAGGCTTGACTCATTTCAGGGCCTGAAATGAGTCAAGCGCGGGGTGGTTTGGGGGGTTTCGGAGAGCGTCCGGGGAGGTCTATGGAATCCGGGGTGGGTCGCAGGGAGATCCAGGAGGGAGAGGATGAAGGGGGAAAGAGAGGGGGGCCGTTCAAAATATTGAAGGCCTTTTAAGGCCTTTCAAATTGTTAAAGGCCCTTAAATTCCTTAAAATCCTCAAAATTAATGTTTTGGGGCCAAGCCCTAAAATCCTTCAGATTGTGAAAGGCTGTGTCTGGTTTTCAAAATTTTACGTTTGAATTTTAATGGGACGGTCAAAACTTTACGGCGCCTTTTTGAATGTGTTGAATTGCCTTCTAAAGTTTCAAAGGCACAAATTTCTTAAACTCTTTAAAATCCTTGAAATCCTTTGAATTTGAACGTGTTGGTGCCAAGCACGATTTAAGATATCAAAATCTTTTAAATCCTCAAAAGTTTGAAAGGCCTGTGTCTAGCTTTCAAAACGTTAAGGCATCTTTTAAATGTTTAAAAAGCCTTTTGCGTGTCAAAAGGAATTTTTACATTCTTAAAAAGCCCATAAATTCCCTTAAAATTTTGAAAACCAGACACAGGCTTTTCAACGTTTTGAGGGTTTATGATTACCGCGCCTGGCCCCAACATAGTTGACTTTCTTTCAGAACTCAAAGGATTTCGAGGGAATTGAAAGAGTTTGCGGATGCTTTTCATTTTTGAAGGGCCGTTTAAAACTCTAAAGGGCCTGCTAAATTGTAATTTCCGTTTACATTGCTATGGGCCCTTAAATTCCTTAAAATCCTTAAAATTACATGTTATTGGGGCGAAGCACGGCCCATTTACAATGTTAAAACCCTTAAAAAAAACCTCAACAGTTTGAAAGGCCAGTGTCCGGCTTTCAAGAACTTTCGAGTTTAAGGAGGAGTTTAAGGAGCCCTTGGAAATTTGAAAGGGCCTTTTAAAATGGTAAAAGGCAGCAATGCTTTAAAAGGCCTTCTAAGTTTTTACAACGCCCTTAAATTCATTGAAGTCTTGAAAGGCAGGCATAGGCTTTTCATTTCTTGAAGGATTCTAAGGATTTTCAAAATTCTACATGGGCCTTTTCGTGCAAAATTTTAGGTATTTTTCAGGATTTGAAAGAATTTAAGGAGCCTTGTAAAATCGTACAGGGCCGCTTAATTTTTTAGAGTGCCTGTTAAATTCGTCAAAACCCGTAATGAAATATTGCAAAGGAAACAGACCCGTCAAATAGTACATAAAGGTCCTACGTATAAACACATATACACATTTGTACACTCATACACGTTGACTTTCACATTTTCCGATTAATACATTTTCACCTGTCTGCATACACATATAAACCCATACACATATATAGATATGTAAATATGTATATAAGCATGTAAGCAAGTAAGCAAGTAAGTAAGTATGTATGTATACAGTAAACTCCATAACGTTGGAAACCGGACTAAGGCCAAATTGTGCTGGGATTCCCTATACATTACTCTTATGGATTCAGGCTATTGGGTTTCCAACTTTGAGGCTTCTACTGTATATGTATGTATGTGAGCTTTCAGTATGACTTGTTCACTTCGAACCTTTCGAGCGTCTTCCCCCCATGCCGGTTGTTGCCTTCTTGACGGCAAGCTGTCAGAGCCTGGCCCAGCTTCGGGCTCGCGGCATGCGTCACCGTCAGGGATGGGATTACCTTCCGCAGCCAGCGACATGCCTGCCGTAAGGCGCAAGGCCGTAGCAAGACATTTCCGTTCCCTCTGCCTCTCCTGTCCTCTCCTCCTCTCCTGTCCTGCCTGCTCATGCGGGTCCAAGCACAGCGGCATCAAGGGCACTTTCAAGGCCAGAGCCGCACTCACCGCCAGTGCAGCGGGCAAGCCCTGTGCATTCCACTCTTGCTCAGACACTTCGTCGAACAGAAAGCTGGGCAGAGTCCACAACCCATCTTCCGTTGCACCACGTTCCTCGGCAAAATGAAATCTCTGCTGAATTTCTACACGAATGAATCAAATCACTGCAACAAAGACACTGAAGCTGAATCGACGTTTGAGCCACTCGTCGGGTCCGCATCCACATCTTCGTCCCAACTGCGTACCGACTCCAACTCCCACTGATGATGTACCGGGTCCGAGAAAGTGAAGTCGTACCTCAAAAGGTCACGCCATGAGTCAGGCTGATGCATCTGTGCTGCAAGTGAAATGCAGGCCACAGCTGGGACTTTACATAAGGGGTATACGATCCCAAACCCCCAGCCCCCTTCGCCTGCACACGCCCAGACTGAACCTTCAAGGATGCTGGAGTGCAGCACCGACATGTCCAAGCCGGGAAGCTCTGCCCAGAGACTCTTCAAGGATTCCTCCCAGAGAGGGCGTCGGGCAGGGGCCACGGGGCCCAAGTAGGCCAAACAGACCGCGGCAAACATACCTGGGAGAGAGGAGAGAGGAGACAGGGATTCTATTCCGCGCAACGTGCCGTTGGGTCGCACTCTCCCGGCAAAGACTCTGAGGAGCGTGTGAGTGCGGCCAGCTGCTTCTCCCAAGATCCCTGTTCAGCAAAGAGGCCTCAGCTACGAGTCTGAGACACTCCGGAGCGCCTATGCTCGAGTCTTGAGTTCAGCAAGGTTGGTGTGCCGTGCCATCAGCGGTTGGCCTTTTGGGCTTCGGACTCTACCGTCTCTATCACGGTCACGACATTAGCTTAGCTCCTGTCCTCTCGCAGCTGCTTACTCGAAAGCAACGTCTCCGGAAGATTCGGGAGTCAACACAGCTCCGAAACAGTCAGCATGGATGTTAACTACAACGCACCCAAGACCTCCAAGTTGCCACGTGCCTCCATGCAAGACTTGGCTCACCAAGCCGGTTCGTTTTGCTCCAGCATCCAACTCATTCATGAGGATTTCCCTTGGCACAAGGCAGGACCCCGAGAAACCATCATGGCAAGAGGTCGGCGGCCAGGAGCCGTACATTTGACTCTGAGCCTCCTCGAGCATCTTCGCGGGCTCCATTGCCTCGCCGCCATTCAATCGCAATCTGCGCCAAAGCCAAGCCGCTGCTCGAACGGATCCGCATTCGCGCTTTGCGTCTGCCTTCTCCTCAAGGCTCTTCAACTCCGCCTGCCCAAGACACCGTTTAACGGAGATCCCAAATCCGTTTTGTTGCCGTGCGCCGTGCGCGGTGGTTGCCTGCTTGCTTGCCAACTCTTGACGTGCTGCTTCAGCTTCAGACTCCGTCTGGCCGGCTCGGTCGCGCAAGCCGGCAGTGGAACGGTAGACCTGCTAGCGAAGCCGCGAAGCAGCATTCAGCCCTAATCTTGGTCTTTAGCAGTATGCTGGGAAGCAGGGCTCTAGAAGCCACTACACCTTTTCTTCAGCGTGCCAGCAGATCTTAAAGCCCCAAATTCTCCTGGGAACCGCTCTGACACGGACACGCATGACACATCACAGGCAACACCATCGTCGAGATTGCCACTTACTACGTGGCACTTCGCGGCACCTCGTCGTAGGCAGCGAGAGCTCGCAGCCAGTTGCATATGAATTTCGCTGCTTTGCTCTGCGACTCCACGAGAGTGGGATTGAAGTCTGCACGGCTGACCTAGGCCCAAAGGTCTACACGTCGTCGCAACAGTCGGCACATCTCTTGTCTCGCCTCGGCCTTGAGCCGCGTCGAAAGGGCGTCGGAGAGGTGGTCCTCGCGACCCCGAGCCCCAAGGAATCAGTTCTCAACTCCAAAAACGAGTTTGCACACAGCTTCTGCAACGGCATCGCGCAAATGCGTGCAAAACACACTCAAGCGTCGAATCCCGAAAGACCAGGGCACAGAAACTTGTCACAAACCCCGGAACTAAGCCAAAGTCCTAGCGGTGACAAAAATTTGAGCAAGGCTTCCGCTTGCCACAACTAGCCGTGGCACTACAACGCCTGTGGAAGTAGCATAAACAAAGATATGACTGCGCTACAACGCATGTGGAAGTAGCAGAAACAAAGATACAGCAGTGTGCTCGGGTGCCGCCAGCTGCTCTCGCAGCAGCAAAAGAGCACTAGGAGAACACAGACTGCGTACCAGCGTGATGATTGCCCAAGCAAAGCCTCTACCGCAGCGCCCCAGGAACACGAACCACGACCAATGTTCATGGCCGGGTGTCTCTGCGTTCTGCTTCCAAGTCAATGGAGGATTTGGGACCGAAGAAAGAAGCAGAGTGCAAAACAAGAAGCAAAGATACCAGTGAAACCAGACAGACACCCCTTTTCAAGACACATTGTTTCCCCAGAATTCGAAGGGACCGGAATCGTCCTTGTCGAAGTCTCGGAAGCGCTTGCCGAAGTTGCTCTCGGAAATCAGGTTCTTGGCCGCGGACCACTCGGTGGAGCAGCCGAAGAGCATCGCCACCATCTCCATGATCGCCAAGATGAGCGGCGGAGGCGCGGGAGCGAAGCTCTTCAGCTCGCTCACCTCCTTCCTGACGGAGCGGAGCGGAGCTCAAGCGCCGCTGACTGGCGGACTGGAATGCTGCTGAGCTTCTTCTCTGCCTTCTCGAAAGCCTTCACTGCCGTCCTGTCGAACTGCAAGACTACCCCCTCCCTCTAGCACTCGCATCCAGCAAAGTCCTGTATGGCTGGACGACTTCGTCCATCGCACCTTCCGCAGAAGTGACAGAGACTTGCCAATTCTTGCGCCCAGTTCTGGCGGCGGCCCCAGCCTTGCACTTCTGCCTGCAAGGTCTTGCAGGCGCTCTCCTTGGCCTCGGCGAAGACCTCCGCCTCTCTCACTTGCTCCTCGCGAGAGAGAGGAACATGAGATTTTGTCGAAGCGCTTCAAGTCTTCATTGTTGGTCCTGGGCCCTCTGCACGTCAGCAGCGATGCAGGCAGCGACGTCCCGGAGCTCCCTCAGCTTGGCCTCCTGCTCTTCCACCTCCGCTTGCAGCCCCTGCACCTTCCTGCGAAGCGAAGCTGCGAAGCGAAGCTGCGAAAAGCGGCGCTGCGAAGCGGAGCTGCGAAGCGATAGCTCGGCAGCTCGGCCTTTGGAGCTCCTCGAAGACGCCCGGGGCCCTCGCCACGGCCTGGAGCGCCCTCTCCAGCCGCCCGCGCCTAGGAGAAGCCGCCCAGCAGATCTGCAGTTGCAGCACCTCCGCCCCGCCCCGGAAATCGCGGCCTCTTGGCGAGCTGCGCGCTCTTCAGGCGCCAGAGCTGCGTGAAGTTCCGCAGCACCTGCGAGAAGCTCCTGCAGGGCGGCAAAATTAACGTCTCTCAACGTGTCTTCGTGCATTGCGGCTGTTTGCGGCGCATGCAGATCAGAGTGGACTGAGTGCGGCCCCGTTTCGGCCCCGGCCCCCGCCCCCCCCTGGCGATCCTCACCGTCGCGCTCGTGGCAAAAAGCTCCTGGGATCGAGCCAGGCACCTGGCCAGCCGGCTGGCGGCCTCTGCCGGGGGGGAGCCCGCCGCTCCCGATCCAGCCGCGGGAGCCGCGTCCAAAGTCTCGCCAAGGCCTCGGCTCCGCTCGCGGCTCGCGGCTCCTATATATACGGCGGCTCCTTTTGGGTCTCCCTGCGTTGCTCCGCCATGCTTTGCCAGGAGTCCACCTTCCAAGCTTCCACGTGGCTCACCTCAGCAAAGCGCAGGATCCGGGATCCGATCCACTGCTCCGCCGCTTCTCTCTATCTCGGGGTCCGGGTCCCCGGCCGAGCAGCAGCAGAGCAGCTTCGGGAACTTGCGCAAGATGTGGAAGCTCCCGTCCATCGGAGACAGGCACAGCACTAAATGCAAGTGCTGATGCACACCTAAAGCACACCATGCGGCGCATGCGGCGCATTGCGAATTGCGAAGCAGAGACGTTTCCAAGGCCCTTGCGATCCAGGAAGCGCGGCCAAGCCTCGGAACCGATATTTCTGCACTTGACGGTCGACTGCGTTCGTCGTTCAAGTTGTAACCTTTGCAAACCTCGCGAAAGTCTGCTGTCACGCGGCAATGTGCACAGCAAGGTCCTGTACGGATTCTATCGCAATTTGACGCCACAAGTCCGCGCGACTACTCTCCGGAAAGGGAGTCCTTGAAGTCCAGCGCCTGCACAACCGTCGCTGTCGGCTGAGGCGGCTGACATCCCGACTAAGGGGCGAGGCAAGGGCAAGCTGGCATGCAAGGGCGCTGGCCGGGCCTCACGAAGCCTGGCACCGATAGACATTTTCCGTTTGGTTAAGGAAGCCTTGCGCCTTGCAACTGAACCAGGAAACAAAAACCGGTGAGACCTGGGAAACCGCAAGCCAGAGTTGCAAAGGCTGCGTGGAAATGAGACTTGTGGGGTCGGCGAGGTGCATTGAGTCACTGACGCTTTTGGAGGGCACCGATGGACGCGCGCACACACCCGCACGCAGACAAACACAAACAGTCACCGCTGTTGGGGGGAAGGCAGATCAACATGGCAGTCAAGTTGTGGGGATTGCCAGCCGCTGGGCCGCTACGCCGAGCACAGGCCCAGCTCCCACACAGGACCCATGTGCATCGTTTCCAGCACCATGCCATCAGACCTTTTGCGAGCAGGCCCCCTGATCCTGAAAGACTTCAAAAATCCGTGGCAACAGAGAAGTTCAATGAAACCCTACACTACAGGTTGTTCAACATGGCTTCCAGCACGCACACAGCAAAAACAAATGCAACGCACACCTTCGCTGCCACACTCCACGTTGATCAAAGACTTGGAGTCTGGAGACTTGTTCATGGCGGCATAGTCGCACATGTGGCCCAGAGTTCCCAACCAGTCCGCGTTCTTCGCAGCGGAAGTTACTGGACCCCCAAGGTCACAAGCGCAACGGCACTAGCAAGAGTAAGGCCAAGTGAAGTGTCTGAAAACTCGCCGGGCAGGCATGTTAGCGATCTCGTCCGGGCTGCACAACTCGGGAACGTGACCAAGGTCAAGGACAGCGCTGATCGAATCCAGGACACCGTCCTCCCGAAGGTCCTTCGAGCCGTGTTTCCAACACACGTTCAGTGAGTACTTGCACTCTGTGTACAGCTTGCTGAGAGAAAGACTTCAGCTAGCATGAGAGAGAAAAACAGAGCAAAACAGATTGCTGTCCGAGCTACTTAGATCTGCCAGAAGGCGAAGTTTCATTTGTCTGGCATTGAATTTTCAAAAAATTGTCACGGTTCAAGCTGCGTGAAAGGCATCTGAATTTTCCGAGACTGTTGGTTGGCGGCGCGGGCTCGCGCAGCGTGCGGACGAAAACCGTGCAGCCGTCCACCTGACTCTAAGCTTCTCTTTGCGCTTAGCTCTGCGGCCCCTCGCTCCCCGCTCATCTCCTCATCCGCCAAGACCAGGATGCAGTCGCTCTGTTTGGCTCCACAGGTCCGCCAAACCACCCGCAGCATCTGCAAGAAGTCTCCCTGCGTCACTGCCTCCTGCGACACGCAGCGAAGCGAAGCTCTGCGAAGTGGCGCCCTCTCTGGAAGCCGCGGCCCGCGGCGTGTGAAGCCTCGCGGCCGCTGCGTGTTCGGGCCTGGCCTTGGAAAGCTCCAGTTTCACGGCGTCCAGGAGGTGCGCCGCGAGGCCGCACAAACTCCGCCGGCCGCTGCCCCGCAAACCCAGCAGCAGCATGTGGCTCCGAGCCTCGGGAGCCCCGCCAAAACCGCACGATGCGTGTTTCGCAGGCGGTGGGACCTTTCCCTCAGCCCCACACCAGCGCCCCTATGCGGAGGAGGCCTCGGCTCGCTCGGCGTCGCATCCCAAAGAAACAGAGAGCCGAGTCCTTCTTCTGTCCGACGAGCGTCGGCAGAGCTGGTCCACCACCTCCGCGGACAAAAAGAAGGCGGAGGCCGCCTGGGCCGCCTGGGCATCTCCAGCCTGGAGCTGCCTCGAGCTTGCAAAACAGAACCGGTTCTGTTGCAGCGCGCCATGCCCCGCCTGTACTCCTCCAAGGACTCCTGGAAGCAGCGCCAGAGCTGCTCCTCCTCCACGCGCTCGTAGGGCTTCTCGATGGAGGCTGACAATCGTTTCAGGAAGCCTCGGCCGGATTCTCTCTCTGGCGCCTATAAATACTTTTCTCTCTACTTTACTTCTCTGCCTCTGAAGAACGCCTTGGTGCTTCGCTTTCTTCGCTTTCGTTGGGAGTCACTGTCATTCCACGGAAGCTTCGGAGCCTTCGAAGCTCTTGGTGCAGAAGGTCTTTTTGAAGCTGTAGCTTCAACTTGTCCTCGAAGACACGAGCGACCTCATGCAGAAAGCTCTCCAGGAGCAGCGCCTCCGTCGGGGCGGAGCCTCCGAAGCCCTCGAGAGCTTTCAGGATTCCCTGAAAGGTCCTCGCCACATCGCGGTACGTAAAGGTCAGGTAGGGCGCGGCCGGCGATCGCTTGAAGGAGCTCTTGGCAAAGTCGTAGACCTCCAAGACGGCAGAGGAGAAAACCCTGCTCAGAGACCCGAGTTGGTGCTGCGGCTGTGCGTGCTGCGGCTGGTTCAGCGCTTTCAAGATCGTCGCGCCGTAGACGTCCGTCAGCTTCTCTCGGCTCTGAGCTTCCATCGCTGACACCAAAAAGTGCCCCGCGAAGCGTTCGAAGCGAAGTGCAGCGCTCTGTCGGCCCCCAGAAGGGCCGTCATCCCCGCTCTTTTGCACCTAGGCCCAAAGCAAGGCACGATGGCGTGCCAGACCGCTGGGAAGCTGGGGCGCTGACCGTGCCGGCCACAGCCAGCACCGTGCAGCCTCGCTTGCCTGCGCTCCGGCACCAGAGACTGAGAGATCCCCGGCCGACATGATACGAGTGGCACATGGGGACGCTGTGGGGCTCAGCTGCTGGACCCTGCCTCGCTCGAGGAGTTCTCTGAGCACCTCCACTGGTCGGCGGGGCGCCACGGGCGACGCCCTTTCGCCGCCCTCCCTTCGGGGCGCCACGCCCACCACGGCCACGTCATCCGCAACGAGCAAGGCACCTCCAGCTGAAAGCCAACGTGCACAGCGCCAAAGCCCTGCAAACACTTGGGTGCCAGCAGGGCGCGATTGGCGTGCCGGACATCTTCCAAGGTTGCACGCAACTGCTTGGGTGCCGTATGAGCAGAAAGCCGGAGCCAAACCTTGTGCGACAGCGAGAGAGCTTCTCGGAAGCACACCGGGAAACCCATATGATGATCACGCATAGGTCAACAAGGCAAGGCAGCAACTGCGCCAGACTCATTCCGGGAGGCCTCAAATTCGTTTCCACAGCGCCGGGAGTTATGAATAGAAGGGAGAACTGCTAAGGCCCCTTCGGCCTTATCCAGGATCTCCGTTGCGAGGGTTGTCCTTTGCGACACGGAAGCTGTATATTCCCCCTGCCGGATGCTCGGAGCATCCGGCTATAGCATATGATCACTAATTTCTGGCGTCAAGGCACTTGCCACAGCCAGCAGGGCCACGAAGTAGCAGGGTCCCTGTGACACATCATCTGTTTTCCCGAACGACTTCGAACAAGACCTTCCCGATGGACAACCACACACCGCTGCGCACCACCCCCAAGACAACCGCATGCCTGGCCTGTCCGCTCAGAGAGCCAAAAGGCTCTTGCATGGTCTATGCTCGGAACGAAAAGCCGTCCAAGCTGCCCTGCGCTGGCAGCGCAGGGCAGAGAGAGAGAGAGAGAGAGAGAGCTTTCCTGTAAAGTTGCTCGCGCCTGAACGCCCCACACTGTCGGCGAGCGCCAAGGGCCGAAGATGCGGAGCTTCCGGGTCCAGTCGCCTGGAGACGGCTTGGTGCGCGCATGGCATATGGCATGGCGTCTAGCCGATTCTAGCCACAGGCCGCCAAGGGTCATCGAAAACAAGTCTAGCTCTTCCAGGGCCATGGATTTGCAGATCCACTGACTTACCTGCAACACGTCTCGTCGCAACAGAACCCCGGATGGGCTTTGTGAGGTCTGGAGTCTGCACCGCGCGCTTGCCTCCAGACGTGCTTTCTCCCGGCTGGGCTGAATGGACCAGGCCAGGGCCAGCGCCCAGGCCGAAGCAGCGAAGTCCTCCAGACAGAAACTCCTCTGGGCTCCCCGAAAAAACCGCGCCTTTCAGGTGCACGCGGAGATTGAAATCGCGCTCGCGACACCGTGCAGCCCGCACATGTTGGATTGCATGTCGTCGCTTTCCCACGGAAGGTCAGTGGGTGTCCACCTGCCGACGTGCTTCCACCAGTTCCCTGCATTTGTGTGAGATTCGCGCCAGTGCTGTTGTTTTGTGGTTTTTGCTGTCGCGTCGCCAAGTCAGGAGAGGGGCGGTCTTGGGAGCCGTTTAGCGCTTCCGAGGATCAGGGATGCCAGGGATGCCAGGGATGCCATTGCCAATCCGTCTCCTCGCTCAAGTGCCCAAGTTCGTCGACATCTCCAGAAGCAGACAACCTTGCACGACAGGCGCCCAGCACGCAAGCAGCACGCAAGCAGCACGCAGTCACAGTTAAGCTTCGAGCTCCAGGAAGAAGCGCCCGAAGGTCATCAGCGCCACTTCGAGGCGAACCTGAGGCCACACGGCCATGGCCGGTGAGCCGCTGTCGGCATGACTGCGTTCCGAGCTGCGCCGCAGTCGGCAGGCGCCGAAGGCTCCGCGAGCTCCCAAAGCTCCAGGAGGGATCCCGCTTGCAGCGTCGTTTCGAAGCCTCGCGACGCTGACGCTCTCATGGCTCTCCGCCTCTCTCCGCCTCCATCTCGTCTGAGGCTCCTGCCCTGCAGCTGCTCGGGTTTCAGATTCGCTAAGCTCAGCTTCTCTTGGAGCCGGTGAAGTGCCGCCGTCAACGGCACCTCCGGCCTGAAAAGAAAGGCACTGCAGCCCTGCCGCAGCCTGCAGCCTCTTCTCCCCTTCTCCTCTTGCCACTCTCAGGCGCGGGGCAAGGCCACCACTGCACAGCGCGTGACCAGCGCCGGCGAGGCTTCCGCCAGGTCCACGCACTCGAACACCACGCGCAGCGCCTTGCAGGGAGACGTCCGACAAGACAAGAAGGAACGTCGAACGAGGGTGCGCGGCGCCGCGGGCCTGCTGCAGCTGGATTCGGTGAGCGGAGCCGGGGATCCAAAAGTGGCGATCGCGGTCCAAGAAGCCGTGCAAAGCGTCGGCCCAAGCTCCCAAGTCGCCGTCCAAAACCAGCCACGGCACCCAAACACGACGCACCGGCGTCACAGGGACATGCGCCACTACGTGCGCCTGCAGCTGCAGCACGCAACGCGAAGCAACACGCAGCCATGCGATCCAGCAGGGCACATCGAAAGCTGAGTTAAAGCTAGGCTGAGCTGCTTGTTGAAGTGTTCCAGGAGCGGAGGCCCCAGGAGCCCCAGGGGCCCCAGGCGTCGGGAGCGGCGTTGCCGTGGAGGGTACTTCCTCGAGCTCCGCCTTTTCTCACGAAAATGAGAGAGACGGCTGCACAGCGGAAAAGGCAATTGTCGCTTAGCCTGCGCGAAGGAGCTGAGAAGCTGGACCAGAGCACCAGCTTCTCCGTAAAGCCCGTCGCAGTCGTAGCTGCTAGAGTAGATCCGCTGGATCTTGGGAACCTGAAAGCAGACCGCTTCTGACCGATACTCTGAGCTCTTGTCGGCCGCCAACCTCGATCAACTCCTCTTTCGCTTCTTCATCTGCATCCGAACCCCGGGACGGCCCTGCCCGGACGTGTGTGTGTGTGTGTGTGTGTGTGTGCGTTGGTTGTGTGTGTGTGTGTGTGTGTGTCTGTGCGTGTCTGTGTGTGTGTGTTGGTTGGTGTGTGTGTGTGTGTGTGTGTGCGTTGGTGTGTGTGTGTGTGTGTTGGTATGTGTGTTTTGGTCGTTGTGTTGGTTGTGTGTGTGTGTGTGCAGGTTGTGTGTGTGCGTGTGTGTTGGTTGTGTGTGTGTGTATTGGTTGTGTGTGTGTGTGTGTGTTGGTTGTGTGTTGTGTGTGTGTGTGTTGGTTGTGTGTGTGTGTGTGTTGGTTGTGTGTTGTGTGTGTGTGTTGGTTGTGTGTGTGTGTGTTGTGTGTGTGTGTGTGTTGTCTGTGTGTGTTGTGTGTGTGTTGTGTGTGTTATGTGTGTTGTGTGTGTTGTGTGTGTGTGTGCGTTGTGTGTGTTGTGTGTGTTGTGTGTGTGTGCGCTGTGTGTGTGTGTGCGTTGTGTGTGTTGTGTGTGTGTGTGTGTGTTGTGTGTGTGCTGTGTGTGTTGTGTGTGTTGTGTGTGTTGTGTGTGTTGTGTGTGTTGTGTGTGTGTTGTGTGTGTTGTGTGTTGTGTGTGTGTGTTGTGTGTGTTGTGTTGTGTGTTGTGTGTGTTGTGCGTGTTGTGTGTGTGTGTGTGTGCGTTGTGCGTGTGTGTGTGTGTGTGTGTTGTGTGTGTTGTGTGTGTGTGTGTGTTGTGTGTGTTGTGTGTGTTGTGTGTGTGTTGTGTGTGTGTTGTGTGTGTTGTGTGTGTGTGTGTTGTGTGTGTTGTGTGTGTTGTGTGTGTTGTGTGTGTTGTGGGTGTTGTGTGGGTGTTGTGTGGGTGTTGTGTGTGTGTGTGTTGTGTGTGTGTGTGTTGTGTGTGTTGTGGGTGTTGTGTGGGTGTTGTGTGTGTGTGTGTGTGTGTGTGTGTTGCGTGTGTTGTGTGTGTTGTGTGCGTTGTGTGTGTTGTGTGTGTTGTGTGTGTTGTGTGTGTTGTGTGTGTTGTGTGTGTTGTGTGTGTTGTGTGTGTGTGTGTTGTGTGTGTTGTGTGTGTTGTGTGTGTTGCGTGTGTTGCGTGTGTGTGTTGTGTGTGTTGTGTGTGTTGTGTGTGTTGTGTGTGTGTTGTGTGTGTGTTGTGTGTGTTGTGTGTGTGTGTGTTGTGTGTGTGTTGTGTGTGTGTTGTGTGTGTTGTGTGTGTGTGTGTTGTGTGTGTTGTGTGTGGTGTGTGTGGTGTGTGTGTGTGTTGTGGGTGGTGTGTGTTGTGTGTGTTGTGTGTGTGTGTTGTGTGTGTGTGTGTGTGTTGTGTGTGTTGTGTGTGTGTGTCTGTGTTGTGTGTGTGTTGTGTGTGTGTTGTGTGTGCTGTGTGTGTGTGTTGTGTGTGTGTTGTGTGTGTTGTGTGTGTTGTGTGTGTGTGTTGTGTGGGTTGTGTGTGTTGTGTGTGTGTTGTGTGTGTTGTGCGTGTGTTGTGTGTGTTGTGCGTGTGTTGTGTGTGTGTTGTGTGTGTGTTGTGTGTGTTGTGCGTGTGTTGTGTGTGTGTGTTGTGTGTGTTGTGTGTGTTGTGTGTGTCTTGTGTGTGTGTTGTGTGTGTGTGTGTTGTGTGTGTTGTGTGTGTTGTGTGTGCTGTGTGTGTTGCGTGTGTTGTGTGTGTTATGTGTGTGTTGTGTTGTTAAGATATAAGACTTCTGGCACACATCCCGGTACAGCAACTTCCCCAGCTTACTTCGACTTCCACACTTTGTGTGTGGCTCAAGGCTGGCAGTGACAAAGAGGACTTCATCAGAGAGCTGTGCTGACTTCAGGGTTGAGCTCTGTTTGTGCATACTTCGAACGCCTTGTAATTTTTCATGGTAGCGGAGGTTCGTGCTCCTTGGCCTTTGTAGAAACTAGCTAGAAGGAGAATTCTCAGGAAAACTTCGTTTGCCCCTTCCACCAGTCTTCAGTGGAAATCCTGAGGACTGGGAAGAATGGCAATGGAACTTCACAATCTATGCTTCATTGAAAGGGCAAACGACTTATGATATTAGAGCATGGAAACATTTAATTTTAATTTTGAGTGTAACTGTTGTATCAGTTACAGAAGTAAAAGAAAGGAAATGTCAAATGAACTATTTGATGGTAATATTGCTAATAAAATCTTGCCATATGTGTATATATATGTATATATATATATACTGTGCATTTTGTAATTATGTGCATGAGTATCAAAAAGACTGCACAACTACACCGTTACAAACAGTAGAACATAAACAAATGTATTGTATATTAAGTCATTTTGACAAAGGTTACAAGAAACTAACATATTTAAAAAATAAGAAGAACTGTTTGAAAGATATTACAAGTAAATCAAACTGTAGGTACAAGCCATTACTTAAAATGTTTGTTAATGAAACACAACATGTTAGGATGATTGAGAAATACAAAGAATTTTGGCTATTAGATTATGACTTCAAACATCTTAGAGTACCCTATGAGAGAAACCAATATGAACTAACAATAACCACGATGATGCTCGTAATTTTCTTTCAATATTTTAGCAAAGAGGTAGGTCTTTATGAAAACTACTTTAATGTTGATGCCTTATGGATATATTTCTCTAATATTTTCGAAGATTAAGAATGAAAATAAAAAATAAGGCAACCATGATATTATCCACGATATGATATTATTGCTTAAAACTATCACAGGCGCCAACAAAATGAAACGTGAAGGTAAAAGTACTTAACAAAATTAAAACGTATAAGGTGGAACAAGAAGTCCTAGACAAATTACGAATCAGACATTCCGAGCTTACCGCGTGCAGCCGGCAGGACAGACATGGCACACTCACTCGTGCATCGCTCATTTTGGCAGCACACAGCAGGAGGCGTTGCATTCCACCACGCTTGAGAAGGCACTGGCTGCTGCCATGGCTTCGAGAGTGTACCTGCGCGCACAACGAGAGATTGGGAGGCTCTACTCACAGCACAAGCTCAAGAGAATCTCACGACAGAGCACAGCTGTCAAGACACCTTGCACAAAATCGAACTTGCACTCACACTGTCAGCGCTGCGACCCATGCTCACATCCTCACGCTTCGACACGAGTTGCACCGCACGATCTTTTGCTTTGTAACACGACAGTGCCCAGCGTCGTCTTGCTGCCCGCCATTCTCATATCTGTGACTTTTTATAATACATGGGACGCCGTGTCCATCCGAGCTCCGTGTTGGCAGCGCGCCGGCTTCCAACACTGTCTAGCTTGCTTCGCTATCTGAGCTCGCCTCAGATTCAGATGAGGTTTCCGAGCCCTCGGATTCATCGCTAGACGGCGTGTCTAGCTCTGCTTGCTGCGGAAAGCACCGCTTGCATAGCGGCTTGTCTCCTTGTTCGCTGGCTCCGAGAAAATGCGATCCTCCGTATGACCAACCGCAGCGTGACTTCCACAACAGAGGAAGTTTGTGGGCTTCTCCCTCATCGCGGGCATGGGCTTTCTTCGCAACTACTAGCGGGGGCCGGATCTGCAATGCCTCGACTTTGGCGGCGAGCTCCTTGATTCGATCCTCCAAATCGACTGCCGTTCGCTGTCTCTTGACGATGTTGAAGTTGTCTAGCTCTGCATCCTGCACATATCGCTCGATAGGCTTGCTACCCCAGCGCCCGAGTAGCATGATCGTGCTGAGCGGCACTCCAAATCTGCAAAGCATCTGCGCGCCGCTGACTCGAAGACAATGGCCATGAAACCGCTGCTTGCAAGGTGCGCCAGCGATGCCAGGCTTTGTCAACGGAATCTTGTTCACGTGCAAGACTGACCGAATTCTGTTGATGACTTCCTCTTTGGCCAAAGGCTGGCCCGTGCCATCTGAGAACAATGGCAACGCAGGGTCCTTCGGCATGTGGGGCAGAAACTTCAACGACGCATGGTACGGGCACATCCCCTTGTCCACAAAGCTGCAGTAACACTTGTGTGTACGCACAACCGAATTCGCGGGTGTGTCAGTCTTGGACGCACTCAACGTCAAGCTCACAGTCTTCTGATCAATGTCGATCACTATGTCCCTCACTCTCAGTGCTGCAATCTCGAGCTCGCGCAGGAGGAACCAAATTCCCAAGGCGAACAGAGCCGCCCCACTGCATTCTTCGCGCGACTTCGCTGTCATCTTGATGTCTTCGGCGCGAAAGGCTTCTTTCAACGCTGGGCCGCCCAAGCCCCTCTCCAATGATCGAACTGCATCCTTTATGGCGAGCTCAACTTCAGGCGGTACTTGAAGGCATAGGCTCACAATGTGCTCGCGTCGTGCTCTGCTGAAGAATTGGCGCACTGACTTGTACCCACCTGCCTTCAACGACGCAGACACTTTCTCAATCACTTCTGGATTTAAGGGCAGGACACATTCCACGCCCAGCAAATTTTGCACCACGATTTCCAACGCGAGTCCTGTGATGTCGTGTTGCTCCTGGCCCAGATGTCATCTCGGAACTCACGAAGCGCTGCTTCGCGATTCTGCGGCAGGGCGGCCGCGAGAGCCTTCTGCGTGGATCCTCCACTGCTGTGGCGAAGCACTGGAAGGTCCCGCCTGGTACGAACTGCTCCTCGGTTACGGTTTTGCTGACCAAAAGCGAAGGCAGTGGCCACCAGTGCCTGAAGATACGCCTGCAACTGTTCACTCACGAGGCCCCTGTCCAAGGTTTGTCTCGCTGTTTCTAGCGAGGACACCCCATGCGCTTCCATCTCTTCAATCGCCTTGCCTGGCACTCCTGCATCCACGGCTGCTTGCACCAGACCAGCGAACGTGTTCGGGTACATCATGCTCTCGATTACGCGGGTTGGTACACAGGGATCTACTGCTGTGCTTGTAGACTCGTCCGAGTCTCCGCTCGATCGCTCAATTGCCTGCCACAGGGAAGTGTTTGATTGCACAACATTGACTCGTAAGTCAAACGCGCATCCTACAATTCACGACACAACTTCCGTATTTGGCAGATCACACTCGTGGCATGCAAGCAGTGTCAGCACAGGCTTTCACAACTCAGCGCAGTTGAAATCCTTCACTTCTGAAAGCACACGCGTCAAACCTAGGCACACACCGGCGCCCCTCAGAGATTGAAAAAAAACAGAAAGCAAGAACTTGCACTTCAGCAAGTTGCAGACTCACAATTCGCAGCACAGCACACCGGTGTGCTACATTGCTGCTGTGTGGCTTGATGGCAATCAGCACAAGCATTGAAGCTGAAACCGCACTACACTCAAACTCTTGCAGCTACCGGCTTCTTCGCGTAATGCTGGAACATGCCCTTGGACTGGCGGTCGTCCGCTTTGAGGGGATCCACGAGGGGCATGTGGTTCCGCCAGCTTCTCCGAGAACACCAGGAACGCTGCAGCCAGCATCAGAATGCAGAACACGTCAAACGTCAGCCATGAGACGGTCGCTGTCAAAATTCTCAAGCATCGACACTTCACAAACAGGCAACAACTTAACAACTGCGGCATGCAGCGAACAAGCTCTCCCATGTCATTACGTGCACCCGTGCACTGACACGACAAGAAGAATTTCAGAGAGACAAAACGATATGTTAAGAAAAACGAAACAGGGGACGAGAAACAGAGAACGAAGAAGGTAGAGAAGTGAGAAAAACACAACAGGCAACCAGAAATGCAACCCTGATTCCTTGACCTGTGAATCCCCCTTTTACCTATTGTGGGTGAGTGTGGGGGTATGGGTGTGGGTGGGTGTGGGTGGGTGTGGGTGGGTGTGGGTGGGTGTGGGTGGGTGTGGGTGTGGGTGGGTGTGGGTGGGTGTGGGTGGGTGTGGGTGGGTGTGGGTGGGTGTGGTGGGTGTGGTGGGTGTGGGTGGGTGTGGGTGGGTGTGGGTTGGTGGGTGGGTGCGCGGGGATACGCGGGGGTGTGCAGGGGTGGATGTGGGTGTGTGGGCGTGCAGGTGTGCGGCCAGCGTGCGTGTGCGGGTGTCCGGGTGTGCGGGCGCGTGGGGGCCTGCCACTTCCTCTGCGCCTGCAGTTGCGGTCGCCGAGTCCTCTCAAGGGTGACATCGGATTTCGAACATCTTTGCTACAACGCACCAAGCGGACTCCTCCGGATTCACCTTGCGTGCCGTACTAGTAGCTTTCCTGGGGTGCAGGCCGTTGCCACCGGCACCGCCACAAATCTGAACAGCCGAGGATGGTACACGTCGGGTGTTTTGCCGGAGCCTCCGTGACACAGCGGCTCAGTTCTTGACTCTCACAGTAATCACTCTAGCCGAAGAAAGCTGCTCACCAGCCCTGCTGCGGATCGCACCTGGGGCGCCAGCGCCGGAGGGCCCGGGCCGCCCTTCGCCCGGCGGGCCGCCGGGAGCTCCGCCGCTTTGGGCAGCACTTTGGGCCACTTGCGCTCGCTTGGTGTAGAAGGATTCCTTCCTCCGCTGCAGATCCGAAAGCAGCCGGCTCTTGCCAACACCGCTGCGTCCCAAGAGCACCTGTGAGGACACGCCGGAGGCGGAGGCTTGGATGAGGCTCCGCTTTTTGTGTCTTTGGCGCCGAGCTGCGACTCCTGGCTGGGTCACGAGGGCTTCCTCCAACTTCTCCAAGGCGAGCTCCTGCCACAAAAAACCGCACGTCCCAACCTACCTCCCTCTTCAGGCCCAGGCCCTGCCGCCCTGCCGCCCTGCCGCCCTGCCTTGGGGTCCGTCAAGCGGCCGTGGCTCAGGAGGGAGGTGCGGTCCCCCTGCGGCTGGAAGACCTGAAGGGCTTGGCTTTGTGGGCTTCGTGCTTGCAAATCTCAAAGACCTGATCCGATTGGCCCTGGGTACCGGTTGTCGCGCGAGGTTCTCGCACAGGTTGTCGCGCCGAGCTGCACCCGCGACGATCCGGCTCGGCATGGACGAGCCGGATGGCCACCACACAGCTCGGTGCGACAAGGTGCACCCCAGCACCCCGCCGCCACACGACTCCGACAAGCAATGGGACAACAGGTCCGCTAGAGTCCCAAAATTCAAGGCCAGGCACCTCCACCAGCTCCTGCTGTAAACGAGGGAGCAGCACAGCACTGCATGGCCCTGCATGGGCACTGCCCGGCTGGCCTCGAGGTCCTCTTTGGGGATCAAGGGCTGCAGCTGGTTCTCCAAGAGCTGCGCCAACAAGTTCGGCTCGAAAACCTCCACGGCCAGCCCTGCCAGGCCTCACTGAGACGCGGCAGCATGCGGCAGCCGCCAAGACAGAGAAGTGAGCGCAGAAGTCTGACATATCTGGGGGACGCGGCCTGTGGTGCCGTCGCCGTCGTGGCGCCGCCGCAGAGCACCGGCCTCGGAAGGAGCGTGCTACGCCGCCGCGAGCGCTGGCGGTGCACCGCGCCCCCCGCGCCTTCTCGATCAAAACCCGCAGAGCCCGGAGTCCAAAGACGGCCTCCTCAGTGTACGAAGGCGACACGTCGCCCGGCTGTTTTCCCTGCTCCCGCGGGCATGCCTGCGGCTCTAGCTGCAGGGAGACCAGGTGGCCCCAGAAGATGCCAACTTTTTTCCCCAGGTCCGGGTCTTCGCTGAAGCCTCGCGGGGTGTCTCACGCGGTGGCAGAAAGTGGTCCCCAATGGTCTTAAGGGCCTTCTGCGAGGAGGAGGACTTCAGCCAGGTGGGAGACGTGGGCCACGCTGGGAAAGGCCAGGCTGACCGGCCGCAAGCAGTTTTGGAGGCTCTCGAAGCTCGCGTCGAAGCTCGCGTCGAAGCTCGCGGAGCCGGAGCGAGTGCACTGCCTCCCACTTAAAACAGACGCAGAACTTTAAGGGGGGGGACCACTCGGACTCTCGCCTGAGGTCCATGGTGGCCGAGATGGTGGCGCCAGGCTTCAAAGCAACCATCCTGCCTTAGAGAGCCGGCTCTTAAGTGCCTATGCCTACCCGTCTCCCACAAAGACACCGTCGGCGACAGCGCCTTGCAGGTCGAAGCTCTCGCGCTGGGCGCGCAGGGCCTCCTGGAAGCGGCGCAGCTGCCAGGCCCAGGTGCCTCAGAAAACTCTCGAGATGCCCCTCTCTCTAGAGGGGCTCTAGGTTTTTTAGGCTCTTCGGCGCTCTTTTGCTGATGGGAGGCCCAGGCTGTCGCCGTGAAGAAGGTGGATGCGGTCAAGCAGAAGCCAACAGCCCTGCAGAGTTCGGGGGCCCGGGCGGCAAAACGCCGCCTCCGCTGCCCCCACGGCTTCACTCCACTACTGTTCGGAAAGTCTCACGCCCCAGAAAGAGGGTCGGCGGCCACCGCCGCCAGCCTCGCCCCCACTTCAAAAGCTATTGCCAATAGACTGACTAGGACAAAGAAACAGAAAGGAGGCAAGATCGCATCCCAAGCCTCAGTTGACAAACCCTTCCGCTTTCGGGAACCAGTGATGCCCGTGCGCTGGCGTCGACCCGAAGGCTCTCTACGCCCTGGGAAAGCTTTCCAGCACATTGGTTTAAATGTTGGATCAACGTGCCGCCAGGGACGTGTCGGTGGTCAAACCTGGTTTGAGTGAGACATCTGGTCCTCTGGTGCCGAAGCATTCCGAAACAACCAGCTTGCACAAGTCCTACGACTGCGCTTGGTCGGAACCTGCAGCGCCACGCCCTCCATGAACTGTGCGCTGAGGTCTGACAGGTCGTCGGAGACGCGGTAGACAACGCAATAGAGGCCTTGCAGCACGGTAGCAACGGCCGGTTGCACAGAGAGTGCAGAGAGTGCTGTGCTGTGCTCTGCTCTTCGTGCCGCGGCGCCCAGGGCTGCGGCCAAGCCTTTGCTTAGCTCCGTCTTGCCGCTGCCGTGAGTGCCGGCCAAGGCCACGCCCAAGTGCAAGCGACAGGCCTCCCCCAAAGTGCAGCCGTGCAGCCCCCCCCCCCCCCCCCCCCCCAAACCCTCCCCCTTCACGCCCCCCTGCCCGCCTGGGTGAGGGCGATCCAGCACCTCTCGGTCTCGGGAGCCATCACCAAACGCTCCGTGGAGCCCAAGAACTCCCAGCCTCAGTAGCTCTGCTCTGAGCTTCAGCCGCCGCTGCACTCTGTCTTCGGCCGAGGCTCCGTAGGCGAAGCTGCTGCTCAGCTGCGACACGCTGAGCCGAAGGGTGGCACTGGGCGCCGTCCCGCTGGCGGGTGCCCCCGGCCCCAAAGCTTCGCCTCGAGCTCAGAAGTGCTTTTGCACACGCTGTTTTGACTCTCGACACCCGGCCACCCGGCTGGAGCGAAGACTCATTTTGTCTATTTGTTCTGGTTTTTTGTAGGCTTTTCTGGTTTTAGTTATGTTTTCCTTGACTTTCGGAATCTAGCCTGGTGGCCGTGACCGTTCTCCACCTCTGACTGGAATTCTGTGTTTGTGTATTTTTCTGGTTCTTGTTTGTGGATTTTTCGGTGTCAATTTTTCCCAAAACTCTCCGCTCGTCTCGCGGCAGGTGCTGGACTGTCAGAAGCTGCTGCCGCCTGCTTCAATGCTGCCGTGTCTCTCACACTTCTGTTATCGCACCGCGCGCTTGTAGCATCCGCGAAGCTTCTGGATTGACCAAGGAAACGGACCAAGAAAGAGAGATCCAACAAAATAGGCCCTCCCGACCTGGGCTCGTAGATTCGTGGATGATCACTCTGAAGCGTCTAAGTCCGCAGATGGCATGTCGGCCTCGAGCGTGCGAATAGCTCTCCGAATAAATGTCAACGACGGCTCAACTCAAAGTTCTTCAGCGTCTCGGTCATCTTTCATGTTTTACTTGCTTCCCTTCCTTGTGCATACTTAATTTGTTTTCTTCGTCTCTTCCTGGCATCCTCTTCTTTGCTTTCCTCTGCGTCATTTCTTCCTTTGCTCCGTCCTCTTTCGTTAAGTCTTGATTGCGTTCTTTCGATAGTGTTTTCTTTCTCTGCTTCTGTCCGTCTTTCGACTTTCCGTGTGAGTAGTTGTTTCTCTGTCCTCCTCTGTGTGCTTCTCTGCAAATTTCTTTCTTGAGTTATGCCTTTTTTTCGGTGTGTCTCTTTTTCTTTATTTCTCTGGTCTTTGCTTCTTGCAGTCTATCCTGCTTTCGTTCTTGCGTTCTTTCTTTGCTACGTTCTTTCTTTCTTTTCTTCTGGTCGTCCTTGCTGGCCTTCCGTCTTTCGATGTTACTTTCTTCTGTTCTGTCTTTCCTGCGTTCTTATTTCCTTGCTTCTGTCTGTCCTTCTTTCCTTCCTTCCTTTCTTTCTTTCTCTCCGTCCTGGTGTCTTGCTTTCTTCCTTTGTTTCCGTCTTCGTTCTTTCTTTCTGTCGTCCTTCTTTCCTTCCTTCCTGTCTTTCTGTCCTTCGTCCTTTCTTTCTTCCCTTCCTGGTGTCTTCCTTTCCAGACTGGCTTTCTTTCTTTGTTTCTTTGCTCCTTTCGTTCTTTCCGGCGTCCGCTTCTCGCCTTTCCCTCTTTCTTTTGTCTGTTTTCAACCTAAAACCAGACAAATATTCAGAAAAAAAAGCTAGAAAAATTGACCAAAACAATACGGTACCTCACCCAGCCCCTCGGGCCTTTGAGATCCAGCGAGTAGCGAAGGTGCTTCTGGAAGTCGAAGCTCCCTGGACTGGCGCCGCGCAGCAAAAGCCTTGTCGCAACCGAACCCTTCGGTGCAATCCGCCAAAACGCCGTTCTGCAATGCTGACTTCAGGAAATGCCAGTCTTCCTCATGCCAGTGCCGCTTGCTTTCCCAGACTGCGCAAGAACCCTTGCGAAGAGATGCAGCATCGCAACGTCTGCCTTTCACCCTACCAGGAATGTAGAAGAAGTGTGGGAGGAGCGCTTGCAGTTGTGGCTTGGCTCTGAAATGCTGCGAGCAGCTCGAGCTGGCTTTGCCTCTGTTTGAAGACCACGAGCAGAGACGAGGCCACCCGCCGCTGCCCAACGCTGCCCTGCCGGACGGCACGCTGCAGCAGCCTGCAAGCTCTGCAAGCTCTGCAAGCTCTGCAAGCTCTGCAAGCTCTGCAAGCTGCAAGCCCTGATCTGCTCTGCCCCCGCAGCCGCCGCAGCCCGCAGCCTCAGCTGCAAGGTGCTGTGCCAGCGCTGAAGATGCTCCTGCGGCAGGGCAAGCGATCGGGAGAGGAAGAGAGAGCATCGTGCGCGTTCGCGTTGCTCTGTCTCCTTGGCCCCTTCCCGGCTTTGCAGCAAGGACCTCTGCTGCTCTCTGCGAAAATTCGTGAGGAGCGCGGAGCAGAGAGCGGAGCAGTTCGGAGGCCCCGGCTCGAGCTGCATCGTCCAAGTCACCTGCCAGGCCACTTCCACCACCTCGCGCGGCGGGAAGAGCGGACCGACGAAGCGCAACAGCGAAGAGCGGACGGAGAAAAAAAGAGCTCTGAGCTCTCTCTCTTTTCGTCTCTTTCGTCTCCTCTCCTCTGTGGAGCCCTGCCTGGCTCGGCAGATCCGCGGAGGCCACGGCCCACTCCACGGCGTGATCCGCCGCAGCCGCCTGGCGGCGCCACCGCTTTGAGCATAGCAGCACCGGTCGTCAAAACTTTCCACTCTTTCCCGCGCCCCTCCAGGTGCGCCTCGTCGATGGCGCTCTTCAGGAGCTGTCGGAAGGCCGCCGTCATCGAAGCCTGGATGGCCTCAAGCGTCTGCTCCGGCCCACGGAGCTTCACCTCCGGAAGCGAAGAGCGGAGAGCGCTAGCCGGGCTAGCCGCTGCACCTTTTTTTGGCGTCTACCATCACCTTTTTTTGACCTATATCGACACCTTTTGGTACCTACATCAACACCTTTTTTACGTATGCCATCACCTGCAGTTTAAGTCTACCATCACCTTTATTTTCTTTATTTTACTTTTGTTCAGGCACCGTGGAGTCACCTTTATTACCTGTTTCATTCAACTTGCCGATCCACAAGAATACAACACGAGCTTGTCACAACGCTAGAGCGAAGGCGCGAACGGCACGGTTGCAAAGCCATACATGGCCCATAGCCCATGGCTGCCTCTCCCGCCCCTTGCTTAACTCTCGGAAAGCCCGAAAGCCCGAAACTAAATAAACCGATCGACTTCAGATCAACAGCTTCTCCGAAAAACTATGGAACGCTAAGTTGGAAGCAACGGGAGAATAATGTGAGCGAGCGAAACGAGAAACCAATAAAAACCAAACGGAATACGTTCACGACACCACGGGTCGCAATGCTTTCTCTGCAAAGCCGTTACCGTTCCCTTTTGTACAGGAATGAGGGGGGGAAGCCCGCCCCTGCATCCACCTGTGTCCCCGGAGTACTATATGAAGCCACTTATACCTGCTGGGCACGACATCGATTCGCTTGCCCTTTGTTTCCGTGTGTGCAAGAAATATATTATAAAGCATGGTTCAAGGTGCGAGCCGCCGCGAATCGCAGATTCCCACCTGTTTTCTCCTCACAGATCACATGGTGGAAAGACTGGAGGCAATCTGCAGGGAGAAATGGGTGGGAATCCAACTCACCCCCCAAGTCCCCACCACATGGCCTTTTTCCTGCTCGCTGCTTGATTATGTATTATGTACCGCCCCAGCGGACTTTGCAAAGCCACAACACTCAGAGATACTCAGTCTCCGCAGCGTCGCGGCGTCTCGCAGCGCCTTCGCTTGGAGGGGCAGGCGGTCGCCAGCGGGCGAGAGCAGCGTCTGCACAGCGCCGTCCTCGAGCTCCCAGGAGCCCAGACCTGCAAGCCGCAGGCAGCGCTGAGCCCTGGCTCTGCTAACCGCACCGCACCTGGGAAACACTGCCGTGCCAGGCACTCCATGGCTCTTGGAGAGCTGCGCTTCCCAAAAAGCCGCAAAAACTGTAGAAGCACCGCATCGGAAAAGAAGAAGAGCCGCGGAAAGCTCTGCCGCCTCACTGCAGCCCGAAGCCCCCTCGTTGCGGCAACTGTTGCAATCAAGCGGCTTTGTGACTAGGAAGCCATCGAGGTCCCTGATGATGCTGTCCATGGTCTGACGAAGAGACTTGCTGCAGGGGAGTCTGCACGATGGTGCAGGATGCTTCAGTGCTGCAGGGTGCGGCAGGCGGGCCTCGCCCAGCTGGCGCAGCGTCTGCAAATTCTGAGGGTCCAAAGCCAGGTCGACCACGGTTGGCCTTTGCGCGAGCCTTTGAAGCAAGGCCTTCCAAGTGCTCTCCACGGGCTGAAACGCGAGGAACTCCGTCGGGAGCTGCTTCTGCAGCTCTGAAGCCGAAAAGACGCCCTCCAAGAAGCGAAACCGCTCTTGGCAGCTGCAACACTCCGCCAAGAGCTCCTCCACCTTCTCGAACCGCGCCTGACGAAAGCAACAGCTTGCAGCTTCCGAGCTCAGCTCAAAACTCCGAAACGACCTGCCAGAGCTTCACGCGGTCCGCGTGCACGGCAGCGAAGCGGGACGTGGAACTGGAGCCCACCACGGCCAGGCCGTCCTGCAGCTGCTCCTGCAGAGCAGCCAAGCTCTCCACCCGCAAGGCACCGCCCGGCGCGGCAACGATCGGAAGCTCCAAGCGGCCTCAGCGTCGTATCGACGTGACACGGCAAACTTCTTAAACAAGCACTCGCAACGGAAGTCGGCGAGCAAATTCCACAAAGCGTGCAAAACACACACACACACACACACACACACACACACACACACACACACACACACACACACACACACACACACACACACACACACACACACACACACACACACACACACACACACACACACACACACACACACACACACACACACACCGAGACGCTTCTGCTGATCCATGCAGGCATGGACCGCATGCCTACAAAGCACCACCCTCAACCCAGGATCCTCAAAATGAGGCGCAAGACGACGATAGTGGACGGGCGGACGGGCAGGGGGGGGGGGGGGCGGGAGGGTGCGCCGGGGTGCAGCGGGACTCCAGAGCCTACACAGGCTTTCGCCTCGCTATCACAGGTCGGTGATCGCTGTCGGACGATGGACCAGGTCGATCCTGACTGCATCGTGGCTCTAGCAAAGCGATGAAACGCGCACGACCCTCTCTCGAAGCTTCTCAAAGGCCCCTTATCAGCTCGAGAAGCTCCCTCAACGCGGCTTCCTCGAACACTTCACCACCAGGACAAAGACGTCTTTCTTCTCTGACGAGGAAACTCAACTACCACAGCAGGATCCAGACGGGCCGTCCTGAAGGTGACCGAAGCGCAGAGATCGAAACGTCGGAATCGCTCGAAGAGAGCACTGCTCTGCTGCTCTGCAGGCGGCACGAGATTCGATCATCATTACGAGTCGAGGAGTCGAGTAGAGACTGCAGGCTTCCGCACAGCGGTGATCGCTGAGACATGCGTGGGCTGATGGCATCCCAATGCTCTTTGCAGAGAGGAACTGCTGACTCTCTGGCGACAGACAACCGCATGCTGCACCTACCGAAAGCGCTTTCGAAAAAACATGCAACGGCCGCGCCCAGGCTGAGGCTCCAGGCTCCAGGAACGCGTCAAGTTCTCCAGCGCCAGCTCCACGTAATGCTCCTCTCAATATCAACTTTTGAGGACATTCGCGGATTGCGCATGCGACGCATCATCGCGATTCAGCGTGTCATCGCATCAGTATCCGCCGCACTCTCCCGGGGTGAGCGTCCTGGGTGGCGCGGCGCGCGACGGCCAACAAGTTCGCCATGTGCTTCGTGAGATTCCAATTGGCCGCCTGGCCCAAAGCCAGCTGCGGCCGCCCGGCGTGAGAGACGTCCAGGCGAACGTCCAAGGTCACGCTGAGCTCCTTCCAATGCCTTCCCCGCAAGTGGGGGTTCTGCAGCACCTCCAGAGACGACAGTTCCCGCGCTGCACTGTACTGCCCCGCACTGGCCTCCAGCACCGGGATCAAGTCCTGCATGTACTTCAACCTGGGAGCAGTTAAAAGAGAGAGGAAGAGAGGGCGCGCTCCGGGCTCCCTGGCTGGCTCTGCAGCTCCTCGAAGACGGCGTTGGAAGGCAGCTCCTGCTGGGCCGCCTCCGCTTGCGCCCACAAACTGGTGACCTCGGCGCCCAAGGCCCAAGAGGGCTCTGATCTGCGGGCTCTGCGGATCTTTCGAAGCTGAGAGCAACTGCGTCCTTGGACGTGAGCATCAAGTCCACCAGAAGCAGATCCTGAAAGGCTGAAGGCTGCAGAGCAGCAGAGCAGAGCAGAGCAGAAAGCTGCAGAACTGCGGCCAGGTCGCCGAAGGCAGCCACTCCTGGCCTCGCTGCGCTCTGGACTTCGGGTCACCACATGCATATTCGAAGTGCTTGACCCAAACATGTGGAGAAGCAGCCTTATCCTCAAGAAGGCAAGGGTCTCCCCGAAACGCATCCGAGACATGCTTTCTCCCAGCCTCTTGCTGCTTGCTACACACATGTTCTGCGAACTTTGTCACACGCAAGAAGCTTCGAACCCCCCCCCCCCAGGGTCAAGTTGTTGCAGACTGGCATCGCGGTTATCGGAAGACAGGTAAGAGGCACTGCGGGGCCTGCTGTAGGTTTATAGCATCGTTAAGCTATGAATGCGAATTCAAGTGAGAAGCGTCGTTGTGCAGTGCAGCTAGCATCCACGCTAGCACTTTGAGCACAAAGACAGCAATTTGGGCAGACTCGCACTTTAGGTCAAGGCCAGGGCACACTTCCTCTGCCAGTCTTCGAAAGTCCTCCAAAGCTCCAAGCGCCTCTGCAGCTGCAGCCAGGCATCCGTCAGATCCTCACTGCGGCGGAACGGCAAAAGCGGGAAAGGAAGCACAACGCCACAGAGGCCAAGTCTTGCACCACCCAGGGAGGCGGAACCCTGCTGGCAAGAGGCTGGTACCACAAGCCCGTCGCCTTTCATCACAGCCTGTCAAAAATCCGAAAAGTCTCGGCCTGCTCTCGAGCACGATCCATTCTCGCTCTCGTGCCTGGTAGCCCTGGTAGAGCTCCTGGTCTTCTTGGAGCTTCCGCAGCTCCTCCTGCAAGGTTTCCAGCTCCCTCAGCTTCGAGGAAACGTCCACCGCGGACCTGGGACAGGAAAGACGTCCATCCACTCCAGTCCCTCTTTTCCTGGCCCCGGGCCCTTTCCCGGCAAAGTCCTCAGAAAGGGCAGAAAAGGCTTTGAGACGTGGTCTCGAATTCGCTTGCTTTCGTGGCTTGGGTCCCAGCCGGAACGCAGCCTGCCGCCAAGGCCGGAGAAGTCAAGGACCTGAAGCGACAGAGACTCAAGCCCGCTACAGCTCTGCTCAACCTGCTCGGCTGTCGGTGCCCACACGGTAAATCTCGGTGTAGGGCGCCGTCGCCGGCAGCTGCAACAGCTCCGGATGCCGCACCTGCTCCTCTCAGATTCAGAGGAGAGCACAACTGCCGAAAAAGATAAGGGGTGCCCGGTGGCCCAGGCGGTATGCCGGGCGCTCCTCGGAGGCGAAGACGTGGACCTTGGCCTCCAAGGCCGAGAGCTCCGCAGCGAAGCGCTCCAAAAACCCATCCCGCAGCTCGACAACCTTGCGCTGCGAAAGCTGAGGAGAGGAACGCCGCTCCATTCCGGCTCTCTGCGCCTTCTCCTCCTTCTTTGCGAAGACGGCCTCGAAGTTGGCGAAAGACCGGGGCATGGAAGCTACTTTGGCCCGCAAGGTCGTGCTCAAGTAGACCCTCAAACGACAGGGCACACAAGCGCTGCGCGTGCGCGCGCGCTGCCCTCACCGCTGTCTTCCCCTTCGCTCGGGGTCCGGCCGCTGTTCCTCCAAGATCTCGTAAAGCTGTTGCATCCTTCCGAGGAGCTCGGCCTGGGTCCCCAAAGAGCCCCGCGTCTCCTGCCGCAAGTTTTGCGCAACGCTCGGGCTCCCTTCCTTCCCCTACCAGCCGATGTTTCTCTGTGGGAGATGCAGAAGGCTCGAAAAGGCATGTTGGGAGCGAGTGTACAACGGCGGTCGCGACACTGCGGATCTGCCTTGTGCAAGTTACATCCTCTGCGAATGAGGGGTATGGAGAGTTGTTCAATGCCCAGAGTGTCCCAAGGTCGCTGGCAACAGAAAGTACGACCCGAATCCTGGTGGCAAGAACAGCGCAGAATGGATTCTCCGAGTTCGTGTGACAGACGACGGTCTCTTGGAACGATTCAGACAATTAGTTCGATTAACTTCGACGTGGTTGCCTTCACTGCTCACTGCTGTGCTTGTGTGATGGCACATGAATGAATGTGCGTCTGGCATTGGAGGCGATTGGTCCCACCTCGTACATTTTCACCGGAAACGTGCGGCTTCGAGGATGACAGAACAGCAGGCCAAACAATTCGTCATTGACCACAAACCCTGCTGTAGCCCGACCAGGAGGCCTCCCGACAATAGGTGATGCATCGTGTGCTGGAATGAAAAACTGTGCGTGCGTGCGTGCGTGCGTGCGTGCGTGCGTGCGTGCGTGCGTGCGTGCGTGCGTGCGTGCGTGCGTGCGTGCGTGCGTGCGTGCGTGCGTGAGTGCGTGCGTGCGTGCGTGCGTGCGTGCGTGCGTGCGTGCGTGCGTGCGTGCGTGCGTGCGTGCGTGCGTGCGTGCGTGCGTGCGTGCGTGCGTGCGCGCGCGCGTGCGTGCGTGCGTGCGTGCGTGGGTGCGTGCGTGCGTGTGTGCGTGCGTGTGTGCGTGCGTGGGTGTGTGTGTGTGTGCTGATGGCAGCAGGTCCTGCTAGATCGGAGCCTGTCCTGATTGTCCAGCACCGTTGATTCCAAGCGTGAGAAGATAAGGTGAGCTTCGTCCAAACACATGATTATGGCTTTAATATGTTCTGGTGTGCTACAAGTTCTCGGCGCATAGTTCCGCAACGACACGGTATAACTAGAACGAGCCTGAACAGAAGCAAATTTAGGTCCATCTGGCGACAGTCCAGTCCGACAGGAAGCCATGGAAGAAGAGCAAGCGAAGGCTGAAGCCATGTCAGAGGAGCTAGCGCAGGCTGCGCAGGTCTATGGAAAGCTACTGTCGGTGGGAAGAAATCGTCGATTGGCCATGAAGCTCTTGGCAGAGATCGCTCGAAGACCAATACGTGATAATACGTGCACCTTGGCTTCGATCAGAAGCTAATTGATTGGTTTTCCAGGAGCCCAGTAACGGTATACGACCAATCTAGTAAGGGAAGCGTGCCTCACCGACTACTTGGAATCCCGGACCTATTGGATTGAGGAAAGTCTTGCCGAGTACAAAAACAACTCCCTCGCCTACAACAGCTATGTGCAAGAACCCCTCAATCCTCGGGAAATCGTTGATGTGGACTGACGTGGGAGCCAGCTTGGTGGCTGAATTTAATTCAAAGGTGTTTTCACGGAAGGCACAATGCCAGAGGAAAGCCAGAGTGCTAGACGGTGTCGTTTCACCCATATGCAACCCTGGTTTCGGCTGGCTTTCGACAACTTAATTTGTTTGTGCAACAAACTAACCGGCATACCATAGTAGTGGCAAACGGGATTCGCTGAACACTGTGGTCAACATCCACCAGCACGCCTTGCGGTCGTTACCCTTCAACCCTATATCATGGCACTCTGCCTTCTAACCCTAAACCCTAAAACCCTGAAATTCTGAACCCTAAACCCTGTGGCCTACCCGCGCTTGAGACTCCCGTGGCCAGCATATTTTGAAGCAGCGATACTGCTTGAGTGTCTGTGAGATGTCCTGAGAGCGGCAATTGAAAGGGTGAAAGCACGAAAGCTTCAGGAGCTGTTCTCAGAAAGGATCACAGCAGAATACGTTATCAAGAAGACATACACTGGCAGCATCTTGAAGGACTCAGCCACCAGCATGACATTCGATATGCAAGCCAGTGTAGCGGCCGGGCGGTGGCGGGGTAGAAGGCGGCGAGGCTGAAACAAGCTGAGGTAATTGCACACGGCCTCTTCGTGGCGCTTGGCCACACTATCATACTTCATATGTGCCATGTGGCCTACCCGCGCTTGAGACTCCCGTGGCCAGCATATTTTGAAGCAGCGATACTGCTTGAGTGTCTGTGAGATGTCCTGAGAGCGGCAATTGAAAGGGTGAAAGCACGAAAGCTTCAGGAGCTGTTCTCAGAAAGGATCACAGCAGAATACGTTATCAAGAAGACATACACTGGCAGCATCTTGAAGGAACCAGCATGACATTCGATATGCAAGCCAGTGTAGCGGCCATATCCGACCTCGTAGTCTTCTAGCATCGTGCTTTGCAACGTGCTGGCAGCCCTGGAAGGGCCAAACGCGGGGTGTCCCTGAGCACCGCGCGCACCTTTGCTTAAGGTGTCCGCCCTCGGACACCTTAACTGACAGCTCAGTGTCGGAGCCCACACCGACCCAGCAGCAGGGACTTGAGCAAACTTGGGGCTGCTCGCGCTCTGGTTTTCAAGGCCTCCGAAAGCTTCTCGAACTCCTGGGCCACCAGAGCGTGCTGCTCGTACCGGCGCAAGCTGGAGTCTGAAACCCACCTTCCCCGAAGCTTCACATCGAGGACGGTGCGGTAATCTTTGAATCGGTCCCATGTGGCCCCAGAGTGCCTGAGTTGGTGCAGCACTGCCAAACCTTTCTTGAGCTTCAGGCTCGCCAGGCTTTGATTCCATGCGTTGGTGACCTCCGTGTAGCTGGTAGGCAGCAGCGGTCCATTGAGGACTGCCCCGGCACCTTCCAATACCGCACCCAACCAGGGAATTTCCTTGTTGTCTAGCATGATCGACTCGTTGTTCACATCTGTCTTCGAAGCCTGCATGTCTTCGGAGGGGTGCAGATTGATGGCCCAAGTGCGGCCCAAGAGCAAACTCTTGACCAGGTCCCTGCGACGGAGACCGAACACTTCTCCCGGGCGAAGATACGCCACGAACATCAAAAGCACTGCCATGCACTCGAAGAGCTTGCCCGCTTCGGCCATCTGGAGCGCAATGAGAGCGATCAGCGGCCAAGCCAAGGGCGGGCGAGTGACACCCGGGTCCAGGTTCCGCCACCCTTGCATGGCTCTGCGTGTCCTTGGTAGCGCGTGCTTGCCTCCCAACTCCGGCCTGTAGTCCGTCACTGCCGCCACTGCCTTGACGCCCTCGCTGACGTCCCAGCCCTCCAGGAAAGCTTGGTTTACAAAGAGGAGCAAGGCCCAGTCCACGTCGGCTGGCTTTTGCCGCGGCAACTTCTGGGCACTGCAGAAAGCGATGAACAAGTCCAGTTTGTGACGGTACTCCTCGCTGGTCCTTGGTGCGACTGCCGCCCTTTCCAGAAGGGTTTGCTCCGGATGCCGGGCTCGGGACACTGCCGTTGGTGCAACCTTTTGCCGCTTCTCGGCCCTGCTTGCTTCGTCGTTGCCCTGGAGAGCTACTCTCACCACACGTTTGGTCGGAGTGCCTCTGATCTTCCTGGGTGCCACCGAAGCCTTCAGGATCGCCAACTGCCCGCCCGAGGAACTGGTTGACCGCTTCCTTGATTTCGGCTTGGGCAGTGTTCGGGTAGATGATGGCGTCGCGGATCCGCGCTGTGAACGCTTTGCCGGCTTCTTGCGGGGCTTCGCGCTCCCACGTCCTGGAACCGGCATCCCCGGCATTGAACTCTGACGGCACCCAACGGTGAGTAAAGGTGCAACACGTTGCGATGCAGAAAGCGGCCGCTCTTCGGCAGCACATCAATAAAGGCACAGCTTTAGCCCGTCCTCTATCAAAAGCAAGAACCATGCCTAAATTGTCACCAAGATGCACATGCCTCTTCTGGAAGTTGCCCTTGCTTCTAAGCTTGTGCCTAATAGCCTGGAGGGTGCCGCGACCTTCAAGGACGGTGATGTGCTCCTTCATCCGCATACGACACGCGAACTGATGCTTCCACTCCGGGTTGCATGCAACGTCCGAGGGAACATGCTCAAACTGCAGGTTCAACTGAAAGGGGTCGTGCTCCATTCCAGTTACGTCCCGAACTGTGTGCAAATCAGAGAATGGATCAAGCGATAGTGCAGCATCCCTCGCACGATTGAGGGGATCTTTTGACTTGAATCGCCACATTTCACGACACATGCCGATCCTCTTGACTGTTTCCTCTGAACACTCCAAAGAAGATACCGCAGTACCCGAAAGTGAAGCATCACTGACAGTAATGTTTGGGCTCCATTCCAGTCTGAGGTCGGCATAACACACAAGCAAAAGGGCAGCAGCGATCCTACATTCGTCAGCTGCTGTGCGCCACAGTCTATAAGGTACTTTGTAATGAGCAGTTCGGAAATCATACACAGACCGAAAAATAGACAATAGCTCCCTCCGCAGCATAAAGAGATGTATGCAGTGCCCGATCACCCGCTCAATGGCCTTACCCGACACCCTAGGGCGCCCAGCTAGCCAGAGTAACGCCAAGCGGACCTTGTCCCGCCTAGCGGGGATTGGTTGCACCTGGCCCCGCTCACCGTCGATGATGAATCCCAGAGCCTGTGCTCGAGTGCTGGCGTTTTCTTCTTCATGGACTCTGAACCCCACTTCTCTAAGACGATTGGCCACACAATCCTTGGCCCATTGGACACGTACTGCATCAATACCACAAACGTTCATGTTGTCAGCATACGGTATCAAGACTGGCTGGCCTTTTTCCAGGTCTGGCGGCGGCCTCCCATCCACCAGAACCTGGTCAGGCCCACACTGCAATGCGATAGCAGCTTGGTGTTGGTGAATGCGTTGTGCCACCCACATAGACCAGCTCCACCCCATGGGCACCACACACATGCACGGATACACCTTGCCCTGAAAACCCTCAAGGAGCGGAATATGGCCTGTCAAGTCATTCGCCTGCACTGCCGGGAGAGCGAAGTACGGGCGAAGTCCTGGAGGAAGGCCAATGCTGTGGAAGTAATCCTTAACGTCACTCTGAGCAGTAAAGAGAACTTCACCTTGAGGAACCTCTATCTGTGCGAAGGTGTAACCCGCTGCCAAGGCGATGTCGGGGGGAGCTGCAAACATCTGGTTACTGGCCCTGCAATCCAAGACCAAGCGCAACCTACCATTCTTTTTGGCAACGAAAAATGGGGTGATTACACTGATGGCAGTCCGGGAGAAAGTGATCATCCCTCTCTCGTAGATGTCCACGATGAACTGGTTGTAGGCCTGAGCAGAGGTACGTAGGGCTTCGTCCATGTATGGTTTTATCCTGCGGCTCCCGTCGTTGACCCGATGCTCCACAAACATAGCGCTCTCAAACCTCTCTAGAACTTCACGTCCCCTCTCGTCGATGAGCTCCCTGGCGTCCAGAGGATGGGCGCCACACTCCGGCAACGAGACGAGATCTCTCTGGTAAGCTTTTACACCTCCGGTCCCATCTCCCCCTGAAACATAAGGGCTCGACGGACATTCAAGCAGAAGCTCACGAACGGCCTCACGCTGGAACACTTGACTTTCGGGTTTGGGCAAGTCAATGACTTGCCGCAACAAAAGAGACTGAGCAGCGGCTTGGTTCTGAGAAGGCGGCCCACACGATGAAAATTTGAAGCCCGCCATGTTGTTGAGAGCAGAGATTACCTCGTTGGTTCTTTCCAAGTTCTGCTCTCGCTTTCTGCGATGTCGCCTTGAACAAACCGATTCCTTGAAAACCTCCTGTGGCCGGCGGCCCTCGGGCTGAAGAAGAGGCAAAGGAAGAAGATCTCGCCCGGCCCGTCGAAGCGCAAGGGCTGGACATACTCAGTCTCGAACACAAAACTGTACCAAGCGAGCTCGCTTAAAAGGACTCCCCGTGAATGGAAAACTTTATGAGAGGCCACCCCCCACGGAGAAGAGCGTGACCCCCTCGATGCTCTCACTTGTCCGCCCCGCCAGCCGCCCCTCCACCTTTGGGGTTTGGCCGGCCAGTCTTTCTTCGCTGCTCCATCTCCTCCTTGGCCTTGCGGGCCTCCTTCGCAATGGAAGCCTGATCCCGAAGTTCGCCGGCGACATACTTCGCGAGGCTAGGATCCACACCATCACCGCGACGGTACGCCCAGCCCATGAAGACATCCGCCGCCGAGTAGTCCGGCGATGTGGGCGAAATCCTGTGGGCTTCGCGGATGAGCTGCCACCTCCTGATCAAGAGCTCGGCCCCCTTGAGGTTTGGAAGATTGAGCTGGTCCACGGTCGCCATGGCCTCCAAAACGCGCGTGATGACCTCCATCTCGTAGACGCTCCTGTCGCCCTTGGCCAACTCATGGGTTCGCACCCAATGCTCATGGTCGGTGACCGGGGTGAGGCCTCGCATCACCATGGACTTCATCACCTCAAGGCCGGACGGCGGACCATCTAGCTGAAGCTTACCGCCAGGCATGTCGACCTGCTTCATGAGAGCCACCATGTCAGCAAACTCAGCCCGGCGCTGCCCCTGAGGATCAAATCTCAAAGGCAGCACTCGCAAGTCCTCGGCATCCATGCTGCCCACAAGACCGGCATCGATTTGCTTGAGGCACAACTGTTGTCCACCACCCAAGTCCAGAATCGCACGATCTCCTTGTTGAACTACTCCAGCAGGCAAGGGCTGCCCCGCCTGCACAACCACGGATCCGGCCCTGGTGCCTCCACGCGACTCCAGCGCAACCCACACCGTGGGGTTGACCGGTGCAACCGCTTGGACGGGCGCGGCAGGTGCAGCTGCCGCAGGCGCCCCAGGATGAGCAGGCAGACCTAGCCCTGCCCGAAGCCCAGCTGCATACAAACTGGCCTGATGCATAAGACGCTGGTACTCGATGGCAGTCAGAGCCCCGAAAGTGTAAACATGGGCGGGATTATCCGCGCAGGAATCGCTGCACCCAACCCTGGACCTGCATGATGGAACTCAGTGTAGTCAGGGTTCAAATGGGACAGTTGCTCCTCGTAGATATCCCAGTCGGGCGTCACGATCACAAACACGTCGTTATGAACATGGGCCCCAACTAAGCGAGCATGAACACATGGTGGAACTTCGCCATAATTAACGAAAGCTATGTCTCCCACAGAGATCATTTCAAGGCAAGAGCCAAGCTACTGCCCAACACTCCTCGTTTGCCCTTGCCCTTAGAGACCGCAGACAATGAATCGAACTTCCAATTCTAGACGAGATAGCCACCAAAGGCCAGCCAGCTTAGACCGACCAGCGACCAGGCGAGCAGCTCTCTACCACAAAAGTCTGGGGTTGGATTTGAGATGCAGTCGCAATGACAAACACAGGGCGCAGCAGAAACTCTCTCTGGCTTCGGACCCCAAACGTATGATCCCCAGGAGAGTCCAATCACCAAGACCGCTCCCAGCAAAGCAAGGTCCATCAAACCTATCCCTAAAGACTCGAGGCTGAAACAAGCTGAGGTAATTGCACACGGCCTCTTCGTGCCATGACCCTTTCACTACCCTTAAACTCTTAAACCCTATACCATGGCACTCTGCTAACCCTCAACCCTAAAACCCTGAGACTCCAAATCCTAAACCTTAACCCTTTCATTACTGTCATGGCACTCTGCCTTCCAAACCTAAACCCCAAAACCCTGAAGCTCTAAACCTTAAACCCTGTGCCAAGTCTTCTTCATTGCCGGCTTCCTGGCATCTGCATTATTTGAAAAGAATAATAAAGTGTCAAAAAAATCTTGGTCTGTATTTGTCTTTGCAAGTTCTTAATTTGTCTTTAAGAGTCTTTATTTGTCTTGAAAAGTGTTTAGTTGCCTTTCAAAATTCTTAATTGTTGGGATTTGTCTTTAAATATCTTTATTGGTTCGTCTCCAAAAGTTTTAATTTGTCGTTATTTTGTTTTTGTTTGCCTGGATCTGGACATTATTTTCTTTACTTGTCTTGAGTCTTTATTTGTGCTTTTGTCGGTTATGTCGAACAAGCCCTGTGGATCTAAACCTTGTGGTTCTGGTTCGGTGCAAACGGTCAATGACAAAGAGGAACTCTGTACAGTCTAAATAATAAGCAACATGGAGACACAGATGGTCTCAGTCGGCAAGATCACCCAAGCTACGACCGAGCGAATACCAAAGCAGAAGGAAACTCATCAGCCGCACAGCATATCCAGAACTGTTCAGCGCTAACTTGTAGAGAGAAACTACCCACACTCCAGTCTTGGGCTCAGCAAGATCCCAGCCAAAGACAATAAAAGAAGCACGAAGCACGGTGCCCATCAATTAACACTCCTTTCCCACATTGCTTTTGGCTGAATTCGTTGCAGGCGCAGGGACCTGACTTCACCGAAGCCATCCTCGGTTTCGCAGCCTTGGGTTTCCGAACCTTCCTGTGGATGCTGTGGACCTTGAAGTCCTGGCTCTGCAGCCTAACATCAATGATCGCACTGCACACGGACGGGGCAGTGGGGTGGTCCTGCTTTTTTTGGAGCCTGCAGAGCCACATGGGGCAAACACAACCCACTCCAGGGGCACTCGCAAAAGCACTGCCCACTCCAGGATCCACACATCGAGTTTGTGCGCACACACTCACTTGAAACCAGTTTGTTCGCTGCATGCTCCTGTCGAGTGGCCTGTGTGCGCCAGCATACCGAATCGCAAAGAACAACACACACTTGATAAGAGAATCATGTCAGAGTTCAAATGAACATCGACCGATTCCTATCACTGCGCTCTTAGGGAGCACAAAGCCAGTAGGCACTGAATCATGACCAAGATGCGACCACTGTTTAAGATGCAAGTGCGAGCAGCATGGGAAGCAGAGCGATGCACGCAACTTACAAGCGATGAAATACCCACCAGCTGTCGCCTCGCGACCCAAGTGCGGTATGACATGCGCTGTTTTCTTGGGTTTTCGGCCTTTTCCGGACGGGGTTACTTTGGTGTCGCCTAGGACATACAGAGTTGCAACTTAGTTACAAGTGCTGAATAAGCCACTAACTTGGATTGTAAATACGTTAACTGGTTTATAAGTTTTGCTAACTTAAGTTAGCAAAACACGTAGATATCGAGAAGTTGAGTAGTTAGCGGGCAGTTAGGGTAGAGCAGGAAAAAAAAGTTAGCAAGAAGTTAGCGTACTTATAGCGTTTTCATTAAATTTTGCATGTTTGCTGCACGACCATGGGTTTTTGAAGGTGTTTTCGATAAGATTCGGTTATAGGATAGATATGTTGAAATGTAGCCATTTCTCAAGGAGCAGGGTAGCACTGCGGCGGCCACTGTGGCGGCCATGTCGACAAAAAACTGGAAAGGGCAATTACAGCTGCCTAGATGTTCCTTATATGGGGGTGAAGACGTTGCCTCAGTTCCCTGACATCCAAAGCAAGCAGGCTGCGAATCTAAGCAAATCTGCGGAAGCAATTCTATTAGCTCCGCGGTCAAAAGAAGCTGCAATTCGGCTAAAAGCCTGTGTCCGCCAAATGTCCGCCCGTGTCCGCCTGTGTCCGCCGGGTCCCAAGACTCCCCGGAGGAGTGTCCGCCGGATGTGTCCGCCGCACCCTTGCTTTAGCCGTGTAGGAGCATGTCCCTGTCCGCCCGTGTCCGCCGGTCTACAATCCAGGGCCTTGTCATAGGAACCGCCTGTCCGCCGGTGTCCGCCGTTCTCCCGCGGTCAGCAATGCCATGTGTCCGCCGGGCTGGGTGCCGTCATGCTTCATTTGCTGCTTTCTCGCAATCGCCGCTGTTGCTCCAGCAGCCTTTTTGTGAAAGACCGGCCTTTTGTTTTTTGGGTCCTTGTGCTCCCGCGAGCCATGGCACTGCAGTTTCCAGAACCCAGCGAAAAGCAGCAAACCGTCTGCAAGTACTGCAGCCTCCAGTACCCCACTCTTGCATTAGTGGCATTGGCGTGTGCTGAGGACAAAACGAAATCTTCTTCATTTGACTGCTTCTGTCGGTTGAGTTAGGCCAATTCCAGCCAAAAACGATTGAGTGTCTGTAACTGCAGAAAAACCATCAAAAAACTTAGCAACAAGTTAGCGAGTTACAAATAAGTTATAAGTCCATCTCTAACTTCATTTTAACTTGCAAATAAGTGTGTTTTAACTTGCTGCTAACTTCCTAAACCCGCGGCGTCACTAAAGTAGGCCTCGTCAGTGGAGACCCCCTCGGAAATTTTCTCCAGAACCCCAGTCGCAAGGTTAATTAATTACTCAGCGACCGCGCGGAACCCTTGGGAACAGGGGCGGACACACACACGAAGCCAAGCAGGCAAGCAAGGGCTCTTAGCGTCATTTTGTATGAACATCGCGAGCATGTGCCAGGGTGTGCAGCGGCCTTTGAAGCAACATGATCACCTGCGCTTCCACACACGATCTGGAGGAAAACCCATTCGGGTGAAGAACTCGCACAAATCGTCTGCTTGTTGCTCCGAAATCGTTTTGGGGTAGGCATACTTCAAGATGATACTCAACCGACTTTTCAATCCTGACAATCGCGAGTTCCACGTTCCAGCACTTTTCGGCGATCTGATTTGCCACCCATGCGTCAATGGTTTGAACGTAACTGTTCGGGAGGACACGTTGACGAGCATGCCGAGGTACTCATGGTTCAGAACGTGCTCCAACTCCACCGGGCGCTTATAGAAGAATTGATGTAACAGAACCTGTATTCCTGGAAGCTGTACTGCGAAATCCGTGGCCAAAATCAACCGGTTGTCTACGTAGCGCTGGATAAGTACCTGCGAACCTGCGACTGCCAGCGTGTTGGGGAAGGTGCGTTTCCAGTGAATTTCCATGGCAGCCACGCAAATGGTAGAAAGTATTGGGCTTATCTGATTTCCTATTGCGGTCCCTCGAGTTTGTTTCCATGCCACACCCATCGCTTCGAACACTCCCAGCTGAAACGACAACAAAACAATACGCTCAACGTCCTCTAAGTAGACAGTCTTATAATTAGCTTTGCAGCTTGCCAAAGAAGACCCAGCATGCGCTGCATAACGTTTGAAATGACTGTGGGGGTTCACCATGATGCATGTGTCGTTGTGGGTCGCCCGGTACTCGTCCAGAAGCCGTTGTACTGCATTCACGACCTCCGTTTGTGGAATGGAGTTGAAAATCCAATCAAATCTTGGTTGACTTCCACCATACGGGCGGTGTCACTTTGTGCTCGCAGGAACCTGTGAATGTCACTCCACAATTGCGGAGTCGTACCCGTGCCCAGTTGTTCTGGCCACGTAGAAGATATGATGCTTGATAGCGCCATAGAAGTGGCTGTGAGTAGCGGTGCCGCGAGAGAGTTCCAGTAGCTCACAATCGTCCTTGCCGTTGTCCACTGCTTCTTACGTTTCATGAAAATATATCCACGAGGGCACCTCGGGTCAGACTTGAACCCCCACGAATACCGTTTGCGAAGATCCTGTGGTATCTGTTGTGCGAATGCTTGCTGGTATTCACGTGGTGCATACGGTAATCGTGTGAACACTGTTTCGTCTGTCCATGTCGTCCACTGAGTGCTGTAGCACAGGTTGGGGCAGAAGAGCATAACATGGCCACTGCAGTGGTCCTCATTGTGGATGACGAAGTTGTCGTTGAAAAACTGTTTAAGCTTCTGCACGCTCTTGAAATTAAACCGTTCCTCTTCGTTCAGCTGGTCAAGGTGCTGCTTCCACTGATCATGAATGAACTCCGTGAGGTCTGGTTTGCTCCAGCGCGGGAAATAATTCCGCTTCCAGCAAGCATCAAAAGCATCTTGAAACATGGAGTTATACTGACGTCTGGCCGGAAAGAAAGTGGATTGGGCGTTCATCCATTTGAATTTTGTCAAATCGCGCGTCAGATTGAACTCTTCGAGGCCAGCTGCGATGTGACCATTTACCTGGCTGAGGTTGGGATGTCGCTGTAGCCATTGGTTGCAGGAGCATGGAATTTCTGGTAGGTGTTGTTGTTCTTGCATATTCGGTACCAGCCTCATCCAATTGTGCAGGAAGTTGTCCAAGGATTGATGGGCTGATTCAATAGGAGTGCACGGCGGCAAATGCAACGGTACTAGAACAGATTTATGCTTAAGAACCAAAGCCTTAAGTAACTTTTTCACGGCACTTGAAAAGCTCGAATGAGAGAGAAAAGGTACTCTGAAAGCAAACGGCTTACGAGGAACTGACGCGTTCCTGAATTTCAACACACCTTTAAGAACCTGGCGCGCTCTACATGCCCTCAGGGGTTCAGCGATGTGATTTGTTAACCGGAACATGGCATAGACCTCCTCCACCGTGTGTTTCCCACTGCGAAGCCTCTTTGATGCTTCAAAACTGCATTTTGACAACTCTGACAAGTCATGAAAGATTACCCATGCGTTCGCCAGCGTCACTGTCATGTGAACTGGATGCTGTAGAGTACGGTGCTTTCTGCGCAATTTTGCCCAGAGTCTGTCTCCTGCTCCACGTGCCGACCCAGGGACGCGCCTGGATGCTCTGCGCAACCCAAACGCTGTAGGTTTCAAGATGTTTCCTATGTTGGGCCAGTTCAATGTCGGCTGCCATGTCTGGATTAACTTGTGCTCCATGGCCCACGCTAGTTTGTAGCTCGAATAGGCTCCCAGAACGACCGTGGCATAGTCCAAAAAGTTGTCCTTTTCGCTCCACCATTGTACCGCTAGCTCAGTTTTGACTAGCTTCTTTGCCGAAACCTGCCGAAGCTTCGTTGCACGATTACAATCTCGCGCAGTGGCTGTCAATGAGGAAGAACCTATATACCAGTATCGCTTCCAATTCCTTCGGTTTGGGGTGCTGCACGTTAACCTTTTCGTGTCAAGAACCCATGCGACATCAAACTGAAACGGTACTTTCATGTAGACTATGTTTGAACAGCGGAAGAATGCAAAGGAATACATGGAGGGATGCAAACCCAGTGATTTCACCTTCATCTTCAGTGCCAAGCTATACCGATCAAGCGTACTGGACCTTGTGCATAACACCAACCACGCAAATGAGGTGGCCCACATCGCGATATGTTTATCCACACCAGGAACATGAGCAATGATGAACTGCAATGTCGCTGCTAAGATGCGCATTCGGAACCTGCACTGCGTGAACTCTCTGTAAGTGAAGCCTTCATAAGCTGAGAAGCTTTGCTGCACCAGCAGTCCAGAAAGTGCATGTATCAACGCCGTGAAGCTCATGATGCTGTGCACTTCCAAAATACATTTCGGCATTTCCATCTCATGGAAAAGCCAAGGGCTGGCTGCGATCAGTTGGGTAACCCAGTTGGTGTAGATTTCCAACGACAACGCAAAACTTTGCAGAAACCCTTCGAAGTCATACCTGGTACTGGCTTTGGCACTTTGCTCCGCATGGTTCAGGTTGTGAACAATACCTTCACGTAGGCGTGGATGCCAGCCGAACCGAGCCAATGACTTGAATAGATTTTCCATCGCAGTCACACTTGATCTACCAAGGACGATTCGACATGAAACGACATTCAAGGTCCTGACAACACACACGCACACACACACACACACACCTAACACTTGGAAGCGCTGTACGGGCGGAACGGTTGAGGTTTGTTCACAGACAAAGTGGCAACAGTGTTCGGAAAACCGCGACGTGTCCGGTTTCGGAGTGTCAATCGGAGCGAACGGTGTTCCGATGGCTGCATCGGATTATCTTCGACAATGCTAAAGCTGCAAAAGCTGGCAACCACAGGAACAGCACAAGCACGAACCACATGCAAGTGTAATCAAAGCATCAAGCACGTATTGACATGCAAGCTTCAACAGAGCAAACTGGCAACTGCATTGGTGCATGCTGAAGCATAGTATAACATGTTTTCTGTCAGGCGCATCGTAGCTGTAGCTATCACAAACCGGCGTGCTTCATGAAGGCTGCCACCGCGATGATGTGCGCGAGTGTCTTACAAGGAGCTTTCATAGCAATCTGGGCCGGCAAACCCCATCGCACTGCAAGATCGACCACTTTCTGTTTGGTTTTCTTGTCACCACCTCCGATGCTGTCGAACACTTTGGTGATGTACTCTTTCAGCTTCATGGAAAGGACACCGTCATGGAGTTGCGATTCGGCGTGGTGCTGAAACTCTTTGATCACCTTAGCATTAGTTGCTTGAATCTGCGACACACGAGGTACCACGGAGGCTGCTTGTTGGAGCACGTCATAGGTAACCGGGATCTCTTCGAACTTCATCTTTTTCAGAGAATGGGCATTGTTCACGGGACTCTCCGCCTTGCGTTTTTCTGGAGTGATTGGGATTCCGCGCTCTTCAAGTTTCTTACGGTATTTCTCATTGTCTGATTGAAGAACTTGCATCTGATGTAGCGCATAGAGGTCTTGCTCCACAGGCATGAGGGGCTTCAACAATTCCACGATACGCTGCACCAGGGGAGCTACATATGCACCTGGGTCGTCTTGCTTCTTCGGGGGTTGTTGGTTGTTCTGAGTCCAAACGACTTGCGAGACCTTGTCGAGATCAACCCCGTTTTCACGTAGTGCATGACTCAACTTAGCCAAGAATATGGTTTCTGGAATAGACCTGGTGAACACCAGCCCCGTGAACCGTCCCGCAGCAATGTTGCGCAAATTCCATTCTTGTACTCCGCGATAAGCCAGTTGATGGACTCGGAGATCAACGATTGGTATGCCTGCTAAGCCGCGGGATCGACTCCATGAAGTTGCTTCTATAGTTCTTGGCAAAGCCAGATGTCCTACCAACGACGTGTCATAATGCGTGGCGCTGGGGCTCCACGACGATGGGGTCTTCAGCGACTCCGTCTGGTAATGCTTCGGGGTTGAATTGTCAGGGGGTGATGGGGCGAGCAAGGGTAGCCTAGAGGGTTGATCCTTCCATTTGCCCCAGTCTTCATCGTCGTCTTGAGAATGCCACTGTTCCCACTGCCATTTTGTTCCCCACCACTGTTCTGACATGATCAACCGCAAAGGCCAATGACAGTCTACAGTACGAAACGCCCTGAGCAAAAACCTCGAAACCTGGAAGACTGACCTAAGCAAACCGGCAGTGCAAACAGACGAAACATGAGTCCTACGGCTTGAACGTGTCCGACAATCAGCAAATGCACAGCGCACTTGTTTAGATCATGCCGTGGCAACAAAGAAGTCGCAAGGTATAAAAAGGTGAGGTTGGCTAATGCGGTAAGGGTGAAATCAAAACTGTTTCTGCGCACTGTATACGTTCAACGAGACCTCCGCGAAGTAGGAAACCCAGCGAGCAGATCAACATCAGCACCACTTACCAGAAGAACTCGGCCAAGGATCTCCATCATTCGCGCGTCTGTTTGGTTAAAGGACTCGCATGAAATAAGAGCCAAAGCTTGTTGTAGCAACGAGCGCCAATACTGTCTGCTCATACCATCCGCCACTCCCGGTGCGAAGAAACGATGATCATGCGCTCGATGAGGCTGGAGGTTTGTTGGTCGAGGTTTCGCTTTGGGTCTAGTGCCACTGACGACAGTAGCTGTATGCTGCACTTTTCTCGCCAATGGTGGGCGTACTCTGCGAGGGACTGGAGATCTGCTTCGACGATTGGGTCGATCTGCGTGACTGGATGTTGCTGTCGGTGTAGCGGTTGTTCCGAACTGCACATGTTCTGCTGCCATGGCGGTGACTGGGGAATTAGCGACACGACAGCAACCGCAACCCAACACCGGCGCGAAAACAGGGAACAGAAACATGCCCAGAAGCACACACACACACACACTCACGCACAGAGACACCCACCAAAGACACGACAACCCAACTACTTACGCGGAAAACTTGATGACTGCGGCCATGAAGCAAATGTCCACTACCATTTGAGGCGCGAATCTTGCAATAGGCAATGGCGAGACTAACCATGAGTCAAGCATTGACATCGTGTGTCAGACAGTACATACGCAGGGCAACAAAGACCACAGGACGAAGATGACGAAGAGGATGGCATGAGACATAAGTAATTAACTCAGAACAAGAGACATCCTAAGCGACCAGGGGCGAGCTCATTGTCGTCCAAATGTGTCCTAACCAGAACAAGCCACGAGACAAAGACCACTGAACACAAAGACTTTTCAGGACAGTCAATGAGCAGATGCAGTGAAATTATTCACTTGGTCACGACCATGTCATCAGGGAATGAACTTCAGTGGTCGACGGGTCGCCTGGCCATACATCCAAGGGATTGCAGACCAGGATCAGAGTTGTCGCTTTGTCAGAAAGACAACCCGATCACACTTGATAAGAGAATCATGTCAGAGTTCAAATGAACATCGACCGATTCCTATCACTGCGCTCTTAGGGAGCACAAAGCCAGTAGGCACTGAATCATGACCAAGATGCGACCACTGTTTAAGATGCAAGTGCGAGCAGCATGGGAAGCAGAGCGATGCACGCAACTTACAAGCGATGAAATACCCACCAGCTGTCGCCTCGCGACCCAAGTGCGGTATGACATGCGCTGTTTTCTTGGGTTTTCGGCCTTTTCCGGAGGGGGTTAGGCCTCGTCAGTGGAGACCCCCTCGGAAATTTTCTCCAGAACCCCAGTCGCAAGGTTAATTACTCAGCGACCGCGCGGAACCCTTGGGAACAGGGGCGGACACACACACACACACACACACACACACAGGAGAACACAGATATCCACCATGAAACGCAAGCGGTGACAGCAGGCAAGGGCACATGTGCCAGATCCAGAGCGACGTCAAATCAGCACCCTTTGCTCATCTTTGTTTCTTGTTTAAGCTTGTGAGGAGTAGTTCGGCAGAGCTATGGAGCCAGACCAAGACAACATTGCAGCGCAACAGCACGAGATCTTCGGCCATCTTGTCGACTATACAGCAGTCCCAGCTCGCTCAGAAAAGGTGCGCACAGCTGCGCTTCAAAAACATTGCCACCAGTTCTCAACAACTCAATGTGTTGGGATCCAATCTACCGGCGCAAAAGCAAACCCAGGAACCGTTGGCAAACACTGCCTTGACTACAACAAAGAAGTCATCGACACAGGCTGCCAGGTAGCAGAACATTAAGGGACAGCATGCAGCATCCACATCGGGGCACACTTCGACAACATGCACAGGATCCTCGAAACAATCATCAATCCATGGCAAATTCATCAGCTTGCCGCCGCAAGCAAAGCTGTTCGCGTCAACTGCAATGTATGTGCAGCCCATGCATGGTTGGGGACAATCATATGGCAACAACATCGGACACCGAGAAACCAGTGACAGAGAAGACGCCCGGACTCACATTGACATCAAGGCTACCTCAAAAACAGGAACATGCATCAATGGCAGCGGATACGAGTTCCAACTCCCATGTGCAACAGGCTCCAGATTCCTGGCAATGTACCTTAGCAGCCAAATCCGCTAGAGCGGATGCAATCTACCAAATCGCAACAGCAGACGTGAACCGCATCCATCAAGAAGCCTGACTCAGTTGAAAGTAAAGTGTTCTCTTTTGCTGTACACGATTGAGCAAATCGCCAACACCCACAGCACCGCAGAGTACAGGAACATCGACAAGGACCAGCGCCCACATCACGCATTCATCGAACGCGCAGGGAGCCCTCCTACCCTGAAATACTTGATGCTAGTCCACTCCGCAATCCATTACACGTGCAAAAGCTATCTATGCCTTTCTACGCGACTGCTGGCATGTATGCTGCTACATACAAGGCCTTGCCGGCTTGCTTTCGGAGGAACGGACGTATGCTGCCGACCAGCCACGTGCTGGTTCCCACGGCTTTCCAAGACTTCATGATTACCACGATACCACGACATTCAGCTCTGATCACTGGTGCCGTCATCGCAGCAAGAAGCCCTCGCGGTAAGCATTGGGGAGTATGCCCTTTACGTACAAGAAAGGCCCGTATCAACAAGAATCAACACGGTGCTTACCGCCTATACTACAACACAAACATCCACATGATGCTTCGGCATCTTTGAGTTGCCGTGGTGGTCCTACACACCTAACCAACGAAGCCAATCAATACTTCAGCTACATGTACAACAAGAGCCAAGCCGACAACAAGAAAGGACACAATCCCAATTAGCAGAGTCCGACACTGACGGAACCGGGCATCAACAAGAACCACACCAAACTCTTGAACATCCCTAACACCCTACCGATTGAAGAAACAACAGCGCGAGCAGGTTGCAAGACATTCACTTCGACCATGGCTGATTGAGCGCAGAAATCCGCGTTCTTGAAACCATCCCCACACGAGGCTTACGTATCCCGGCAATGCAAGAACCAGCACTAAAGCAACGCGAAGCACTAATTACGCGTGTGGTGCAGTATTTCGGACATTTACCTTGACGAGATTAGCATGTTTCAAGCAAGCGATTGCCTTGAATACATTAGCATGGTATAATAAGAGAAGACCTCAGTTCTGTTTTGTTGGTTTCTAGAGCTGAGGTAATGGTCAACACGGATTGTTGGGGGCATTTGTAATTAACTGTCAGCGGTGAAAGTCTTGGACTTGTTAAAGACGGACTACTGCGAAAGCATTTGCCAAGGATATTTTCATTGATCAAGAACGTAAGTTAGGGGATCGAAGACGATCAGATACCGTCCTTACTTTAACCATAAACCATGCCACCTTGAGATTGGAGGTCGTTACCTATACGACTCCTTCAGCACCTTATGAGAAATCAATGTCTTCGGGTTCCGGGACAAGTATGGTCGCAAGGCTGAAACTTAAAGAATTGACGGAAGGGCACCACCAGGAGTGGAGCCTGCGGCTTAATTTGACTCAACACGGGGATACTTACCTACTTACCAGGTCCAGACATAGTAAGGATTGACAGATTGATAGCTTTTTTGATTCTATGGGTGGTGGTGCATGGCCGTTCTTAGTTGGTGGAGTGATTTGTCTGGCTAACTCCGGGAACGAACGAGACCTTAACCTGCCAAATAGTTACATGTAACCTCGGTTACATGGGCAACTTCTTAGAGGGACTTTGTGTGTCTAACGCGACGAAGTTTGAGGCAATAACAGGTCTGTGATGCCCTTAGATTTCTCCTTCCTCTAAGTGATAAGGTTCATGAAACTGTCCAACGCAACGTCCAGAAGCTGAGCACTGCGTCCGTCCGAATAACTCACCGGATCATTCAATCGGTAGGGGCGACGGGCGGTGTGTACAAAGGGCAGGGACGTCATCAGCACGAGCTGATGACTCGCGCTTACTAGGAATTCCTCGTTGAAGATCAATAATTGCAATGGTCTATCCCCATCACGATGCGTTTTAAAGGGTTACCCGGCCATCTCAGGCAAGATTGCCATCTCGTCGAGCGCGTCAGTGTAGCGCGCGTGCAGCCCAGGACGTCGTAACAAGGTTTCCGTAGGTGAACCTGCGGAAGGATCATTCGCACCATGCAGAACTTGTCGTGAACCTGGCTGCACGAGACTGCTTGTGAATTTGTTTTCGCAAGTGCGGCCATGGGCGACTGGAGGTATTCGGAGCTGCACTGTGTACAGTTTACAGCGACGGATATCTTGGCTCGAGCACCTATGAAAGGCGCAGCGAAGCGCGATAATCGTTGTGTTTTGCAAAACTCCGTGCACCAATGGCCTCTTGTTTGTGCATTGCGCTCTTGGGATATGCCTGAGAGCATGTCTGCTTCGTTGCTTCTACTTTCATTTTCTGCTGCTCTTGCTAGTAGCGAAACAAAGGCTTGTGTGTTCCCACACTTCCCGAATTTAAGCCTTTAAATAAGCGGAGGAAAAGGAACTAAACAGGATTCCCTCTCCGCAGCACCTGCAGAGTTCCGAGGAAAAGAGTCGAGGCCAGCCACCCCAGAACGGCGGCATACACGCTCAAGGCCAAGAAGTACATCTCGCAGCCCCTGGCCATCTTCACTTTACGAAGCAGATCGCCAAACGACCTAGCCGGAAGTCACGCCATATTACCAACCTCCAATGGAGATGCGGCGGTGAATGTGTGGAGGGAACCCGCTAGTTCGGTCGGACGAGTCCGTTACCCTGGGAGGAAAGAAAACCCCCGCAAGACATTCGGGCAGAAGTGCCTTGAAGCCCGGTGGTCTGGATGAACAGCCACGGTCGGACGCAGACATGAAACGGTCTGGTCCTCTTGGCGGCGGTCGGACCGGCCGCAGAACGAAAAACAGAGAGTGAAACTGAACGGACGTATGTGAGACACGGACCACGGAACTAAGTCCACTGCAAGATGTAGGCCAACCACAGCCTCACCGAGGCGTAAAGGGGTTGGAAGCGGGCAAGTTAAAATGCAACCGACCCATTGCGATGCAACGGCTGCAGGATCGGTTGCCGTTGCGTCCTATAACCAAACATCCCTGATCTCGCTCAGTAACTCAACACTATCTGTCGATGTCTCAGATGAGCTTTGGGCTTTGAGCTGAGAAGACCTCACACCGAAGCCTTTTTTCGAGCCTGTGTCTGAGTCTGTGTAGCATGTGGATGTGGGTTGCGTTTGCTTTTGGCTCTGCTCCGGGCCGGGTCCTCCAAGTTTCGGAGGTCCGAGACGAACTCGGCCACGGAGCCCGGATCCCGAGAAAGCTGCCTCCGGTCCAGCGCACAGCTAGCGCAAAAGCACCACAAAAAAAATATGTAAAAAAAAAAAAAATATATATATATATATATATATAGATGTACGCAGCACCTCTGAGGCTCTCTGTTCAGGCGTCCGGCCTGGTCTTCCCACCGATCCACTGCGATAGCTCCTCCGAGCACAGCAACACCACCTGTGCAGAAGCCGGGACGGTGAGTGCGAGGACGGAGGGAGAGGGAGCAGCGCACAAAACGAGCAGACGGCTGCGCCTCCGGGAGCTTCTCAGACAACTCGCTGAGACACCTTTCAGCTCACCGCAAGCAGAACGCAGTGGGGATGCTTTGGGGGCACCCCCGCTCTCTGCTTGCTCCGCTTGAGCTCCGTGCCGAGTTGGTGCCTTTTTCAGCTCGCCGAGCATGGCTGCGATCCTCCCCACACATCATGCCATGTCATGTCACGACATCGAAAGCATGCCAGGACGATGCCCCTCTCTTTTGAGGCCAAGCTGCTCGATCTCCAAGGGCCGCAAGAAGTGCCGGCTCGACAACTTCTCGAAGTCTTGCAAGCCTTCGAGAACAAAGGCATCCGTCACACTGCCGTCGCAGTGGCATGACACTGCGTAGCGCCTTCCTTGTAGTCGGTCAGGATCTCTGCAAACTTGCTTACGGGTCCAGAAAGCCAGATGCCCTGGACGATCTCTGGGATCACAGCATTTTGGCACTCGTAGCACCATTTCAGGTTGCCATCGAGAACCCTCAACCTGAGAGGGCCATGCGCGTCAAGAGAAGGCGTGGACACAGACGTGAAAGCCAGGTGGCTTGGAGTCAGCTTCTCGAAAAGCCATCCTCTCATGAGACTCATCAAGTGGCGGGGCCAACAGCAAAGAGAGCTCAGCTTTTGAAGCTCTTCCGGGGGTCTCCTCAAGGTTTGTGAAAGGCGAAGACAACTCCGTTGCCACCCTGCCTCGGCCAACAAGGAAAGAGAAAACCTCACCTCCAACAAAAGGCCTCCCAGCCGTGCCCGGGCCCTTGCGGTGCCTGGCCCTGCAAGCGCTCGAAGAGCAGGTGATCGGCTTCCCTCTCCTCCTCCTGAGACGCGACGCGACGCCTGTATACAGCACCCTCCCCTCTCTTCTCCCTTCGCTCCTCCTCGTCCTTGACCTCGAAATTGCCAACACCAGATCTAACCAAAAAGCGATGAGCCACCAGGTCCTCAACCGTGTGCAAATCTCGCAGCCCCCGCCCCGCTCCCCTGCAAACCGAGACCTTGCTTCCAGACAATGCTTAGGCTTCTGTTGCCAAAGTGCAACGGCTTGGTGTCATCTCGAGAGCTTGGTTTTGTTGACCTCTTTTGCGGTGTGCTATCCACTATCCTCAAGTATCTCAAGTTTTCAGGCATTTGGATTGAGTTGAGGAGGCTCTCGGGGCCGATTCGAGCACTGAACCGACAGACACGTTTGCAAGAGCTCTTGACTGCAGGGAAGAGCACACTAGTACACAGTCGGCGTGGGCACTATGAGTGGCAACGCCTTGGCATCTGCAAAGAGGCTTGCGCGAAACCTCCAAAAGAGCAGTGCTGTGAGAATGAGAGGGAGGACAGGGTTGTTGTTGAGAGAAGCAGTTGGACTTGAGAAGCTGGGGAAGCTTGGGGGCTGGAGTACAAATAATTCATGTCGAGAAGCCGGTCGATAAGAGAAGAAGAATGGAGAGTAAGAAACATTAAGGAAAAGAGCAGGCCAGGCGTGAGCTTGAGGAACAACTTGAGGTTGAGATTGATTATTGCTGCTGTGGTGCTACACCAGCTTCATGGGAAAGGGCACAAGGGATAGAAAATTGCAGTGGAGGGCCCTCCAGTTTTAACGCGAACTGCAGTGCGAGCCTGCCGAAACTGATTTGCTCTGGGCTTAAGGCTCAGGGATTCAGGGGGTGCAGTTTAAATAGGACTCAGGCTTCCGACGCATTTGCTCTGCGGTTTTTTAGCGACCAGCGTGACCAGCACAAAACGCAGCATCTTGCGACGTCCAATGATCTGGCAGCTGATGGGGTCTTGGAGGCCATCGTAGATGAAATAGAATACAATACATGAGTGATGATCGTGCATACCATTGTCATGTTGAACCAAGGTTGGCTACCATCGATGGCTACTGTCAACGGCTATCAATCGCGACGAGTCTTCGCAAGACAATCACTTGTTGGCACGGCGACCTCAGAAGCAAGACGTCAAGTAAATGGTCAACCCTCGCATCCAGACGTACATGCGAGCCTGGCAAGGCTTCAGAGGAAAGGCAAAGAATAGAAAAATCCAAAACACATGACACAGCCAGAGAGAACCTGAAAGCCCTTGCAGCCAGTTGTATGTATTTGAGTCCATGTGCTGCTTATCCTCTTGGCATGTCGTCTGTAAAAAGACGCAGAGCTGTGTAAGATCAGGTAGCTTCCTTGGACGTGGTTCCTGGTCCCATTTTCACACCCCGCATACTTTTCTTGTTGCAGAACTGCTGCTTGGCTCGGCAAAGAGGTCTGCCCGAATGTTCAGCGGCATCAGACGAAGGGCACACGCACGCACGAAAGGCAACACCTGATTTGTGAGAAAGTGAAAGTGTTAGTTACTACCCATTCATCTGCCCGAGTGCCGGCGACGCATAGTTGCAGGTGAAGAAGGTGGCCAACGTACAGCCGTGCCGTAACCAGTTGATGAACTCCACTGAGACCTCCACGTCACTTGGACACCTCGGGGGTCGCTTTTCAAAAGTGGAAGGTGCGGCAGTGCGGCACGGCTGTGAAAGTCGGCCAAGGAGCAGCTGGACAGCCATGGTCTGGGCCACGTGGTCTGCGTGTGCAGCGCTTGTCACCTTCAGCAAAATCTGCGAGCCACTGTGCCTCAGAGAAAAGCAGGAGAGGGGAGAGGGGGGTGCCGTGGGAAAGCAATGCCAAGGCAGGGGCCCTTCCTCCGGCCGGCCTGCGAGAGCCGCCCCAAAAGTTCGCTTCGCAGCAAGGCCCGTCCCCGCCTTCTTCCAAGCCGAGGCTGCGCACGGTCTCGGCGATGGAGGCCTCCAGCACCTCCACCTCAGAGCAAAAACCCACGGAAAAAACTCGTTGTCCGGCCTCCGCTCGGCTCAGCTCTCCTCTGGACTCTTTTCAGCCGAGGAGCCAGGGACTCGGTGCAGAGCAGGTCCACGAGACGCGCGAAGCGCAGCAGCCGCCCGCACTCGAAGCGCAGCCGCGAGCGCTGCGCGAAGCTCACGTCCTCTCTTACCAAGCCCTACGTCCTACGTCGTCTTTCTGCATACAGAGCCAAGAAGGGCTCCCCCGTCCTTGGAGAAGCCGAGGCGCTCGAGAGCCTCGCTGTCCTCTTGATCCATCCCAGCACGCACGATGGCCGCTGAACCCAGCTGCCGGCCCTGCAACACAGCGCTCAAGCTAACAGCCCAGTGGCTCAGCTTCCGCCGGAGTCTTCGGTCTGGGGCTCCGGCGCTCACAAGGACCTGCCGCGTGAACTCGCTGTTGTCGCTGGTCTCCCGGCGCACCTGCGCTCTCTGCGAATGACTCTGACACAAGGGACTGCGCGAGCTAGGCCCCTGCACCTGATCGATCACCGATGACAGGATTCGCGAAACTTCCTGCAAGGGGTACCAGCCCACAGGAACCGTTCGAAGCGGAAAGCCCTGTGCACTCTCCGAGAGCGGTCCATCGTTACTTTGGCGGCCAACTGCCGGGCACGTTGGAAGAGATCGTGCTGCCAGTTCTTCTGGGCCACTTGGAATTCCGCCAAAGTCTGCGGCTGCGGAAAATGGCACCGCAAACATCGCAAGTTTGCGACATCCTGAAAAATCTCGCGCACAGCGAAGTAGCTCGAACCTCATTTTCTGGCTGCAGCACTGCAGCCTACTGAAGAAAGCGCGGCACAGAGCATGTGAAGGCCTAGTGACGGAACCAGGGGTGTAGGAAGAAGACGCGCTCTTCCAGCACTCGTCCGGCTTTCGTCATCCGGCCCCACCTCCCTGCATTCCGCCAGTGCAAGAAGGCCTTCCTTTTGGGAAACTCCTGGAAGAACTTGAATCGCCGCAAGAGCCGGAAGAGCCGCCGTTCCTGCAGCCAGCTCTTCAAGGAGACGAAGGCCGTCGGCAAACCCCTCACATACGTGGACATCCCCGCAGGGCTCACCGTCCTTCAGGGATCACTGGCATGCTCAGGCATCAGTTCCGCCATGCAGTTGTTCATGCGTGTTGTCAGGGACTTGCGTCCCTGGCAAGACCGTTATGAAAATGGCAAACTGGCACAGGCACATCCGGTAGTTTCTCCTTCTGTAGGTTGACTCTAATGCCGTTGGATTGGCTACAGCGAAAAGCGTGGGCATGCCCTTAAGGCCACAATCACGAACCAAGTTGGGATCACTTATCCTCAGTGCTCGGGTTTGCTTCCCAACATCTGGGCCACCTCTACATCCTTCAGACGAATCTCTAGCTCCTTACAGCATCCGATCGAGCTTGGAAGATTACTGACGTTAAGCAGCAACAGCACCTGCTTTCACTACTCTCACCTGGAGATAGAGCTTGCTCCCGCCAAAAGGGAAAAAACTTGTCTTTCTACGCCCGCCCTTCGGTCATGTACCTCTCCAACTGCACCTCCCTGAAGGGCACCAGCTCCAAATCGTAGGCGCTGCCACCATCGATGTGTCGGACATACACGAACTCTTTCCCCAGCGTTTCCTCCCGCTGCTCGGCCCCTCTCAAAATCTCCAGAAAAATGTCGAAAGGCCGCCCCAGCGACCCAAACTCCTCACACATGAGATCGCTCGAAGGAAAACTGTGATGCTGTACTCACCCGTGAGCCTCCTGCGAGTCGCTGCCGTCGGGTTCCACGTCCCTCGGAGAGCGAGGCTACCAGAGCGAGATAGAGCGACAGAGCGGCTCGGAGAGGCTGCGAGAGCGAGAGCGACACACAGCGACACAGGCTTTCCCGTAGCGGCCGCGTTGCACGTGGGCGATGCCCAGCTGGGATGTCTGCGGGTAGGCGGCCACCAAGGTGGAATGCTCCGGCGTCTCGTGCCGCGTCTCAGGCGACAGGGAGACAACCCGCGCCCCCGCTTCGCCGGCCTGGCGCCAAACCCTTTGAGCACCCTTACATACATGTATACGTGGGTATATATGCATACATATATATATATATATGTGCCCGATACCTGTAGGGATTATTCCACTACGCTTTTGAATACAGCTACATAATCTAAAGGTTCAATCTGTTTTGGTATTAATGTCTCTCAGTATAATTCATCCAAAAAGTTTGCACGCGCATAATGTTATGTAGCTCTCCATTATTATGGAGCTGCAACGAACATGAACTCAGTCGGATAGTGGTATGTAGAGGAACTATACGAGGGATAGAAAGTGTTACACCACCAACACATTCAACTGTTATTGACGCAGCAAATTGCATCAAATGTTATCCGATATCACAAGGCATCAACCGCAACGTGCAAGAGACACATTATCGGAAATATATTTCTCCCATATTCCATCTGGATGCAATCTTGATTTTCCATGCTATTGTTCTTGCTGTATGTCAATTGACACAGCGCTATCAGATGCGTCCGTCTCCATTCCGTGTGAAGTGAGGTCGCATTGCATTCATAGTCATTCATATGTGACGACATACTTGTTATATCGGCATGAGTATGTCACGTATGTTTCCGAAGATGATACCATCCCCTTGCTCTGAGTAGCAACATCTATTCGACATCGTCAATCGACCGCTATTCAGTGATATCACGCGGAATGGCATCGCGTTCATCCTAACAAACATGTCACAATATACTGCTGATGTGGAGTCCTATTGGAATTGCAGGGTGTGGCACAGTTATGTTCATCTAACTCTATGACAATCATGTATGCGAGGTTAGCATAATATCATGATATCCCGGACAATATGTTAATCCGACAACTGTCACCATCTCATGGATCGAACTTCCATGTAGCTGGAAATTCAGTCTGATGATACTGTCATACATGGAACATCGATACAAATCTGTAGCTTGATTGGGTGGCCGGCATCCACGAAGATCTGGGTTCTCTACAGTAAATAAGATAAAAGATTCTTCAGGGATTTCTATAAGGTCTCTATATAGAGGATCTATAAAGTTTCTGTATGGAATCTATATACTATAGAACTTTCTGTAAAGGCCCCATATGAGGGATCTACAAGGGGCTTCTAACGGGTTTCTTTGCAATGGATGTATAAGGCATAAGGTTCGTATCAGGAATATCAATGTTGCTCATGCTGCAATACTCACTCAACATCACATCGCGTGATGCAGCTTTTTCACGCAGGGGACATGCTAGGTGTCTGTTGTTGGTGAGCCAAAGCGAGCACACGCACTTTGTGCGAAATGATGCTTCAAAGAAACATTAAACTAGCCACTGACCTTGCAAGCTGACTGATAACTGCAAAGATGTCTGGAGCTGTCATGCGACACAAGCACTCTTGGCAGCGGCAGCCTGCAGACTGCATGAGACACGTGGCTGCCTGCTGCAGGCAGCGGTCCGTGAGGCACAGAACTGCAAGGCAGGTCGCTGGCTGCAGCTCGTTGCATACAACTTTGGTCGAGTGGAGGGGAGGCGGTGGCGACACTAACAGCTGCGGTGAGTGTTTCGATTGGCAACATGCCTGCGATGTTGCTCATGCTGCAATACTCACTCAACATCACATCGCGTGATGCAGCTTTTTCACGCAGGGGACATGCTAGGTGTCTGTTGTTGGTGAGCCAAAGCGAGCACACGCACTTTGTGCGAAATGATGCTTCAAAGAAACATTAAACTAGCCACTGACCTTGCAAGCTGACTGATAACTGCAAAGATGTCTGGAGCTGTCATGCGACACAAGCACTCTTGGCAGTGGCAGCCTGCAGACTGCATGAGACACGTGGCTGCCTGCTGCAGGCAGCGGTCCGTGAGGCACAGAACTGCAAGGCAGGTCGCTGGCTGCAGCTCGTTGCATACAACTTTGGTCGAGTGGAGGGGAGGCGGTGGCGACACTAACAGCTGCGGTGAGTGTTTCGATTGGCAACATGCCTGCGATGTTGCTCATGCTGCAATACTCACTCAACATCACATCGCGTGATGCAGCTTTTTCACGCAGGGGACATGCTAGGTGTCTGTTGTTGGTGAGCCAAAGCGAGCACACGCACTTTGTGCGAAATGATGCTTCAAAGAAACATTAAACTAGCCACTGACCTTGCAAGCTGACTGATAACTGCAAAGATGTCTGGAGCTGTCATGCGACACAGGCACTCTTGGCAGTGGCAGCCTGCAGACTGCATGAGACACGTGGCTGCCTGCTGCAGGCAGCGGTCCGTGAGGCACAGAACTGCAAGGCAGGTCGCTGGCTGCAGCTCGTTGCATACAACTTCCATCCCACCCAGCCCATCTGGTGGTGCATGGGGCGGTGGCGGGACTAAAGGCGCAAAACCGGCCGGGTGCGCAGCTTTTGAGAGACATAATGAATCAAAGCGCCTGCCAAGGCGCCGCCCGAAGACAGGACTAGCTGGTGCAGCACGCCTAGCGTGGGGCTCGACGGACACTGGCCATCTGCGAGGAAAGGCGAGGCAGGCTCCACCACAACGGCCAGCTGCAGGATGAGCTCTTCAAAGACTTGGTCAAGGACCAGCACAATGAGACTGAGGAGCCTCCGCACGATTAGGCGCAAAACCCCGCCAATGAGTTTAGCAGCAAAGCGTAGAGCAAATGGCCGGCACAGCAGAACTAGAAAGGAGACCACGAGGCACCAGCGCAAGGCTTGCCGCAGCGACCTTAACCACGGCAAACCTCTGTGGCACCGCGAGCGCCAGCCAACCGCTGGGCGTCGCGCTACCCTTGCAACTGGAGGCACTTCCCCTTCGGAGTTTGAGGAAGCCTTGTCGCCGGCCTGAGCTTCTGTAGCCATGCGTGCAAACTGACGAAAACGGTCATCGTGCTTGTAAGACTTTGCCACCTTGGCAAGGCGCTGCTCAGGCACATCCAGGTATCTAGCGCCCTTCAGCGGACCATCCTTGACAATGGCCTGCCGGAATCGAGCTTTCCATGACTCCATAGGCGTAGCAGGCTGCGACCACGTCCTCGCCAGAAGTAGGCACGGACAAGCTGACCTTGAGCAAGTGCTGGGGCGGCAAGCCTATGCTGAGAGCTCGTGGGACACTGAGAGCTTCGAAACCGCGGTGGAGCAAGCGCTTGAGCCTCGTGATGGCCGGCAGCGGCATGCGTAGAAGCAACTGTTGCGCAGTGGCGCCTTGTATGTAATGCTTTAGCGCAGCCTCGCTAGCCCATCTTCCTAGGAACCTGATACTAGAAATCGGGACCCCGCTTTGGAACTTGAAGGAGGCTCCCCCAGCGCGCAGACTGGCAGGCGACAAGCGAACGTCCTGCAGCTTCAGCTTTCGCAACAGGTAGGCGAAACGCTCGCGAAACTCAGCTGCAGTTGAGGGCCAAAGCCGCTCAGTACTGCGTCTGCCGTGGGTCACGACTGCCAACCAGTTACAGGCACTAGGGTGGGTAAGTGTGACAAACTGCTCGAAGCCCATATGGCGCCTATTTTTGGGGCGATGCAGCCTGAGCGTGCAATGGGGCATACCCAGGTTCCAGCTGCTGACGGTGGCCACGTCACCCACACGGAGCTTGAACAGCTCCCCTGGTCGGAGCATGCTGAAAAATGCTACTTCAAGCAACGCTGCATGACAGAGCCACAGCTGGGCGGAACTGCCTGAAACCTGACAAGCAAGGGTGCGGGCCAATATGCACATGGCCAACAGCACTGGAAGTGGCAGCGGAGTGCGCATCTGAGCTGGGACACCTTCCTCCCATGTGTTGAGGTAGGCCCAAGTCTCTGGAAGGTTTCGCTTAAGCCGAGGCCAACTAATCTGGCAGAACAACACAGCATGCTTGCAGAGCATGAGGGCTCGCTTCGAAGAGGGTGCCGAAGTCACATGGCTGTCTATCACAAACTCACGCAGCACATTGTCGCTCACTGCCGCGCGGCGCACAAGCTTTGCCAACGGCGGCAGACCTTGTTCCTGTAGATAGGTTTGCAAGCAAAGGGCGCCCTGCAGGAGCCTACGCCTGTATGCCCATGAATACTTGGAGAACTTGAAGGTCCATGCCACGCGGTCAGCGCTCATGACGCCGGGCACTGAAACTAAAAAACTACATGCAAAAGAAGGGGTACATGACAGAAACAAAAAACTACGTGGTGTGGCAAGGGTACTGCGACAACTAGGACGGTACCAGTGCAGCGTAGGCACTGCAGAAGTTCTTCGGGTAGCGCCGGTGTCCAGAGACCGTGCTAAAAGGCAAGACTTGACTACTACGGTTTGAGCCTGTAACGCCTCGTGTCCGTGAACACCTGCACTGTTTGCTGAGGCAAGAAAGTCCAGGAAGCGTGCCTGCGAAACGCAACGGCTGCTTAACGTGGAAGTGGCCTATCATGCCAAAACAGCACCGCTTGACTTTGACACATGCAGCCTGGGTGCGAGCTAAAACTTCGACAACGTTGGGTTGGGCCCATGACGCGCTACGTGCAGGGAGCTCGAAAGTGTAAAAGCTTCCGTTTTCGTGCAGCCTTTCACACAGCACGAGCACCTGTCTCAGCAGCTCGTCGCACAGCGGCACAGGCAAACGAAAATGCCATAGCTGCTTTCGCCGTCTGGCATCCTCAAGCAACCGTGAGAAAACCGCTCCAGCAAAAGCGGATCCTGTTTCATGCAGGGACGGGCTTGAGACCAACACTCCTACACCTTTAAATTCGCGGCACAAATCATCCACTAAACCGAAAACCTCCCTATACACGAAACCCTTCCCTAAGCCTGACCTTGGCTCGCCCGCAACGCGAATCGCAGGATCGGCAGCCCAGCACCCAGCATGACTACGAATGCCTTGCATCGCCTGCCACTCGGACCCTAGCGCGCTTAGCTCGTCGTCTTCAGGGCACAAAGGTTCTGGGATGGGCTTGTTACGTGAAGGGTAATCAGCGGGGTTACTGCCAGTGTGTATCCAAAGGTTGACAAGGAGCTTTGACCCAGCAAGGGACCATACCAAACATGATCTCAAGATCTGGTTTAAGGCTTTGCTGCTAGAGCGACCCTTTGCGAAGGCTCCTAAAGCAACACGTGAATCACACAGGTTGACCATGCGCAAACCCTGAGCTGTGCGAGATGCGGCTTCGGCGAGCTCATGCCGGATCATGCTCAACTCCAACAAGTTGATGTGCCGTTTACGTCGAAAACGCACCTTATCAGAAACAAACCAATGCTGGAGTTTGGCAAAGCGTTCTAAGAGCAAGTCCGGTCTGCACATTGCTGACGGAGGAGCCAACTCACCTGATGACCAATTTAACCGAGTATACTCACCCTTATGCTCGGCACACAAATACATTAGGTGGGATACCCAGTACGGTACCACGGCAGAACACCTTCCTCCTCCATCTGCACTGGCATCGGTTGCGGCAAGCCTCTGGCTGAGCGGCCAACGCGCACACGCATATGCGAGAGGCAGGACTGCCACTGCAACGAGGAGTTCCTCAGCGGCTTCCCTTGGGATCTTAGCCATACTGTGCTCGGGGAGACTATCTATGAACCCATAAATGCCACCGAAGACGGCCATGCACGCTCGCCTATGCATGAAAGGATGTACAAACAACCCAACGACTTGCTGCAAACACTTCTTGGTGGCAATGCCGAGGGTCAACAGTTGCAACACTAGCTGTGCCAGAACATGTAACTTTTCGGGAGGCGTCCCTACATAACCCGATTGACTATCAACACGAGTACCCCAAGCAGTGAAGCTGGTGAGTTCGGTGAACCTCTTCTTGAAGCTTACGGGCAGAGACAACTCCTCGTAGGCACGGCGGGATTTACGGACGATTTCCCTGTCTTTCGACCACATCGGCTCTCTGCGACTTCTGCCTGCTTTCTTTTTTGGGAACATCTGCAGAGTGATGTGGTCATCAATGTAGAGACCCTCTAAAGTTGGCGAAGCAGGGAGCCGAGCGTCGAACTCCAGCACGTGCTCTTGTGCCATGACGCCGTAGTCACGCAAAATCTCAAGGTGCGTCTGCTGAGCGACATCTACTGCGTTCAGGTCCCCCATGCACAGGGCCGTGAAAGCTAGGACATAGCTACCATCTGGGTCACACCCCCATTCTTTAAACCAATGCCCTGGCACAGGCTCCCCGACAACGTTTCTAGGAAGCCATTCTGGTACATGGCGCAAAAGGTAAAAGAAATTTTGCAAATCATCTCCACTAGCACGAATGGACATGTGATCCTCTAAGATGACCTGTGTTAGCAAAGCGCCATGCGGCAGTTTGGCCCAAACCAATCTCCGTTCGAGACGATTGAACGGGCGTCTGTCATTGATCACACCGCGGCTATCGTACAGCCCTTCACTTGCGGGAATGAGCTTCGCAACTCCAGATGCAAGAAGCCTGTCATACACTTCCCTAACATGTGCCTTGGCTACTCGGTGACAAGCTCTCACGCCCACAATCGGTTCGCCCACTGCAGGCACATGTTCGGCCATCCGCAGGAAGAGATCACGATGCTTTCCCTTTAAATGGTCTTCAGGTGCGAGCACACCGCCTTTATCAGGCAAAGACATCCTATCAGGTTTGACAAACTTCGCATTCTTGCCCATGTCAGAAAAACTCACGGTATTTAATTTCTCGTACCCACTATAGTGCTAATTAAATCTATCAATTCGTGTAGTCTCTTGATGCCTCGACTCGGGGCTTCCAAAACCTCAAGGCGGCAAAACTCAAGGACTTGCTGGAAAACATTGCTGGCGTGCTGAACATGCAAGCGCGTCCACATGGCCTGGGCAGCATGTGTGACACAACGTTCCATGGCAGCGGTCGTGCACGGAGAGCCTGCCTCAATGAAATTGAAGTAAGCCCAAAGCACGAGCATCCACTCTCTGGCTTGAGCAATGCCTCGTCTTTGCCCGGATCTTCTAGCCTTCCGATGGCCCATGAACGTGCGGAAGTGAAGCAAAGACGGAAAAAGGTTGCAGTCACCATCGGGCGGTGACGTGACAGTCCCCTGCTCGGCCAAACACCGAGAACGAAAGATTCGGAAAAAACGTGCAAAAGAGCCTCTCTGGAGCAATACTGTTTCTAGCAGACGCTCCCCCAGGGATTTCGAATTAAAGCTGCCAGTGTCAGGGTTCACTTCTGGCCTTGGCCGCGTCCGCGACCCTTTGGTGGCTTTGCCTCCTCGTCGTGCTCGTCGTTGTGGTCGGCTGCTGGGTCCCTCAAGCCTTTGAAGTCCCGAGTTCGCTTCTCCAGCTCCTGCACACTCTTCACGTAGGCAGCGATGGTCTCCAGGCCCTCCTCTTCCCCGCCGAAGCGCCTGCGCGCCAACGGGTCTGGGAGGTTGGTGAGGAGCCATGCCACGTCCCACGATCCCTGGTTGATCGCGGCCTGGCGCACCGCCCTCAGGCATTGCACCACCTGCAGTCCTGCACGTTCGTACTTGCCCTTCAAGATCAAGTCGAGGATCGCTCCGAGCATGTAGTATGTCCTCTGCAGCCCCTTTTGCTTTCCCCAATTGATCTTGCGGCCATGATCGGTTAGACGATAAGGCTGGTCTGCGTCGACCCCCAAATCTTCCTCGACGTTCTTGATGTAGCGCTTGATGTGCCTGAGAGGATGGGCCTTCATGGACTTTCCCAGTCGGCGGTAGTTGCCGATGGCGCGAGCTGCTCCTTTGAGACTGGGGTCTTTGCGTCTTCTGTAGCCCTCGCTGCTGCTTGAGCTTGCACTCGCACTGGAAGAGCTTGAAGACCGGTTTGACCCCTTCTTGCCTTTGTGCTTTCCCTTTGCGGTCAGCTTCAGAAGCTGCAACGTTGCAAGTGCCTGCAGTGGGTCTTTGCCTTGTCCCATTGCCGCCACAGCTGCTTGCGACCACGCCTCCTCCTGTAGATGCTTGTCCTTTCCACCGGACTTCTTGCTGCGCAGCATCTTGAACCTGTGAGGCTGCTTTTGCGGGTGGAGGGTCATGGACTCGCTCTTGTCTGGCTCGGACTCGTCTCCAGTACCATGCGACCGCCATGCTTTTTTCATGTCGCGCACTAACTCTCCCAGATTGCTGCTTGCATCCGAGTCCTCCCCGTCGTCTGACGACGAGTTGTCCACTGAGTCCTCCTGCTTCTTCGCAGGTGGCGGTGCGTCTTCTGACGCCGTTGCAAAAACCAAGTCGGTGTTCTTGTCCAGGCGTTCTAGCGCGGCCTCCAGCAGTAGCTTTGAATCGACGTCTATCTCGAGGGATGGCTTGGTGCATCTTCGAAGAAACTGGTCACTGTGCACCTCTACGAAGATAAACCGTCGGCTCAGCAGTAAAGCAGCCACCGCTGACGAGCCACTAGCTTCTTGCGCCACGGGCACAATGATCCGCCAATGACCTTTGTCAGCTTTCTGTACGACTAAGCCCTGCCGCCAGCAGGGATTTCCGAACTTCGAGTCCAGTCGCACGAAGCCTGATTGGCCGATCTTGATGCCCATGCTGCCCGACGGTCTACCGATTATGACCTTGTCATGCTAGCCTCGACACTAACAGCTTGAGCCAAGTGTTTCGATTGGCAACATGCCTGCGATAAATAGGTTTACTATAGGGGCTCCATATGAAGGATCCAGAATGGATTTCTAGAAAGTCTCTCTGAGGGGATCTATATTTTTTCTATACAGTGGGTTTCTATAAGGTCTCTATATAGAACATCTAAAAGATTTCTATATTATATTGAATTTGTAAGGATTTCTACAAGGGCTCCATATGAGAGATCTAGACGGGGCTTCTATGTGGTTTCTAAACGGGGGGATCTATAATTTTCCATAAGGAATGTAAAAGTTGTCTATGAAGGCTCCATGTAATGGTTTTTCAATGTTTTTTATACAGAACTCCATTTGTGTACCTATAAGGGGTTTCTACAAGTTTTTTTTCGGGGATCTATATAGTTTCCATAAGAACCTATGAAAGTTGTTCCATATAAAGGATTGTAGAATTCTACTCCTGCTCCCTCGACATGAAACCCGTTTTCGTCTGTTGCATTTGGCCTAAGGCATGGCTTCGGAATTTCAGCCTTGGGTCAACACGTTCACTGTTAGAATCTTTCGGAGTGTAAAGTCAACTTGACAAATGCGTAAGCGCATGTTTGCAAGGACTTCAGCACTTTCGTTGTCGCGTTGAGGAAAAGGTAGGTCGTCGAGGGTTCATGGACCAGGGCTTTTGAGCCTGGAGAAGCCCCTCCAGATTCCTTGGGCCCTACGCTGCACAAATCGAGAAGTGTACAAGTTGTTTATCCTGGAACTGGGATTCGCGAGGACTCCAACCTGTTCTTTGGATTCTATAGGTTATGAGTTCCCAAGACGCTCCCTCGCAGAACTCTGGGAGCATGGAAGGGGCTCAGGCAAGTGTCAGACTTGCAGAGAGCTCTGGGAATGCAGGGCTGCTGAGTGGCTATGGGGCGAGTTTCTCTGGAAGGGCTGTGGAAGGTTCATTTCAGGAGGGTCAGACCGAAGTTCCGGATGTCTTTGTGGAACAGACTGTGGAAGGGCCTGTAGCAGGCCAGACGGACATGCCTCAGGCCACCAGTGGCATGAGTACAGAGGCCCCTCTGAGCGGTGCAGCTGCGGATTCGGGAAGTTCTTCTGGAAGGGATGTTTTTTATTTTTTATTCAGCTGGAAGGACGACGCCGCAGGACACTGCTCAGGTTGCTCAGATGATTCAGGTCCAAGGACAGCCACAGCTGTTTGGACCGGAAGCCAACTTCCGGCTGGCGCAACTGGAGAGGGAAGCCCCTCACTTGTATGGAGGCGGGGGTGCTATGACGTCAGGAGCAGCCAGGTCGGACTCTTCTGGGTTCAGCGCTGGGGAGATTCAGGCAGAGGTTCATCGGCAGCTTGAGCTTGTTCGGAGGGAGCATGCACTTCAGATGAGAGCGTTGGCAGGTAGAAGCCTCTAGTGCGGGTTGGGGAAATCAGGCCGCGAAAGTGATGGAGTGGTTTGGTTTAGGGCAGGGTGCGTTCGCGTCGTTCGTGCCGAGAAACCCTAACCCCGTAAGCCCTGGCACGACTCCTCTTGGACCGCATGCCTCAGGAGATACTCAGGCCCCTCTTCAGGGCACGGGTCAATCTATGACCTTGGAAGGCATGCAAGCGGCCGGTGCACAGCCGGGTCAGGTGCCGAGACAAGGTCTGCCAACACAGGCGTCAGGTGTGCATCCAGGTCAGGTGCCAATGCAAGGCGCACAGGCACCATGTGTGCAGCCAGGTCTCGCGCCAATGCAAGGTGCACTTCCACAGGCTTCAGGCGTGCAGATGCAAGGTGCACTACCACACGCTTCAGGTGTGCAGTCAGGCGTGCCGATGCAAGGTGCACTACCGCAGGCTTCAGGCGTGCAGTCAGGCTTTCTGATGCAAGGTGCACTACCACAGGCTTTAGGTGTGCAGTCAGACGTGCCGATGCAAGGTGCACTACCGCATGCTTCAGGCGTGCAGTCAGGCTTTCTGATGCAAGGTGCACTACCGCAGGCTTCAAGCTGGCAGTCAGGTTTGCCGATGCAAGGTGCACTTCCGCAGGCTTCAAGTGTGCAGTCAGGTCAGATGCCGCACACAGGTGCACTTCCGCAGGCTTCAGGTTCTCCACCAGGTTCCTCCGCTGAGGCCTCGAGTGCCCAGCAACAGTGGCCTTGGCAAGGCTTGATCCAGAGAGCGTGGGATGCCAGTGGAGTCAATCAAGGACTCGGGTCGTCAGGTCTCTCTCCACATGCAGCTGGCATTCTGGCAGGTCTCCACGCTCTGAACGGAAGTTCGTCTCCGACTGAAGGGAAGGCGGAACAGGTGAAGCACTCTTGGTCGGAGCTTCCGAAGCTCCCAGAGCTAGGACCTGAGTCCTCCCTTGCGTTTTCGGACTGGCTTCACCTAGTCGCGCCAAGTCGAGGACATGTCAGCCACGAGTGCTCAGTACTGGAGCCTCCTCACACGTGAGGCCGAAGAGGTTTACCGAAGGTACTTGGCTAGTGACCCCATGGGCAGGATTTCACTCAATCCAGTCGAGCTTAAGTCCTGTGTTTGGTCCAGACTCGCCAAGCGCTTGGAAGCTCTTCTGATCACGGCAGCTCCGAAGCAGGTGCGCGAGGAGTTGGTCCAGAGCCGGCTCAAGTCTCCACTTCACCTCCTCTACCGTCTTCATGTGCTGTACGCCCCGGGAGGGGTACAAGAGAGCACGGCCTGCGCAGCCTCCAACACACGAGCTCCGCTACCACTCCCCAGGCCGCTCTGGATGCGCTCCGCCAGTGGAGACGGTGGCTCTCTAGGACCGAGGCCCTTGGAGGTTCGTTGCCCGATCCGGTGATCCTTGTCAAAGCACTGCTGAACATAGTTAAGACTGTGCTTGAGGGCAATGCTGAGGCTCAGTTTATGGGACTTGTGAAGGCAGCTCTGAGAGCTGGGACGGCTCCCACGGTGGCGGTGGTTCACCAGCTCCATGCGGCCTTGCTCTCTGAGGTAGAAGGCCTGGCTAGGACCCAGATCTTGAGGCCGAAGGCGACTCCCTCCGCAGCAGCAGTGAACGTTGTCAGCTCCAAACCTAAAGGGCCCATCGGTGCCCCAGGGAAAGGGCTCGGGGAAGTCAGAGTCTTC